CATTGATCATCTGTGAAGTCATCTGAGTATTTTGAGTAATTTAAATCTTCAAACTCAACATCATCAAACTGTTTGATCATAAACAAGGATCTTTCATTTTGCTCATCATTAAGAGAGAAAATTGATTCAAGATCATCATTTGAAAGATTGATACTAGAGATACTAGTAATGTCTTAGATAAGCTTGATTAATTTTTTATCTGACTTTGGGTAATTCTTTAAAAAATGTCTTGATTTTTATAAATAAAATATTTTAAACTTTTGATCTTTAGGTCTTTTTTCTTTCTTGTAAACTTGAATCTTTAAAATCTTCTGGGCTTATCAGCATATCTGAAATGCTTCTTATGTATGGGTCTAGAGAAGATTGAAGGTTTGAATCTTCTGAAATACTTTTTTCTTGTTGCTATAAAAATATGTGGGATATTTAGAAGAACATTTGATTTGAAGGCTTGAGAAAGAGTAAGAGCATGGCTTTTTTAACTTTTTAGAGTTGTTCACCAAGGTTTTGATGTATCTGTGCTCTTTGTAAATCTTGTCAAGTGCTTTCAATATCATCTTGTAGATATCTCTAAGGGTGATAGATCTAACATCAAGAGATCTGAGGTTCAACTGGGTCCTTATTTGCTATGCAAGTTCTTTTGAAACAGAATTAAAAAAGATTTACTTTAAGTTGACATCATCAAATCCATCAAGTATGTAAAAATACTGAGAGAATTATTGATAGTATCTGTCAAAGTCTTTTGGATAGAGAGAATAACATTTTAATTTAAAGAATTATTCTCTGATCTTTTCTAATCTATGAGTTTCTTATCCATAAAAGATTGTTGCAAATTGAGAAACAACTTCTGTGATTGTTGGACATTGAAGAAACTAAAGTTGTCTATATTCATCAATGTTGTCTCAAAAGTTTTTTAGAGTTTCAACTAGTCTAAAAATAAATCTGATCAATATTGTGTTTATCATAACATTGAGATAAAAGTTTAATTCAACTAGTCTTCATGCTAAGAACTCTTGTAACCTTGAGGGCCATTTTAAAGAAAGAATATCATCAATAGTAAAAATTGAAAACTTTGATGTCGAAGAAGAAACATGTGATTGTTGTGGAGAAAGGTGTTGTTCAGTGTCCATTGCATCAAGATTGTAAACTTCTGAAGTATTATCTAAAACTTTAACTGTTAGTTTTATCATGAAGATCTGATATAGTATTATCTCATCTAAGTCATCAGTATTATCTGTTGTAACTGAGTCATCTAATTTGACAATGTTCATGTGAGATTCAGTCTCAAAGATAAAAGAAGAAATATCTTCAAGGGAGAATTGAGAGAGATTGTCTTGTGCCATTTGATGAAATATTTCTAGAAAGGTTTGTGTAGGAAAAATCATGAGTTGTATAAGTTTTTAGTCTGGTTATGGTGTAGGGTTTTAAGGTATGAAACTTGAGCTTGATTTTGGTTTTGAAGGTTGAGAAAGAGGTTATTCTATAACTCTTTTTGGTTTTGGATCAACTGGTTATTTTTCTTAAAATCTGTGAATCTATTTTTTAGTTGTACCAAATGAAGGTTGTTCTGGTTGGTCTGAGATTTGAGTGAAGTATTGTGTTGGTTGTGAGGATGTTAGAGGAGGTTTGTACTGAAAAAGTGTGAAAAAAAGTTTTGGAGGTGAGGTTGGAGGATTGTATGGTTGAAATGGAGGAGGAAGATAAGTATAGGCTTGGTAAAGAGTGTCATGCATACTAGTGTGAAGTGGTGTGAAGATGTCGTAACTAGAGGTTGCCTGTTGTTGTTGTTATTTCTGAAAAAACTAGTTTTGAAGGTCTGTAAGTTAAATCTTTAGGCTCTTCATTTCTTTCTCTCGTTCAGTGAAAACATAAGTGAATCCAGTGTTAGTTTCAATCATATATCTGAGTTCTTGATCAAGTGTTATTATCTTTGATTGAATTTTAAGAATAATATTTTAAAGATTGATAAGGCTTTGATCAAAATGATGATTGACTTGGTCTAACTTGTGTTCAATGCTATGCAAGTATGCATTCTACTGAAGAAAATTTTTAGTTTGCTAATTTAAAATTACTTCAGCATAAGAAACACTTTTTTGGTTCTCATATTCATCTTTGTTAGTTGGAGTTAAGATTTTTGGAATGTGTTTGTACTGGTCTTTGTGAAACTCTTGAAAATGAGAGAAATATGAGCTTAGGTATGTTGGTTGCATAATAGAAATTTATGATAAAAGTTGGGTAGAATCTGGTTTTTGTATGGTTTGATTTGGGTAGGTTTGAGGGAGTGATTTTTCTTTCTTATGATAGATGACATAGTAGTCAAACTTTCCTGAAGGTTCACTAAGGAGATCAACTTCAGGGTCTCTATTCTCATATCTTTCTTTGAGCTTTTGTTGGGAAACTTTTTTTTTGTTTCTTTAAAACATCATCACCATCCAGAAAGCTTCTATATGCGTCTATCTAGCATTCTTTGCATTTACAATTTATATCCCAGTAACAATGTCCTTATGGAGATCTATATATATATACGAGATTTTTATTAGACTGAAAGTGTGTGACTGAAACAGCAAGGAGATTAGCTTGACATCTTCGCATCATAAATTTGTTGAAAAGATTGTTGGAAGAGAAACATCCTTTTTTTTACTATGATCAAACTCAATTGTGACAATACCATCTTGATTTATCTTATAGGTTGGATCAAAGTGTTTAATTGGTTCATCTTACTTTTAAATCTTTTGATAACTTGTCGTCCATGTCTTTGAGAGAATGGTGGTAAGTTCTTCATTTGAGATCTACTTTGAAATGTGAACATGTCTAGGAGTCTTATCTACTACTTTTATTTTGACAAAAACAGGATCGCTAGAGTGTGAAAGAAGCAAGTTAATGGCATGATCTTAAACTTTATATGCCATCTGGTAGTGAAAAGTTACCTGGAGTCCTTTCATTTCTGTGCCTACAATCTGAACTTAAACTTTTAAAGCATCTAATAGTGTTGGATCATAAAGAGATATATTATAACTTGGGAAGACTGTGAAGAAAATAGTTCATGCATTAAACGTTGTCTCAACTATGCCAAGGACTACATGTTTGTATTCTTTAAATTTTATGTCCAACAAAGCCATTCTGGTACATACAGGAATTCCATTTCTACCGTGAAAGGTTAAGGCTATTCTGATAGCACCAAAGTGGATATGAGTGTATCATTGTTCTAACCATTGTTGAGAAAATTCTTCTGAGATCTAAAGAGTAACAAAGTGTTCTTGAGGTCCTGCTAGAAGAATACATTGATCAAAGTTTGTGACTTGAACATATTCTTTTGGAGCTTGGTATTTTGATTTTAAAAGAGTTTTTAAAGATCTAGTAAGAGAAAAGGAGGAGTTTAAGAAAGCTGTATAGGGATTTACAAGGGAAAGAACTATTTGTTGGGTTTTTTTTTCTTCTGGGATATAATCTTTTTATCAATTTGAAGCTGGTAATTGTATTCTGAAGGATAGGTTTTCCATAGAACTTCATCTTGGAACTCTGGCCAATTTTGCTTGGGAATTTTGTGATTCATTTCACAATTTTATCTCTGAAATTTAGTATATTTAGCAGGGTGATCAAACTGCGAATAACTTTGAAAGCTAAAGTTAGTCATTCAGGTTGAACCCATATCATTTCAAGCAGGCAATCCAAGAATGTTCACTTCTCCAGGCTCAATGATTAATTGAACCAACCTCCTCTCCATGGGCATGCGAAGCATTTTATGTCAATAAACGTTCAGAACAAGTTTGTGAAAAATTAAGATTGGTGGTTAATTACAAGCTTCTAAACATTTTCCTTGCAGATGATAAGTTCCCTCTTTCAGATAGAAAAACTTTGTTTGTAAATTTGGCAAATGTAAAAGTTTTCTATTTTGTCCAAAGGTTTTTAGGTAAGACAAAAGGGTTTGCTATGTTTTGGGTTACACCAGTGTCAAAAAAGGCTGTGACTATTATGGGAGGGGAATGTTTGTGAAGAAAGATCTGAACTGGAGCTAAAGGCAATTTTAAAGGTTAAAGAGTTTGAATTTTTTGGAGTTCTTGGACTGACATATACTCATAACATTGATCACCTTTACTTTATGTCAAATAAGTGATAAGTCATAGTGATGAGTCACTTTACTTTAGATTTATGTTAAGTCACTTGTAAAGTTGTAATTATGCTTTGTCCTAGCCTTATCCCATTAGGTTACTATTACTTTACTTTTTTCTTGTAGAAATAGGATGCTACTTCTTCAATTTATGTCCCAATAACAATGTCCTTGTGGAGATCTATATGCATACACGGGATTTTCGTTGGACTAAAAGTGTGTGACTGAAACATCAAAGAAATCAACTTGACATCTTTGTATCATAAATTATGTTGGAAAGATTGTTAGAGGAGGAACATCTTTTGTTTTGCTGTGATTAAACTCAATTGTGATAATACCATCTTGATTTATCTTGTAGGTTAGATCAAAATGTTCAATTAATTCATCTTACTTCCAAATCTTTTGATAATTTGTAGCTTCTAGTTATAATATCTTCACACCACTTTACACATACATGACACTCCTTACCAAGTCTATACTCCTCCTCCATTTAAACCATACAATCTTTCAACTTCACATCCAAAACCTTTTTTCACACCTTATCGATATAAATCTCCTCCAACATTCATCCCAACATCCTCACAAATAACACAATATAAAATTATTGTAAGGCTGTATTCAACACCAATCATTAATGATCAGAGCATAAAAATGGGGATTTTAATGGTAGCCTGCATTATTATTTGTATATATATGTACCATTTTTTTTATTTGTTAGGCCCGCCCAACATGACCTGCAAGGCTGATCTGACAAACTCCAAGTCCAACTCATGATAAGCGGCTAGGAATTTTTTAAATTCAATTAAAACAAAAATTAATTGACACGTAAGCCAAAAAGCGTCCAAATGAATTTCGCCTACACAAACCGACTTTGTGGCCAAGACATCTTCTGTGACAGTCTCCTCCAATCACAACACTCAAAATCCCCACTCTCTCAATCCTCCTTCTGCCACGTGTCCTTCCTAATCTCCACCCCTTTCTCTTCTTGTTTAAGCTCCTCGCTTTCTTCACGGTGTTTTTAAATCCTGTCCGTTTCTCTTCACTCTGCCACACCACAAAACCTTCACAGTCCCGAAAATAACCAAAAAAAAAAAATGAAAAAATGAAAAATTTTGGGGGTTAAGTTAGGGTTTGATTAAAATTCTTTGTTGAAGGAAACAGATAAATCTGTTACATTAATGGCGTCAATATCTCTATCATTACAAAACATTCAATTTCTCTCTCCAAGAACGACTTCAAAGCACCTGTTTTATCTCTCTAGATGTTCTTCTTTCTCCACAGTTTCTCTCGCCGGAAATAGCCATTTGAGGAACGTCGTCGTTTTGCGTTCTGGGATTCGAGCTCTTAAAGAGGAAGGAGTTGCCTATGAGGAATGGGAGCAAGAATATATCAAGGAATTGAATGGAAATGGTACTGCAAGTAAGTATGATTATGATAATGGATCAGTTAAGGGATTTACCAACGGTGGGGTTGGATTGGTGGAGAGTGAAAGCAATGGGAGCTTGGTTAAGTATGTGAACGGGAATGGGAATGGGACTGCGGCGGCGGCGACAGCGACGGCGGCGGAGGTGGTGGTGGTGGAAGAAGAAGGAGTTGATTCGGAGGAGGTGAGGAAGAAGAGGGTAGAAGAGATTGGGAAAGAGGAGGCTTGGTTCAAGAGCAGCACCCAAGAACAGGTCGAGGTACTTGGTTTTACTTTTGAGAACTTGGGATTGATTTAAAAAATTCGAAGTTTTGTTTTTTTTTTTTTTTTGGTAGTTACTTGAATTTTGATTCTTAAAAGCTTCTGCAAAGCAAAGCAAATGCTACAAAGTAAAACATATTAATTCAGAGGGAACAATTGACTGAAGTGACTAAAAAAAAACATCAATTTTAACATAATTGTTCTATATTAAAAGTAAATTATGCATTAATTCTTTTAAAATATGACATTTTTTATGTTTAATTTTCCAAAAAAATTTAATTTTTATTCAAAAACCAGCAAAAAAAAATTAACAAAATTAATAATTGATTGGAACCATAATTTTTTGAAATAAATGTTGTTTCAGCTATTATATGAGATATAGGGCTTATGGAATTTGAATTTCGACTTGAAGATTTTGCTTGCTTGTAAGCAAATTTACTACTAGTTCAGATTTGTAGCATTGCTTTAATTTATTGTTTTAGATCTCCATGACTGATGCAGATAAAATATATACCAATTCTTTTTCTCTTCTTTTCAGTGTATTATCTTGTTTGATAGTTAGAGAGGACTATATGTAGCTACTAATAGAAAAATCTTGGTGTGCAAATTTAGTATGACGTTGATCAATCTGTTCATATTTTGTCCAATAGATGGGCTACAGAAGGGGTGACTCTCCACCCTTAATACTTAAACCTCCCCATATTGAAGAAGAGAGTAGATCCCAAGTTAGTCAAAACCCAAAAATGGTGGAACATATTTAAGCTAGTATCATGGTGTTTTTTCCTTGATATATACTGTCACCCATTATTTAGATATTTACTTGACTTGTGGATTATATGTTGAGCTGACTGTGTCTATTTGTTTTTATTGTCACAACTATCTATTTTTTGGTGTGCTTTGTGGTTAAGTAGAAGCTCTGGATGTGTTTCCTTGTGCATCTGCTCCTCTAATTTTGTGTTAACCATGATCTTGTGGCAATTAATCTCTCAGGTTTCTGTTGCTTCTGGGGGGCGTTGGAATAGATTTAAAACCTACTCAACAATACAAAGGACCTTGGAAATATGGGGATTTGTTATAACTTTTATATTTAAGGCATGGTTGAACAATCAGAAATTCTCCTATCGAGGTTGGTGATTGCTAAATTTGCGTTTTTTTCTTTTGCAGTAAAATACATTTTATTTCCATTCTGGTCTTCTTAACAAATATAATTTTTCTTATTGTAAACCATTTCATTCTTCGGTATGATGAAACAAAAAGAAATAATGAAAAGAAGATAGTGTATGCCTCATTATCAATTTGTTTTGGTTAGTTTAGAGGTCCTCATATTTTTGCAGCTGGTGAATAATAAAGCCCTTGTGTATGACTGTCTACAACTTCCCAGTGTTTTTCTATTTTTCCAATTGTTTTTACTTGGAGTATAGTAGATTATAAAAATTGGAAAATCCTAAATTTCATCCATGACATTTGATGGCAAAGTGACATTTTCATAAATGGAATTTGAGAAAGAATGCATCATGTAATATAAATTCATTGTTTTACCTTTTATCAACCCTAATTCTAATTTTACTAGATAAAGGGATATTATTGAATAGAATTAACATTTGTGAGTTGCAAATATAAATAGAATTGCTTATGTGGGAAAAGAATTGGTTTTGAGTAACTGATATGATCCAGCTTTCAACAACATTATCAGGGTACTAAATTTTCTTGAGATCCTTTGTTATTTTGCCTTTTGTCTTTTTAGATGGTGGGTGTGCTTGTAGCAGTCCCTTGCATTTCTGAACTAGCACCAAATGATGAAATATAGAATTTTAAGGGATGGTTTAAGGTTGGCCTATTTCCTTGAGATAAATCCTGTCGTGTTTTATACATGATAGCTGGAGAAACCTGGCTATGCTTTTTAGGGACTACTAACCAAGTTAATTAGTGGGCCAAGCCCACAATTACAATCAATATCTAATAGAAAAAATGTTGAATGTGCCAAAGTTGTCTCAATTGATGAACTAGAAATGTTTGAGATGATCAATAAGTTCATTATGATTTATCATGTAGGGGAAGGACTTTGTGATATAAATTTTTGCTAAAGAAAAGTTGTCTTTTGAAAGAGAATTAAGGGCTAAGGACTAGCCTTTTTTATAGAATTAAAGCATAATGGTCTAATCTGTGCTTTTTTCAATTGATTTGTTTTTGATGCTTTGCAAAGAGGTCAGACTAGTTTTTAAATTTGTTTTTTGGATAGTCATTTTAGCTATAGCGCGTGGTTTCTGATTACCTTTCCTTTACTTCTTATAATGTTGTTATTGTTTCTAGTTCTTGGTGTTATATATTTAGTTCTAAAGTTCCATATATGCAGGAGGAATGACTGAGGAAAAGAAAGTTCTAAGGAGGAAGGCCTTGGCAAAGTGGTTGAAGGAAAGTATCTTGAGACTGGGCCCTACTTTCATCAAAATTGGCCAGCAGTTTTCCACAAGGGTTGACATTCTTGCTCAAGAATATGTTGATCAGTTGTCAGAGCTACAGGTTGAAGTTCCTTTACTTTAAAATTTTAGACTTTTAGGTTAAAGATCATTTATCGTGGATGTTAGATTCTGCTTGGAGCACAATTTATTCAAGATAAGGCAGATGAAGGGCATAAAAAAATCTAAAATAGAGTGATTCTATGCCACAAAAATCATTTCATAATTTTCTATTTCTTATAACCCCGTGCAAGAGAGACAGAGTTTGCTGGCCAGTTGGTTTCTAAATTTAAAACTCTATAGGTAAGAATTTAATTGCTACTCACTTGCAGGATCAAGTTCCACCTTTTCCATCGGCGACTGCACTATCTATTGTTGAAGAAGAGCTTGGAGGCCCTGTAGATGATATCTTCGATCGGTTTGACTATGAACCCATTGCTGCTGCTAGTCTTGGTAATTCTAATGTCCCCTACAATTCTTTTGATGTGGAAATTTTTTGCAATCATATAATGCAAAAAGTTAACTGGTAAAAAGTGGATTATGGCGTGGTTAGTGTGACCATGGTCAAATAACAATATTATATACAACACACACCCAACACATATGTTGATATGCATACATCTCTAATTTTTGCATGAAGGCTTTACGGAGATTTGTTCTGTTTGGTGCCAAGTGGTATATTCAACTATTCATCACAAATTTCTTTTTCCTGATTTTTTCCTTTTTCTTTCATTTCATTTATTTCCTTATGATTTATGTATTGCTTAGTAAGAAAAATTGTTATATGTATTGAGTAATAAATTGAACAAAAATTTATATTTTTTTAATAAAATTATTCATTATTCCAAGTTTCATTCATGAGTTTTTGTTAGTAAATTGATCCACTTTTTTATTTCACGTACATATTAAGTGCCTATATATGGTAAAGATTCACAAAACCACTCCCTTAACCATAAACAAATTGGAGTTAACTTTATTTTCATCACAAACTTTGATTTTATTAAATTATATGTTGTAAAAATTACTAATATTTCATTTGGCCTTATTTCATTCTTTTTTAAAAAAAAAGTTAGCCCTGCCGAGATTATATATTTTAATTTCAATGAGTTTGAAATTTAAAGAAGAGTCAGTTCAAAAAAAGAAGGAAGAAAAAAATGCCTTCAACAGTTTTAAACAATAAAGGAATGAGAGAACATACTTAGGATAATAGTTTTTAGTTGATTAATTATAATTAACAGATTTTTTGTTTCTTCTGCAGGCCAAGTCCATCGGGCAAGATTGAAGGGCCAAGAAGTTGTTATCAAAGTACAAAGGCCTGGTTTAAAGGATCTCTTTGATATTGATCTTAAAAACCTGAGGGTTAGTTTAGCCATTTGAATTTTTTGTTCCATTTGATCAGAGCTTAGCTGAATAATGTGTCTTCTTATCATGATGTCATCATGCCTATGGTTTCTTAGCTTCTGTAGCTTTGGATACATTGACTTCTACTCTTTAATTTGCTTGGCAAACATGATTTTTACTTAATTATCATGGTTATACTATCACTATAATCAAGTACTAAGACACTACTTCTGTTTGAGATAAAGGTACTTTTGGACATGAGAACCACTAAGGAAGGTTGAAAACTCTGATTCTCTCTCTTGTTTGTTACGCCTCAGGTGATAGCTGAATATCTTCAAAAGATTGACCCAAAGTCAGATGGTGCAAAGAGAGACTGGGTTGCAATTTATGATGAATGTGCAAGTGTGTTGTATCAGGTAGCCTTATTATTGCATCAGAAGCAATCAAGTGCCTTGCTTCTGAATTACTTTAGTCAATTCTATATTCCTTGCTATTTGCAATGCTAATATTTCTTATCAAGCTTATGCCGGAAGGTTCTTTATTTTAAGTTGTTAAAGAAGTTTCCTTGTTGCTTATTAAAAGCTGATGCTCAAAAGATTCCCATGTTGTAAGACTGGATGAAATTACAATAACGAACTAGCAAGAGAATAAAAGACTATTGATGTTGAACAAGGAGGGAAACTAGATAAAGAACAGAAATTAGAAGGAAAATCAGATATAGGTTGAAGAAATTAGGGAGAAAAAGGGGAAATTAATGGAGAATTAGAAGACTTAGGGAGGGAAATCCAGAAAGAATCAGTAGAGCAGAAAAATCTCAATAATTCATCGTAGTTTAATTGGATCCTTTGTCATGCCCAAGCCTTTTAGCTTTATGGAATATCCTCCTTTTAAAGTGATAAGTCTTAGGTGAAGTTTGAAATTAGGCATGGACAAAGAAAATATTTTGCACTATGGCCCTGAGCCTCTGGTAAAGGGGAAAAATATAGATAATCATGATCACATAACATGAAATGGTACTCAGGCTTCCTTGGAAAATCCTAATCTAGAATTGAATTCATAAGGAGAACGTTAATTAGTCATCATTCCATTTTATTTTTTTTTTTTTTGGAATTTTGAAAAACGTATATATGCAAAATTCTAAAATATCATCGAGGAAATGAGAATGCATTTTGAACTCCCGTTTATTTTTATAATTAACAAAGAAATGTATGGCCAAACTTATTTAAGCCTTTTATCATCTTGACCTGCAGGTTAAATGAATAATGTTAGGTTGTGCGAGTTGTTATATTCCTTTAGCAAATTCTGCAACTGTTTTCATTGATAGTAACTGATATATATGCAATTTCAGGAAATTGATTACGCCAAGGAGGCTGCTAACGCCGAATTGTTTGCCACTAACTTCAAAGAAATGGATTATGTGAAAGTTCCGACAATATACTGGGAATACACCACACCACAGGTATGACCTTTTATAAATTTATGAAAATTTTAAAACCGGAATATCTTCTGGAGTTTCACTCTTATATTTTTATTTGTTCATGTATTTTCATTTAGGTCCTGACAATGGAGTATGTACCAGGAATCAAAATAAACAAGATTCAAGCCTTAGATCAATTGGGAGTTGATCGAAAAAGGTTTTAATAATTTGCCTAGTGAAAACCATTATTTCACGTGTTACTTTCTTCTCTCAAATTCAACACTTTGTTCTTTGCAAATTGAGAGAAACAAGTGATTACTACTTATCATGTTTATTGTTACCTTTCTTGCTCTTCACAAATAATACATTTTATATCTGCTACAGATTGGGCAGATACGCTGTTGAATCTTACTTGGAACAAATTCTATCTCATGGTTTCTTCCATGCTGATCCAGTGAGTTTCCCTCATCTCTTTCAGGTTTTGGGCTTATCCAAATGCACTGATTGAGCAAGATATTCTTCTGGGTTTATATGTGCAAATGCTAGGTGAAGGGGGCATAAATTGCTTATCATGTTTCATGTTTGCATTAAAAATTATAGCATAATTTCAAAGGAATTCGCTGCCTATCTTTGAAGCCATGCTTCATGAATGGCTCAAGAGTATCATGTAGAAGACCCTTGGAGCACAAACTTTTTTATAGTGTATGCCTAGCATTTGTTCTTAGAACCAAAATGTGCAATATTGTCAATTGGTAGTTCCCTGTTTTATTTATTTCTTTGCTCAGACATTACTAAATCAACTTATCCTCAGTTCCTCCTTTCATCTTTTTTTAATTTACTAAAGCAAGAAAAAGATTAGGCAACTATAAACTGAAACTACTGACATTAGAAATTTTGTAAGAAATCAAATGTAATTAGTAGTGATATGTTTTCCTGCTGCAGTTTTCCATTATTGGGTCCCACTATCCACCAGTTTACTTAGTCAGCTCTGTGTTCTTTTCAAGAGTCATTATTTCTCTCAGATATTTCAAGTTAGAACCACCTCAAATAACTGGGAACTTAGCTAATGCCAAATGAAAATCTATGCAAAGTTTGTCAAAAGCATGACCCTCACCTCCTTTAGGCTGACTAAGACAGCCAAGAATTGTGTAAACTGTCTCCTACTTTATGGTTCAGATCATTTGGAAGAAGATGCTGGAATGTGTTCACATTGTTGTCTTATGGTATATTCCAACGAGTGGGAGACTTACCATTTCTATGTTTTAGTACCAATAGCTGTAGGAGAGATAAGTAAGCTGTGGTCATCAAGTTCCATGAGTGCTTAATGCTAGACAAGCCCTCAGGTATGTCTAATAAGAGCCTTCTTACATTTTTTTTTTTCTCTTCCATTTCTGCAGCATCCAGGAAATATTGCTGTTGATGATGTTAATGGTGGACGGTTGATCTTCTATGACTTTGGGATGATGGGAAGGTAATTTTTTATGCCATGTTGGCTATTTACTATAATAAGCATTCTGGATAAAATATTTTTCAGGAATTGGTGACTTCTTGTGACATATATCTTCTAATGTGGCACCTTGCAGTATCAGTTCAAACATCAGAGAAGGTTTGTTGGAAGCATTCTATGGAGTTTATGAGAAGGATCCAGATAAGGTAATTATGTCTTTAAGTGTAATGGCCCATATCATGCATTAGTTTTTGGACTTTCATTTTTATATTCTGTTACTGTTCAGTTAACCTCAACTTTACTTTAGGTCCTTCAAGCAATGATTCAGATGGGTGTTCTTGTACCTACTGGAGACATGACAGCTGTCAGACGGACAGCACAATTCTTCCTTAACAGGTGTGATTAATGAAGAGAAAAATCCTATGGTTTAACTTTTGTGGACATCCTTAAGTTTCTTTTGGCTAATAGGGCTATCTTGGTGTAAACTATAAAGTGTTCTTTGTTTGTGTATCCAAATTGGAATGAGAAAAAATACATTTTCAAAAACATGAATTATTACCTTGGATATGCTCTTTGCCTGTTGAATACAAGTTTAGAAATGCAAGCCAATTTTTTATATTTAACCTTGGAAAAAAAAAAAACGTGATGGGGAAAGTGATGTATATTGTAGTTGTCTCTTTGATCAAATATTCTGTTGATGTGAAATATTTAAATGCAATTATTTCAGTTTTGAAGAGCGGCTTGCTGCTCAACGAAGGGAGAGAGAAATGGCAACAACAGAACTTGGATTTAAGAAGCCATTGACCAAGGAGGAAAAGATAGAGAAAAAAAAGCAACGCCTGGCTGCAATCGGTAATACATTTGGTGTTATATTGTTATGTACAATAAGGTTTTACACTCTTGACTAGATTATCCTTTATGTGTTGTCTGAACTAACTTGGCAAAGGACACGAGACCCTTGCATAACTTCTGTTTTGAGGACTATTTAAGCATCTAATAGACTAAATTGTATACAAGTAATTTGACTTGCATAATTTTTGAGTTTTGCATATTCTTGAGCATGTTTATAAAAAAGCCATCTTTGGTAGAATTTCTAGTTTCTTAGTTCATGGACACTTACATACAAGCATATAGAGGAAAAAGATAATGTCAGCTTCTTTATCACTTGTTTTGGTTTGAAACATATGATCAGTATTATCACTCTTAGGGAAAGATTTTCTCCCCTGCAAGAAGCTGTGTACTTTTTCCTTTTACCCTTTTGTTCACTAAAAATACTGGGTTCCTTCTACTCATGAATGTTCCATATCTGACAGGGGAAGATTTATTAGCCATTGCGGCAGATCAACCCTTTCGATTCCCTGCCACATTCACTTTTGTTGTTAGAGCATTTTCAGGTAATGCAGTAATCTGTTGGCTTCATCGCTATGTGTGCTGTATTTAACAAAAACATCAGCATAAAGAATTATTCCTTCTGCAGTATTAGATGGCATTGGGAAGGGCCTTGATCCTCGTTTTGATATTACTGAGATTGCAAAACCGTGAGTGTGGTTTTAGGTCCTTCAGATCCTTAACAGATTTCAATTTACCCTTCTGAAATTTAGTTTTTCATATTGTCTGTATATCTGATTATCTTCCATTCTCTTGCTTCTAGCTATGCACTGGAGTTGTTAAGATTTCGTGAAGCTGGAGTTGAAGTTATATTGAAGGCAATCTTCAGCAATCGTTGATTGTACTTTTGAATTTTATTTTTCATTATGCGTTTCCATTTTCATGCTCATCCATATAAATATTTCAGGACTTCAAAAAGAGATGGGACAAGCAGTCCCGTGCTTTTTCCAACTTATTTAGGCAGGCTGATAGGGTCCAGAAGCTTGCTGAAACCATCCAAAGATTGGTATGGTTGAAGAATTCCTATTATAATTTTGTGTGAAAGGTTAAAATAGTTGCTATTTTATAACCATTTTTTCAATTTTAGAGTGATGTTGCATAATGCTGTATGTTACAGGAGCAAGGTGATCTGAAGCTTAGAGTACGAACTCTTGAGTCTGAAAGGGCTTTCCAACGTGTTGCTGCTGTTCAGAAGACATTAGGGAGTGTGAGTCAAATTATAAACTTGTTTTTCTTTAGATCTAATTTCTTAGTTTGAGATTTCTTAAAAAATTAAACATTTTTACATTCCTTCAAACTTCATATTGCACTGTTGAATTATTGGCTTTTCCATCTTTTCAAGTGAGATGCAGAGTGTTTCTTTCGGTACTTCACATGAAGTTTTCTTTTATGCTGCAAATCCTTCTGTAGTTTGGCAACTTCTAAAGTAGATGTTCTCTTTTATGCTGCAAATCCTTCCATAGTTTGGCAACTTGTACACTAGAGATATAGGCTCAATGTTATCCCCTTCCCCTTCTGTACTTGTTGTCCTTTGGTATTGGAGTCCAGTGTGGCATTTGGGGGAGTTGGAAAGTGACTGAAGATGTGGCTGTGGAGTTCCATGAGTTGTATGGTGTGCATGCTTTTTATGTGATTATAGTAATGGTTTTGCTGGTAGTGTCAAAATCTGACTCTTAAGTAATTTAAAATGGATGAAATCTAATGTACTTTTTATATTACTTTAATTGAAGGGATTTCATAGCTTATTGATATTTTTTTCCATTTATAACTTTTAACGACACATATCTTCTTGGTTGCTTTTAGATATATTCTACATTAGGTAAAATGTTTGAAAAATTCATCAAAGGTAGATATTTACTCAGTGATCATGTTCCTTTTAACCTATCAACAGGCAGTAGCTGCTGGAAGCCTTATCAACCTTGCAACAATTTTGTACCTCAATTCTGTACGAGTAAGCTCTCTATTTTAATATGAATCTTTGTGGATTATTACGTCCCTCAGTTTTTGATTATCTCTTTAATCATTTGATCATATGGTTATAAATTTAGGTGCCAGCTGTAGCTGCATATATCTTCTGTGCATTTTTCAGTTTTCAAGTGCTTATCGGTATTATAAAGGTAAAAAAATTAGACCAGAGAGAAAGGTTGATAACAGGAACTACTTGAGAAATTGGTAAGCAAATCTTATTCTTTTACCTTTTATGCATCTCGTATTAATTCTTCATCTTTATAGTTAAGATATAATTCTGTAAAAAAGGTTCACTATGATACCTTTCTATGATTTAAAGATTCACGAGCATTGTTTTAGATACTTGAACAACAGACAAGGTTAATTGTGTTATCGTTTTTAACAGCACAAGCTCTTTAATATGGACTCATTGATGTAGAATGAGAAATTTTAATATATCACTGTAGAGTCATGCATGTTTCCATGCTATTCTTGTGTTCTCGCTCTGATATAAAAAATATTAGAGGTTTCGGCTTCATTTTGGCAGCTTTGGAGATCAAACTCAAATGAAGCTTTGACAACAAATCAATTTCCAGCCAGCAGAAACAAAGTGAGAAGCACAGATGCTATACAGTTTGTTTCTCAATTTCAACGTAAATGAAACCCCCACCTTAGTAAATTAGTCATGAGGATGTGTAACTTCTGTGCACTTGGGATGGACTTCTTAAAGCTCACAAAGATCTTGGTGACATTGTTCTAGGGTTGTAATTGTTCTAGCCAAACCCTGATTGTGGTCTCAAGTGTCCCTGACATTCCCCAGTCTCGAGGTTGTATCCTTTCCTGTTTCTTCGGCTGGCTTATCATTATAGCAAGTCTTTTAGCCATAGCATAGAGTAATTCTTGCAACAATATAATGGTCAGTGTTAGCATAATGTAGCTTCCCGTCATAATTTAATAGGGTGCACGTCTATAAGCTGTGTATAATATTGTAACATACGGGAAATGTTTAATCTTATATGCCAGGCACTGACTGCAAACTCAATTATGGTTCGTCTTTTGGAAACTCAACAGGTGTTGATTGTCGCTTGAATCTAGTCCTCGTATGACTACATGTAGTTCTCTCATTTTTTCTCGGCTAAAAGGTATAAAAAGCTCTTGAATTATAATTAAAAATTTATTTAATTAATTCTTTCAATATTTATTTACGTTCAATTAAATTTTTATTTGAATGAAGAACTTAACACCTTTAAATTTTTTATCAATTAAGATAAAATTTTATGGCACATCAATAATTAACTTATTTTATAAAAGATTTATTGGTTTTAGATTATTTTGACCTGTTTCCTAATTCCTCAGCAACAAGCTCGACCCACGAGACCGTGGGTTGCCTTCTTTCGGTGTCTTCTCGTTAACATATGGTAGAAGATTACTGAAAAAGTGGTTCATGGCCATGGCCCATGGCGTTTTGTAGGCTAGGCCTAACAAATTTTGAGTGTGAAATAAAATGGGTTTTTTTTTTTTTTTAAATGAGCTTGTATGTCTTACCCCTATGCTAAATGCATAATCATAGAGTCGTTATTTATTACTCTATACATTTGCGTATGAATAATAAGACGATAGAAACAGCTTTACTCATTTCTAAATTAGGACTCAGGAAATGAGAGTGAAAGACAAGATTTTCCTTGGACATTTACATCTCATATTTACATAATAAAATGCCCTCAGCCTACAAAATTCTTAATGATTTGTTTTCCCAATCCCTTTACCTTTAACCTTTGCAAACGCTTATATACACAATAATATAATTAGTTTTCTTTCTTAATAGCAAAACATAAAATACAAAAAAAGAAAAAAAAAAACCTTAATTTTCCCCTTCTCTTTCTTCCTTTTCCACTAATCTGCCACATCATTTGAAAAGCCCAGAAGAATAAAATATTCTTTAATTATCTTTGAACTGTGTTATCTATCGTTCTGACAACTTCCAAGACAGTGGCATTGCAAAAGAAACATCTTTGACAGTTTAAAAGATGTCTGGTTATGCAGCCATAGCAAGAGGTATGGGAACATGGTGCAAACTGTGCATCAGCTTCACAAGCATAACAGATGCAGCACATGCCATCATCGGCATCACTTTCTCCACATTGAAGCCCCTCAATCTTGCGTGTCTCAGTATGGCTGATGAGGAGGCTCAAGAAATTCTCCAGCTGACAAAGTTTAGGAACATATGCTTCTCCTCTAACAGTTGTGGCCTGCAAAATTGAAGTTGTAATAAAAAAATGAAGACTGTAAAGGCTAATGCCATAAAGAATATAGAAACATGATGAATTTTTGGAGATAATAAGGCTAACAGTACTCACCCAATTATACTCTAACAGGTATCGGAAACCATAATACATGGTTTGAGGGCAATCCATGCTTGCAAATACACCCACAACATCATTCTGTTCCTTGAGTTCTGACTCCACACTAGCATCCAACAAATTCACAATGATCCCTACTAGAGGGGCTAATATCATGCCTCTGTTTACTTTCTCCAAGGATAGACCATGTCGTCTAAGTGACCTGTTAGTAAAATGCTATGAGTAAAAAGAATATAAACAAGTATTTAATACTACCATGTTTTTTGTATAATAATTAACAAGTAATAGTGCTTGTAAGACCAGTCAGTTCTCAGACATCTTAAAAAGGAGATAATTTGAAATTTGATACTTTCAATATGTCCAGTGATATATGCAAAGATATGTCCACATACATTTGAAATTTTCAATGCCAAAAAATGAGAAGAGGCTTGACATATATATGCAACAACAATGAGGTAAAAGATCCAAAATGTTGGTTCACCAAATGTCTTGCATGCAGCTTTATAAGAGGAAATCAACATATCTCATATACAGAATGGATTAGCATCAATTAGGACAGGAAAAAGGATATTAAGCGTTATAATTTAAAATGAAAAAGACATGCATAGAAGTCAACTCGGCTGGCAGACAACTTACAAGTCAAAAAACTCAGCATCTGCTGCTGAAGTTATATGGTTCAGAATAAAGACAATCAACTCAGTCAGTCTTCGAAGGTTTGTATCAGGCCCTAAGAGGAATGCTTGAGGGATTTCATGGGTACAGAACTCCAAAACCCTTGCAAGATTACACGACAGATCAAATATGACACAGCATTTCCTCTGCTGAAACTCCATTACCTGCAAAAGCATGTCTATAACATCAAATCATAGATCCAAAGGAAGATGGCTGCAGAAGCAAAGAAAAGGCCAGGACTATCCTCACATATGGCATTACATGACATACTAACAAAAGTTCTAGCTATAAACTCAATGGGATACATCACCATAAAAATATTCAGCCCACAAGATAAATCCAAATTTAATTTTATCATTCCAAAAAAGCAAACAAGAATTGCAACTTTACTTGATCATTTTTTTATAAACAAATAAATATTTACATTCAATTTTTAAGTAGACCAAAAGCCCAAACTAAACCAATGCCAATGCTAGGAAAAGGCATTTGCAGACTAGCACTGATTTTCCCAACTCCAGCAAACTTTCAGTTACAGTCGGTAATTCTTACTCCCATTGTCCGATTCAGCAACAAGCCCGAACTATGAAAAGTGTACCCCAATCATTGTTCTCTCACACCTTTTCACCTATTCCAGTGCCCCTCACTATATTATCATACATCCTCTCCACATTCACCTATAACAATTGCACCCTGCATGCCTTCCATGAAATACAAAGAGATCCATCTAAGCATGTTTAAAGTAGGACTAAACTAGCACCAATCATCTGTTAGATTGCTTTAAAAAATAGAAGAAGAATAAGGTATATTTATAAATTCAAAATTTTCTCAAAAAAATTATTTGGATTAGAGAGACCATGGCATAATAGTCAGACAACAAGAAAAAAAAGATGACAAAAATATAATCTTTGAATTCCATCCATTTACCTTTTAACTTGAAAAGGTAGTAGCATTTACAAGGGTAATTCTGTACTGTCATGGTTCCCTTTTCAGGAACATGTGTATTGTCATTTTTTTTTTTCAGTTGTATCCTTGTTATCTACTTTCTGAAAGTAGCAGAAAAAAGATAGATGGTGGATATATAAGCCCGAAAAAATGCAAGGCAACTAAGTTAAGAACAAAAAAAAGTCTAGATAAGAGAAGCATAAGTGCACAATCTCCTAAATGGGTTATTTAAAGTAAAAAACAGGAAGATATTTGTTTGAGCATGAGCATAATTATACCTGGTATTTTTCTTGCATTTCTCGAATGGAAACTGAGAATTCAGTCATTGTCCAGCTGAGAGTGTTAAATAGTCGATTGAGAAAAGCTGAGAACAACTCTTCATCATTGATGCAAGCTTCATGCAGAAGTCTCTTTAAAATTAAAGAGCCCCACATAGGGTAAAAGTTATAAACAGAAGAGATTTCAGGGGGAAAAAAAGATGAACAAGAAGCATTAGTGATGGTTCACTATTCACCTGGAAAATAACTGAGGATGATGATGATTCTCCATTCTTTGAAGAACCAAATCCAGAACCTTTGCATAGACGCAAAAGAATATTTGTAACAGGAATCCAAGACCGGTTATCAAATGCTGACAATAATGCCTTTGGCATCCTCTGTTTGGCCGCTTCATTGTTCTCAAAAGCTGCCAAATACTCCCTGTACTGCACCAGTACTGATATTGACTGGAGAAGAAGATCTCTTAGATCTGCACTTGATATCCTTGGATCGTTGAAGTGAGTAACCACAAATGTCACCTGATGAAGAACCCAAAAAACTCAGGCCATAACTCATACTTGGACTGAACAAAGAAGAAAAATCCAAAACCTACTTCTCTGAGTTCATGTTACATGTTAAAAATATGTTTAGATTTCAGAGAAAACAGGCTATGTGCCTTTAGGAATTCTGAAATTAGGAAGCTATTGAACGGAACATGTCAATTTCCTAACAACCAGAAACAACAAACAGAACATAAACTGATTATTAAGGTTCTAAATGCATATTATCCCGCATCTTCTAAATGTTTAATCAACAATATTTGTATGAGGAAAAATGGTGTAGATAAGCAAAATCAAAAAATTTATCAAATTAATCCTACCTAAAACACATTCATTACGAGGTACATATCCATTTAAGAGGACATAATAATTGGCAGTACACAAATCTAGAAAGAGAAAATAACCAAAAAAAAAGAGCAGGTTTCCATGTCCACGTTATTAGATTAATGTCAATTACTGAAAAGAAGAAACAAAAATTGCCAGAAAGCAAATTGTTAATGGGCTTAACAGCTTATGCACTATCATTGTTCTCTTTCCAGGGAATTTTTTTTTTTTTGGGTACATTTTCCAGGGAATATTCTAGCAGTCTTAAGAACATCAAAACAGTAAATAATGGCAGACCAGCCGAAAGGAAAGTCCAGAACACGTAGAATATATATTACACTATAAAGAGCTGCCCACTGAGCAGCACATGGATAAAAATAAGAGGAAAAATGGAATATTCAAAATATCATGCTTGTCCTTTGAGATGTTTATGGCACTCTCATCTACATATAAAACCATTTTCACTTTATAAAATGTGATGATGAGAGTATAAGCAATGATGTAACTTACACCAAAATGACAATATCCAGCACAGACTGCTTAACAAACTCTGATGAGAGTAAACTGTAGATAACTAGAAGAAGAACAAAATTTGAAACTCAAGACAAACAACAAAATCTGATCAATAGGCAAAACATACAAACGAAGTAAGTCCTTGCTTGATAAATATTGCAGGCGGGACGAATGGAGGATCGCTTTTCCGCAAGACATGAAAACAGTCAACCTGAAACAACAACCAGAGAAACTACCACTAATCAAGGAAAAAAAATGGAAAATAAACAAAAATGCACCAAATAATAATTTGGTAAGGTCCATATTCCAATTTGAACATAGCATCCTCTATAAGCAGATTATAAAATATTTATAATGCACTACTAAATATACAGAAAACTGGCCGGGAAAAACTCAAATCATTCTTCAATATCTTGCCAAGAATTTTTTATTTAATAGGTAATATATCTTGCCAGCAATATGTTGATACATTCACTGACATTGATTTCTGAGAAACCAAAACAAACAAAACTCATAGGTTGAGTTCCATTTTGTAGCTTCATCAAGCAGCTCATCAACTACAAATGCAATTGGAATTCTTCTTGTTCAAATTCACTTCTAAACTGTGATTACTTGATAGTAATATATGCTTTGGAAAGATGAAAACATTGTGTTTGTGTGCATAACAACCAATTTTAAAAATCAATGAAAAACCTTTTTTTTTTCATGCAATATGCAGCATACACAATTTAAATTGCAAGTCTACCTAGCAAAACTGATTATAGTCTTATCTTGATTAAATTGGAATGGAAACAAAGCATAACTTAATTAAAGAAAGATTGGTTTTACCAGAGCTTCAATGTAAAACTCAGGGATGTAAATAAACACTGAATCCAATTTGCTAAGAACCAGTAGCAATTGCACAATCCACATGCATGTGGCATACATTCCTCTCTGCTTCCATCGAGAAAATAGAGAGACACGATACCTATACAGCAAGACAAAAGAACCAACTGTGAGCACACACAGGGACTCAACTAAACTAATTTAACCTATTAGAAGTTAGAATATGAACTTTCATCCAAACAAATACAAGAAAGAGGAACCATATTCTCCACCTCTAATTTCTCAAAACAGTGACAGATAAAAGGTATACTGAGAAAAATCCATTCAACCAGCCTTATTTCTTTGTCAATGCCTTGGTGAGGAAACCAGATCAGTGTGAGAGAACATTTTTACAAAAAAAATGAGGTCAAAGTCCAAAGAATGACTCAGGTGTGGTGAAGATAAAGATACAAGTCTTGCAAGTAATGAAATCTAAATAAGTCCATCTGAAAGAACATAGCATTTGAAGCATCCACTAGTTGATCGAAATAGTAATATGAATCAAGAATAATAGTCATACCACATAGTCATAATCATTATCATTTTCAATTTAATATCCGCAATAACTAGAGATAGAAAGGTCTCCTGAGATCTAAGATTACAGCACAGCATAACAGAACATGAACACTTTAAGTCATAAATGAAGTACAACGTATCACTTAAACACCTAGGGGCAAATCAAAAGAAGAACAGATCACAACCAAATTATATGACTGAAAAGAAATGAGACCAAGAACAGAGAAATGATCCATGGGACAACAAACTAATCATGGTAATCTTACCATGCGCAATGTCTGACAGAATCAATAACTTCTTCACGATAGTTATTACGAGTCTCCTTCAAACGCTTTAATTGCTCACCGCAAGCTCGTTCTCGTATTTGTTTATCAGTTTCTTCCAGGAGGGATATTGACTGTGCTTGATGAGACATGTAATATGATGCCTATAAAAGTAAAATTTTCTCAGTTTTTCATAATCATTAAAGGGCAGAGGAAGGGGGAAAAGGTGCCGCAAATTCAAAGGTGGAATACCAAACATAAAGCAATTACTAGTTAAAGAAGACACAAATATTCAATTCCTCATGGTAAAGATCATTCTAAAACCAATATCATTTCTGTCAAAAAGAACAAAGGAAAATCATTCAAAACAAAACAAAAGAAACCTTTACAGCATATCACCATGTTAAGATCAATAAGCATTTTGTGTCATTCAGGATGACCTTGAAATTTACTAATAAATAAATAAGTTAAGCAGACTTAAACCTTTCAATACTACAAGACATACAGAACATAGATTTGTTAGCATGGTTAAAATTGACAACTTAGTCACTTTTAATCTTACTACCAAAACAGTCTCAGGGACACAAAGACGTATAACTAAATACTGAATAATAAAGTTACATAACATAGCATGGGAACCACTAGACTTATAAAAGAATAGGGAGTGGCATGCATAAGTGTGAAAGATACCAATCATCATGAAACAACAAAGTCAAACAATCGCAACCTCCAAGTAGTTTTCTTCTCCTATTGTAGGAACCATAAAAACCATATCTATTTTCTCTAACAAATATGCCATCCACTCTGACATTCATCTAAACATGTCAGTGCAGATTGTACACCTAAAAAATTGCCTATTGTGTTGCAATATACAAAGTCCAACCACCATCTCAACAGATAATGAGAAGCATCTCTCTTCTTTCTTTTCCTTTCATTCTTAAAAAATAAAAATGGAAAGAAAAGGAATACCCACATGAAAAAACAAAAAGTACAGCTCGCACTGAAAACTATTGATTTACATAAGAACAAAGCAGTAATAAAATCTTTCTTTAAAGTAAGGCCAGCTTCCATCCCTTCACAATCTCTCGTGTATGTTAGCTTTGTTTAATTCACTTTAAATTAGACCCCAAATCTTTCTTCCACTGTTACCAATTGCACTTTGACGCCTTGACACTGCATTAATTTAATATTGTCAAGGAAGCTAATGCATCTCCAATGAAATCAAATCAAAGTCCCAACCATTGCTAATCGATGCTAAAATGTGTGAAGCTTAAATAGTAACAACTAACAAGCTACAAAATAAATAAATGTCACACACCATTTTGATGTACCTCTGAATCTAATGAGCTCTCACCTGCTTAAAGTTTGGTGCAAGACCTATGTGATACAATAGTAGCAAACTATCCAGAAGTTCTTCCTCTCTTAGAGTGGTTGAAGACACATCACTGTCCCTAGGTACAGTCCTCATATGTTGGACCGGGCGATAACCAAACTCAGATTCTGAATGATCACTGGAACTAGGTTTATCTGCTATCTCATCATTCAAACTTCCTGTACTACATTCTGCAGCAACTTGAGCAGATCTTTCGGGAATAGTGCTGCAATGGTGACGGGAACTTTTAGCTGTAGTTCTGATTGGATATTTTGAGCACTTTGTGAACTCCAAATCGTAGCATGAGCAACAACATGGTTTCTGTTTAGTTAAATGAGTTACCCTTGTTTCTTCATCATCCATACAGCCTTCCTCCCACCGAATAACTTCCACTTCCTGATCATGCAAAGGATGAGATTTTGATAGGTGACTGAATGATCCTCCAATCCTAGAAATGTCAGCTCGATGTGGATCATTCTTGACAAACAAACCTATAGGGAAACTTTGATGGCCACCCCTATGAAGAAAACCAATATCATGACCACTGGAATCACAGCTCTTCACCCACCCACAAATATTCCCCATTCCAAAGCCTTCGGATAGAAAATGGAGAATAACAGAGTATAAAGAAACAAGAACAGAATTGCTTGAAATCCCAGGAGGTGGCATATTAAGAACAGCTCCTCGATTCCTCAATAAAAGGTTCTGTACAAAAGTCCTGAACACAGAACCAGGAAACTGGGGAGGTGATATCGGAGGTATGAACTGTATGACTAATAGACAGAGATCCCTATGCTTTTCCTCAATCTGGAAAAGGGAGAAAAGAAAAGATGATCATTAGATTAAGATAACACAAGCGCCTTAGGATTTATAAAAATTGGTTCAACACAATAACTCAATCTAAGCTGTTGCCCCAGCAGTGCCCTGCTGCATTAACCTTAAGGGGGCAATTCAACTCTGATAGGATATCTAGACACAGATATGCATTTTCAATTTCATATGCAGGGACAGCCAATGCACTTTTCTTCTGGTTAATGCCCCTAATCAGGTAAATGTAGTCATGAACCACCAATGAGTAAAAAACATACGTCACTGAGATAATTAAAACTTAATGTTACATTGAAAACACAAATTCACATTAAACTCCATAAGTGTTTAAGCATGGAAGTCATCTTGATATGTAAGAACATAAGAGAATAACCAAGGATACACGTTCCTTAGATAAGTATTGTTCAAATGACGAAACCATGGTAAATAAACACCTTCATGATATGTGGGAAGATCAATTCTGATATGACATCTTAATTTGGTTCCAGGACAAAAAAAGGCAAAGTAAAAGAATAGAAAATATATAGAAAATGTTTCTAGAACTTAAACAATGCTGAAAGGAATATCTGAAAGTTAAAATTATATTCTTTAGCTACGCAATGCAGTAATGAAAGTTACTAAAGCTCAAAGTCATGCATGTATTTTACCTTGTGAATTATGGTTGAAACTAAACTTATTATTTTAAAATATCGATACTTCGCTTGAAAGTAATTTACAGTATAGGTACTACAAGATTCATCAGGTTTCCTTAACAATTTTTCATAAGCTGGGTCAAGGCTGCAAAGCAGCCAAAAAAAGGAGGGCAAAAAAGAAGCAATATTCATTCACATTCAGTTCTAAGTGACAGGAGCAAACCTTACTAACTGCATCAGATAAAGCTGTAGTTGTTAACAACATGCTACTTTCGGCAGACGCATCCTCACAAGAACCAGGCCACCATACAGAAGGAATCATGCACTGAAGGTCCTGCCTGTTTGGACTCTTCTTTGATAGAAAACCTTCAAATAAGAACTCAAAATCTGATGACTTCCACCACAACACCATCAATTGTTCCCGTCTTAATAAATGGCATGCCAGTGCAAGATAAGAATATGATCCTGAATATGGGCATTCTGTCAGAACCAATGGTGCTGTCTTGCAACCACATGAAAGAGCATTTATGATGTGCTCAAACATAACATGTGATCCTTGGAATTCTAGAAGGACATCAAGTACTCTATCCAAACTCAACCAATCATGAGGTGCCTGCACTCCAAATATCCCCATCAAGAACATCAGAAGAGGACCCCATCCAATATACTCAGCACTTCGATAATCTGCTTCAACAGCAGAGAAGAACTCTTTGCATATCCCATGAGAAACAGGATAAAATAGTTCTTCAAGTGATACAAATCTCTTCAGTCTCCTCAATTTTTCAACTGAAGAATGCTCAGCTCGCTCCACAGATTGCGTATCCAACAGCCTGGATAGGCAATCCAGCAATTTTTTTGCAAAAGAGCTAAAGAAGGGAGGTGCTTGAAGGGGAAGGTAGCCATCAATTGGGTATTTAAAGGGGCGAGTACCAAAATTCAATTCACACCGTTCACCCTGAGAAAGGGAAACTGCAGGATAATATCCAAATCCAGGTCCCATTTTCCGAATGCCAGAAAATGCAAGACCAAGAGAAACACCATTCCTATAGAATGAAATCTCATCATGATCCAAGTCTATACAGCATCCAATGACATCACCTACCACCCATGATTGCCCGTATGGCTCAGCTTCCTTGTTCCATTTCCTAACTCTTCTGCCATCAAATGCATATGAATCGTCAGCATCACCTACACCCCTATGGTCAGTGAACGGACAGGAAATAGTAGCCCATCCAAGCTGTTGTATACCAGAAGTCTCCAAAATTACTTCATACATCCATTTCCCTTTCCAAACACAGACATTAGCCCTGACGCTACTGAACACCGCTATGCTCTCTAAAAGTAAAGGTGGCTTAATGATTCTAATTTCACCACAAATATTGATATCTTCAAGACCAATGACATCAGGTCCAGAGCCATTATCAACAATACAAACCCCATCCCTGTTACTAACCAAAGCATCTGAACTTGAGTTTAAGTGGTTCTTTATGATACATCCAACTAGACTGCTGTCAATGGGACCATTCAATGGAGCAAGTGATTTATTGGGAAGACCAAATACATATTCAAGAGCTCGCTCCACAGATTGCTCACCAAAATCGTCAGAATATGATACAAGGCGGGATTTGGACAAATTTTCCTTCCCATCCTCACTATTCAATATCACAGCCAAACCAGAAGAAAGCCCGCCAATCCGAGGGCTATCTTCTGCCATTCCTAATAACAATAACCTCTATAAGCCAAACTTAACCCAACATCCAAATCCTTGTCCAGTCTATATTCAATTATATTCCTTTAACACAAATTTCATGGCGCTAATAAAAATTTCCCACCTCTTCACCCTGAAACTGCAAAGTTTGCAACTCAATTTCAAAATCAATAAACATATAACAAAAAAAAAAAAATCAAAGAATCATATCTTCATTAACAAAATTCACGAGAAGAAAAAAAATTGAAACTGAAACTCAATTTCACACGGTCCTTAAAAAAATGCCTAATACCAAAAATTCCCACTTTCCTTGTGTCTTTTCTCTCCAAATTGAATAGAGCACCAACACAGAGATTGAAACTCGAAAAATAACAATAATAAAGGAACTTACATAAGCACGTTTACGCTGCTGTTACGATAAATTGCAAAGGCGGCGGTGTCAAGCTAGGGTTTTCATGCCATTTAGAGAGAAAAAAAAATTTAAATTCGATTTAATTTTGAGAGAAAGAGAGAGAGTGTGTGAAAATCTAACAGTTTTTTTTATTATTATTTTGCTTTTTCCAATGAGAGGGTCAGGGAAGGAAGAAATGGAGCGTGCGGCCTATGCCCTGGCCGTCAGGATTTTCCTAACGAGGAAAGATTTTTTGCCCAAAGAGTTTGGAGAAAGTGAAACGACTCGAACCAGGGGTTGCACCAGCTCCGCTCCGCGGTCCAAAGCTGAGTCGAGCCCGCCGAAGGTTCGCGTGGCCGACACGTGTATTGTTCTTAGCCGTTGATGACGTGGCCGCTTATGCCCGTCCCTACTCTTCTGCGTTGCCTTTATTTATGCTCGTTTCTGTGGCTGGGTCAATGGTTTGGAGTAAAACTTGCACATGGTCGCTCACACACAAAGGGAGAAACTTTTTTGTTTTTTGTATTGTTGGTGTTGTGTGTATTTTTTATTTAATTATTATAATAAAAATATTTATTTGTTATTATCTCTTTAAAAGTTTTTACTAAGTTAAGATAAAGCCTATTTTAAATTTAAGATTTGTAGTATATCTCCTCGAAATTATAGATACTCAACTTGAAATAGGAAATTATGTAGAATTAGATCTATAAATTTGGTACATTAGGATAGATTTTTAGGTGAAAATTTTTTTAATAAAAAATCAGAGTTTGAGTTCACCTAAAATTTTTTTTTTCTAATACACATTTTCATTTATTTTTCAATAGTAAAATATTAATTTTATTGGTGTTTTTTATTAGGATATGATAGAGTTATTTTAGATTTAATATTTGTAGTCTATCATCTAGGAATGATAAACATGCAAATGGAATATGAAATTAGGTTGAATTAAGTCTATAAATTTGGTGTTATGAACAGGTTTGTAGGTGTGAAAATTTTTTGATGAAAAATCCGTTTTTTTTTTTTAATGATTGAGATTCGAATTCATAAATTTTTAATTTTGAATCTGATTATAATATGATAAATTAATAATTTATTAATATAAAATTTTAATATTTGAATTCACTAAAAATTTTTTAATTTTTTTATATTGTTATATACCAAGTTTGATATTGAATTTTCTATAAAATGGAATAGTTATGCAATGAAGCCACAAAAGCAACAACCGAAACGGTGGTCCTTATCAATAATTTTATGTAGTATCCTATAATTAGTTCCAAGAGGTGGCAAAATTCGACTTGAAAACTGAGTTATATTTTGCAAGTTAAATGGAATTTGAATATGTCTAGTCTTCGAATCTAAATTTAAAATTCATATGGATAAATTTTTTTTTCAAATTTAAATCTTAACTATTACTTTTTGTATCACTTTTAAAGTAAAGAAGTAAACACAAACTAAAAATTTATATAAAATGTGATATTGGTTTTTGTAATATTAAATATTATAATAAAATTAAAATTACTAATAAAAATATATTTAAATATAAATATAACGATTGTGATAAAATTAAATATAATAATTTATTATCATTATTTGTTTTATTTTTATACTAAAACAATCGATTGCTTTAAGATTTAGTAAATCATTAAACTTTTTTTCTTTTAATTGAAAACCGATGATGGAATCTGAACTTATGTTTATTTCATTAAAAGTTTATATTAATAAGGTATTAGAATAAAATTTTTTACATTTCGAGGTAGAGATAAGTTTATATTAAAAGTTTAAGAGATGTTAAAAACTCCTCACAATTTAAAATAAATAATTTAAATTAAATCAATACGATTGTATGATTGTTTACTAATAAAATACGTTAAAAAATATTTTTTTCGATTGATTTATGTATGATAAAAATTACCAATTTTTCTTATAGTATAATGTATTTTTTATATATGATTAAAATAAATTAAATTGAACAATAGTAGGCTAGTTACTACTATTTGATTATGTTAAAATGAAGGTTTTTTTTTAATATTTTCAACGTTGAACTTAGTTATTATAGCAAGATTTTATATTAAAAAGTAAGATTCAAAATTTTTAAAACAAAATAATAAAAAAAAATTATGGTCCACTTTTAAGCTTTAACGTACCCCTAACAACGTACTTATTATAGAGGAGATCGGGGGAGTGTAGATTGGGATGAATCTATGGAAAAGTAGCTTAGCTGACTTTTGCGACTTTGTTGATGTTACATCGTTGGGAGAAAAGGCAACCGGGAATTGGTTATCCCATTCGACTATTCCTAGCTAGAAGTAGGAAGGATGCCCACTCAAAGACTTCGAAAAAAATGCTTTTATTGGATGCCACCCAAAGTGGCAAACTCTACACCATGGCTGCACCGCACTACTATAGTACCACTACTAGTGCAGTGACAAAGCCTTTCGCACTTTTTTTCTCACTAGTAGCAATCAAATAAAAATTAAAATTTTTTTTAATTGAACACATTATTAATTTAAATTTGATAGCTTAAATTAACATAAAATTAAATTTAATAATTTAAATTATGATATAATAATATAATATAAATCAAATATAAAAATAAAATATGAAAGTAATGTAATTTAAAATTATAATAATAATTATATATAAATTTAATAAAATAAAAATTTATATTTTATATATTTATATTGACATAAATTATAACACATAATTTTTATATAAAATATAATATAAATATATAAATTATAATATTTTATATAATACAAATATACAAATCACCATTATAATATACATGTCTAAAATTTTTAATGTGAAAATTTTGCTCAATATGAAACGTGAGTTTTATTTATTTGAAAGTCCAAACACTACTTTTGATAAATTCATCTCTGATAATTCGCGAGATAAAGAAAATATGCATTTTATTTTTTGATTCATAAATAAAATATGTCGTTAACTAAAAATTAATAATTTAAATTAACACAAAATTTTATATAAATAACAACACACATCTAAATATTTCGACGTGAGAAGCCATTTTTTTAATTTTATTTCGGGGAAAGAACTCAAATTTATATTTTTTAGAAGACAGATTACACGTCAATCAGTAAACCAATTATGAACTCGCTTCGAACAAAAAGGAAAAAAGAACAAGCAGTTTTAAAAGATATTTTTTTGTTTTCCTTTTTCCTATATAACATGTGAGGTAGGGGAAAATTATGGAGACAGATCACCTATTTCAGATGCGTTGTGAATAAAGGTTGCCACGGGGTACACGTGGTAACTAGTGACAGTTGTCGTAATGAAACTGATCTGTTCGTACGGTGTAGTTGAGAAAAAAAATCATAAAATTAAAAATTAATTTAAAATTATAATATTCGGATAAGTTTAGATCGATTTTTTAAAATTGATTTTAATTAAATTTAAATATTAAATATATATTTAATTCAAATCAATTAAAAAGTAAAAAAAAAACAAATTGAAAAAAATTATATATTTTTAAAATTTTTATAAAATAAAATAATTATTTTATATCAAAATTTATTCAAATATATTAAATTTTATATTAAATAATATATGAAAAACAAAAAATTTTAAAATTTAAAATTAATTAATTGAATTGATAAATTTTTATTTGATTTAGAGTGTACAAAAAATTGATTCAAAATTTAAAATTTTATAATATTATATAATATCTAAAAAATTAATAGAATTTATTTTAATTTAAATCGTTATGATTTTTAATTAAAAATAATAATTTAAAATAAAATATAATAATATTATATAAAAATAATATGAATAAAAAATATGATTTAAAAATTTTAAAAATTATATTTTTATCAATATAAATTATAATATATAATTTTTGTATAAAGGATAATATAAATATAATATTTTATATGGTATGATGACAATGTAAATAAAATAAACTATGGGGTGGGGTGTGGAATCTGCTTTAAAAATCCTATAAATCCTATGAATTGTCAAACCCAATCCATCAATCGACGAAATGGACTAACCCATCCAACCCATTTAAAACCTAGCGCTAAATGGGCTTCTCATCAGGCCACTCAATACGTACTTGATGCAACCAATTACGTCCTGAACGATTCGAATTCGGATCCATAAACTCCAAGGCACAAACAAAATCTATGTACCCCACTAAAGCCCTGGCTCGCCCTGTCTCCCTCTTTAATGCATTCTCAGTTTTCGCAGCCAAAACAACACAAAGGAAGAAGAAGAAGATGATGTTGAGACATCCATGGAGGTTTCTTCTCTTCCGAAACTACCCTCGATGTCCTCTCCGAGTTCTCACCATGTCCCAGGTACTTCATCCTTCTGTTCCTCGATCTCACTCGCTCCACAACATTTGTTGTCACTCTTATTTCACTAGCCTCTTCAACATGATGAAAGGATTATCCATTTTACATTACAAAAGCACCCCCATCAATCATTGTAGTTTGTCATCAGAGACAGCTGTTGAACAAAAAGACCCAGATCACGTTTTGGTAACCATGACTGATATTTTTACTAGATTTATTGATAGGAATGATACAAAGAGAGAACTGGAGTTAAATGATGTTGTTTTTAGCCATGAAATATTGAAGGCTGTTGTGCTGCTGGGGATCTTGAAACAGCGTCCGCTTATTTCAAAAATATGGTTGAAAAAGAAGGGGTCTGTCATGCAGGCTATGCCTTTGAATGGTTAGGATATTCTTATTGCAGTAGGAAAAGAGCAATGGACGCATGCAAGCTTCTACAGAAGTACATTTGCGAGAATCAGTTAAGGCCTCAACATGCTACCTACAAGGAGTTGATAAGGAAGTTATTGGCTCAGGGAGGATTTAAAGATGCTTTGAACCTCTTTAGTTTGATGAAAGATCATGGTTTCCCACCCTTTGTGGATCCATTCATTGAGTATGTATCAAGGTCTGGAAGTAGTGATGATGCCATTGCTTTCCTCAAGTCTATGACATCGAAAAGGTTTCCATCTATGTCAGTTGTTCTCCATGTTTTGGAAGCCTTTTTAAAAGCTGCAAGCCCAGGTTTCATTCGTAACAATGCCGATACTTTGAATCTCTTTTATTCCATGAAATCAGGTCAAGTTGTTGCAGCACCCCCTGTGGTTGAGTACGCATCATAGGCTGTAATTCACATTTTATGTTCCTTGATGTACACCATAGCATGAAATGTTCTACATCAATCATTAAAATCTCTTCCTCTGGCTTTGAACTTGCTTGGCTGGCAAATAAAAAACAAGTTATTCGAGGATTAACTGATTTTTCCCTGTTAGTGCTTTTCAATTGCCACGTGAATTTAGGAATATGTTTTAGTAAGAAAAAAAAAATTTAAGTAGAAATTATAAATTTGATTTTATATCCAAACTAAACGGATGGTTAAATTCCAAACCAACCAAAATCCAAGAACTATTCATCAATTGGGAAAAAAGAAAAAAGGGATAACTTATCAAAAGTACGCTAGAATTTGTATACTTTCAATTTCCCCCCTGGCTCAAAACTTTTGAAAATAGTTCAATCAGCCCCCTCAAAATTTGGTAGACCACCGCGTTGGATTGACGCTCACAAAAACCACAAAGCGCCTTCGCCCATATAAGTACACTTTTTGTGTGATATATTTTCTTTACCCTTTAATCTCTCTCCCTATAGATTTTGAATCCGGATCCACCGCCATCACCCAAAATAAACACTCACCCCTCTTTTTCTCCACAACCTGCTTCGCCATTGCCATTGCCATTGCCATTGCCATTGCCATTGCCTTTCTTTTTCTTCTTTTCTCATAATAATCAAATGAGGAAGGGAGCTAAGAGAAAAGCCGCCTCTCAGAAACAAGAGGAGAAGGAAGTAACGCAAGAGAATCAGAAGGAGAACCATAAACCTGCTCCCAAAGCTAAGCGTGCTAAGACCTCCAAGCCTCAACCCGAGCCTGAGTACTTCGAAGATAAGCGTAACTTGGTATACAATTTCTCTGCATTGTTTTATTTTATTTTATTTTTGTTGAGTCGAACTTTTTAATTTGTTGTTTAAGATTGCTTTTAGGGTTTTTCTTTTATGAGTTTACTGCTATGGTTTGTTCAATAGCTGAATAAATACAAGGTTAACAGATTTAGGTTATAGGATAAATTTCTTAATGCTGTTGACTTTTTCAAACTCGAATTCTGAACCGTTAATTCTGGATAACACCGCGGTTAAAAATTTAAATTGTGTTAGGAGCTTTGCCTTCTTGTATGAAGATGAAAGCTGAAATAGATACAAATTTGGAGCTTAAGTTTTATTTATTGAGATAATTAATGGGTAAAAGTTTTTCTTTGTTATTGTTTTTTAAAATCTTTTTGATGAAAATTGCCAATTTGCGTTGTGCAGGAAGATTTATGGAAAGCTGCATTTCCTGTTGGAACAGAGGTTGGGATTTTGAGTTTCTCATGTTGAATTTTTTGGTTCCTCTTTTTGATGAATTTAAGTTCTGTTGCTTAAATTTCGTTTTTCTTTTGTTGTGTGGCAGTGGGATCAATTGGACACTGTTTACCAATTCAACTGGAACTTTTCGAATCTAGAAGTGAGTTGAAGGATTTTTTTCGCTGTCTCTTTTCTCATTTTTAGTAGCTTGTTTGCTGGTTTTATTTTCCCCAAGTATCATACAAAATTTGGTTTAGAGCTAACTGGATTTTTTGCTGTTGTGTTTTTGGTCAGGATGCATTTGAAGAGGGGGGAAAGCTATACGGAAAGAAAGTTTATCTCTTTGGTTGTACGGAGCGTAAGTAGTTCAAAGCCTTGGCCCTAGTATTTTGCACCTTTATATAGACAATTTTTTGTTTTTTGAGAGGAGAAAATGGTTTTTTATGCCATTGGCTGCACTATCTATTCTATTGTTATTTACTTTTTACCGTGTGTTAAAAAGAAAGAAAGAAAGAAAGAAAGAAAGAAGGAAGGAAAGACAGTTTGTGTGCTAGGTTCTTGATTTGAGTTAAGTTCCCATAAATTTTTGTCTTGAGTCATGAAGTTTCAATTTCTTCTGACCTGTCATTTTTGTTCAGTCATCACAGTTTATTAATTTTAGTCATTTTCTGTTTGTGCAGCTCAATTGGTACCTTATAAGGGAGAAAATAAAGTCATTTGTATACCTGTGGTTGTGGCTGTAAGTTGTCTAACATGGTTCTGAAGTGATTTTAATGTTTGTAATGCAAAATTGATTCAAGTGATGTTTCTTTCTTCTTCATTTGCATACCACTTGCTCATGTCATTTTAAAATTTTGCTTTGACTGTTCAGTGTGCCTGTTCCTTTGAGGTGCAGTGTCAAGCTTAGAATCTTGGAACTTGGGGCTTTTGCCTCTTGGATAAATGATTTATTCACTTCACCGCCATAGGTGTGGACACGATTTTGTCACACATCGGCTTTTGATGACCATCTCAAAATACATGTTATGGAATGGACCATTTTTCATATATTTTATTTTTCTAAGTGCAAAAAGCCATCTCAATCTATTATATTTTTTCTCTTGATGGAAAGAGTTACTCTGTTGTTGCTTATTTAATTTGGACTAAATTATCAACAGTCCAAAATGTTGAGAGTTAAAATCTTCGTACTTCAGTTGAGTTTTCTTTTATAATTAATTAATGCGCATCTTTATTGTTTTGGCAATGGTTTATTATTTTCTACGACTACAATGACATAATTATTTATGGTTTATGAGATTGATTTGTTGAAAATAGTTGTTTCCACTATGATCTAGTTGTATTTTCTTACTGGTTAGTATTTGACTTTTAGTGCTTCTTTTCAGGTTGTGTCTCCTTTCCCACCTTCAGATAAGATCGGTATTAACTCTGTGCAGAGAGAAGCTGAAGAGATTATTCCCATGAAACAAATGAAAATGGACTGGGTTCCATATATTCCACTTGAGAATAGGCACTCAATTTTGATCTTTTTTGTTTTGATAAGATTTAAAGTTAATCTTTAAGGGAATTATTTAATTTATTCGTCTATATAGTTGGCCAATTTGATAAAATGAAATATTATCTCTTTTTTTTTTTTTTCTATTTCTTTTGAGTTTGAATTGACTTAGAATCAATCTTTGAGGTGATTGTACATTTCGATTCCTCTACAGAGACAGCCAAGTTGATAGACTGAGATCTCAAATATTCATCTTAAGCTGTACTCAAAGAAGGTACAGTGTGCACACTAACACTTACAACCCTCTTTAATTTTTTTTCTTTTGCATGAGATTGTCAACTAGAGTCAATCAGTCTGCCTTTATTTCAACTGTTTTTGTCTGAGATTGTCAACTTGGCTCACATATGCTTCCCTTGGTTCTTTCTAAAAAAATTGCTATATTAAGGTAGACTTGTATAATGTGTGTGTATGAGGCCCAGGGTGTAGGAATGAGGTTTGCTTTTTCTGAGAATTGTCAATGGATTCTTCAGCTTGTTGTTGTGCCAATGCTAACAGAGTTCACCAAATGAAGTGCCAAGACTGAAGTTTCAGTCCTGCTTGTTGAAAATAACAATATAATAGAACTTGTGGTCATTCACAGAGGCTTCAACTCTTTCTTATCAATTTGCATTTCTAATTTTTGGACCCTTATGGGTTTGTGGTTTCCTATTGAAATTTCCATGTATGGAGAACAATATTTAGTATGTCTGCATATGAGCTAAGTCCATCATTTGATACTTGTTTTAAAATTATCGGTTTCTGTCTTGGATAGATTGTAAAATTATTTCAGGGCTAGCTTAAGGGCTTCAGATTTCTTTCTCTAGATTATATCATCTCTCCCTGAATGTGGGTGTGTTTTGAATGCATGCATGTATTTTGGGTTAACTTATGTATTTGAAATTCCTTCTGCAGGGTTGCTTTGAAACAAATGAAAATAGATCGTCTCAAGAAATATGAGTATTGTCTGCCTTGTGAGTTCTCTAGACGTTTTTGGATCATAAATTGCTGTATTATGCATTAGCTTTTACGTATGCACCTTATACTGATGACTTGTCAAAGAGGAAAATATGGAAAAAAAAAAAAAGAAGGAAAAAACCCTTATTTATTGCTATGTTGTTTGGCATACCTCTATTGACAGATTTCTACCAGCCTTTGAAGGAAGATGAGCTTGAACAAAGCACTGAGGTTCAAATAATTTTTCCGGCAGAACCAAAGCCGGTAAGGTTTTCATGCTTTATGAGAAAATTAATTGTGACTGGCACTGGACTTTCTGGATATTTATGGGTGGATGGAGTTGATTTTAGGGTTTGAGCTTGTCATGCTTTGATAAACGAACTGTTGCATTCAGTGTAGTTGAAACCACCATTTTAAGACTCAAGGCACTATAAAAGGTGCTCTTATGGGTGAAGCAAAAAGCTAATTGCTAAAAAGATTCACACCATACACTTGTGCATATGTACTTATGTGTCTATGATACTCCAACAGTTAAAACTTGCAGGCTTGAAGTTCAAACCTTATGGAGGCTGAGGTTTCCACATGTACCAATGCATCTTTTATACTTGTAAACTTGAAGTACAGATGAATTAATAAATATTGAAAAGTTTACTCCTTTGCCTGATAGAGAGATCAAGCATTAGTAAGCATCATTACTCTAGCTCTTAAGTTTCCTTCACTGACAGGCATAATCATGAACTGTCCATCAAAAGAAAATATACTCAGTAAAAGAAAATAATTGAAAACAAGAGGGGAGCTTATTTGAGCTGAGCCTTGCACATTAATAATATCCTTGATAGAGGGGTCTGAGGCGCTTTTGCTAGATTGAGTTGTGCCTTAGTGTCTAGGCACTCTTTGACTACACTGCTTGTAACCATTTTTATTGGGATATCTGAGGCAGCTATTCTGCAAAGTATTATGTAAATTGATACATCCTTTCTGTTCTTGCAGGTTTTTTGTGAATTTGATTGGGAGTTGGATGAACTTGATGTAAGACTTAACTCTTTCATTTTATGTTATAGTTAAATTATTATGATTTTTTTTTTTTTTGTGATGTTTGAATTATGTGAATGGGTAACTTGGAATTTTTTTCAATTTCAGATACTTATGCAGTAGACTTTAGTCAATCATTTTATGCTTTGGCTGTTATTTGCTCACCTTAGGAATTTGGGACTAAATCATATCTACCAATTTGCAGGAGTTTACTGATAAACTGATTGAGGCAGATGAATTAGATAAAGATCAAAAGGATGCCTTCAAGGTGAAGTTCATTTGAAGATCCACCAATAAATTATGGATTTTATGTATTTCTAACTACTATTTCAACCTGTCATGCTTTTGGTTTTGTAGGAGTTTGTCAAAGAGAGAGTTAGAGAAGCAAAGAAAGCTAATAGGCAGGTATATTATCGGTGACATGGCTTCTTGACTTGTAAAGATATATTTGGTTTGGGAGAATGAATTTGGGTAGGCTGATTAATTTGGCCAATTCCATTGATACAGGCAAGAGAAGCTCGCAAAAAGGCCCTTGATGAAATGAGTGAGGAAACTAAAGCAGCATTTGAGAACATGAGATTTTACAAGTTTTACCCTGTTCAAACTCCGGATACTCCTAATGTATCAAATGTTAAGGTAAGGTTTTATGAATTACTGCTACAAATACCCCTTTTTTCTTTAAAAAAAGGTATTTTTTTATAATTATTTAATTTATTAATTTGTTTTGTGAGTACTATTTATTGCTCATACAGAAAGTTATTTGTGTTAGTTATGAGCAGATTTTTCTTTATAGGTAGTCATCGTGTTCTTATCAGAGCTTGTTACATAATAAATTAAGGCCTTTTGATTTCTTGTAACATATTATGATTAGTATCACATGGTCTGCTTTAAGATTCTGAATGGTAATATTGGCTTGAATGTTTTTACCTGGTAAAGTTGGTTTTAAGTTTATTTTGACCGAATGGACTTGATGGTGCTATGGTTTATCAAATATGCTGTAGCACCCCTACATTTTATTGGATTAATTTTATCCCAGTTTTTTCATGATGTGAAGTTTATCAATAAAATAATTCATCTTTGCAGTGTAACGTCTCATCTTTAGTCACTTATCCACTAAGATCATGCTTCAAGAATATTATCTTTAGCATTCAAGATGTCGTATTTATATTTTCAGCTGTATAGACAAAATACATTCCCCATTACTAATTTATTTAGCATGATTGGCGAATTTTTAAAGACTCGATTTCATTGTTTGGTGGTTTTTCGTTGCAGGCGCCGTTCATAAACAGGTATTACGGTAAGGCTCATGAGATTCTCTAATGGAGCTTTCATTCAGGATCTAGCATAGTTGAGGGATGCTCTAAAGCCTGCTTCGGCTTGCAATAAGTAAGAACTTATTGTAGTTCTGGTGCCCCATCGCAGCCAGGTGTCTTAGGTGACAAATTTAAACTTATAGCTCGATAACTCTTTAGAATAGGAGGAATTTGTAGAATGCTCTGGTGAGGTTTTTCCAAAAAATTTTGAAGGATTTCTTAAGCTTAAGGTGCTTAAAATCCCTCTTCAGATTATGTCTTGGTTTTACTCTTATCCACCCTAGCCATCTTTTGTTCCGAGGTATTGTAATAATAGCATTATATAACAATTCAATTCTATGAACAAAATCAATGAAAAAACTAGCCAAATACTCTTATGTTAAATCTTTGTGATTTGGTGGATCTAGAATTGAGAAATTTTAATAATCATCTAAATTTTATTATTTTATTACAATTAATAAAATCTTTAAACATTTATTTTTATCAATTGAATTTTTATTAAATAAAAATTGATTAACTAACAACATTCATTTTTGTCTAATAGAGGGTTCAATTTAAGTGAAAATAACCAATTAAGAGTTTAATTAATTGAAAATATATGTTTAAAGATTCCATTGATAAAAATAAAAAATTTAAAATTTAATTGATTGTAAAAAAAATAAAAAATTTAATTGATTATTAAATTTTTGTTTGAAAACTTTTTTAATCTATTTGACGTTGCAAAATCCAAGTTTTGACCATGGCAGAAACAAGTGAATGATGATAAAAAAGTGAGACATGATCATTGTACACTCCGTGTCAGGTGCCGTGCGTTCTTTAAATTAAAATCTCGCGTTTGTGTGATTCTAAGATTATTTATAGTCGATATAGTTTTTTGCGAGTTTATTTTTCTATGAATAGCTAAATATTAATACTTCAAATTGTTTATTCGTAAGTTTTTTTTTTTATTTTAAATTTTCATCATTATAATTAATTTATGATTTTTAAGGTGATTCTGAAAGCTTATTTTTATTTACAGATATTAAGATTTTGATTAAGATGATCTTGAACACTCATATTTATCCGTTGACATCAAAATCTAGAGCATCGATCTGTCTTATTCATAAGGATGCACAATTTCGATTCTTATGATATTATTTTATTTTGACATGATAAAAATTCAACATTATGCTAGCTTGTATCATTCGTAAGCTCTTATGCTTAAATTTCAAAGACACAACACAGAAACTGATCAACAACCAGCTTGAATTTATAGTAAGCTCATCTCATCCCATGAAACTCATATATCAAGGTCTTAGCTCTTAATCATATTTTAAATTATCTGCACACATAATGAATACTTAACATACGAGGGTCTAGCAACGTACGTGCTTGCTGATTTGCTCATTTCACTCGATGATGCCCTTACTATGCAAACATAATCACATGATTCTGACTTAAGGAGGAAAAATCGAAAAGTATAACGAATGCTACCGTCTAACCTCATAATTCAATATAAGAGCACGATATGAGATTCGTCAGTCTCAACAGTCTTTAAGTTTACTGTAACCTGAAAAGATACTATGCTACACTCATAATCCGACGAGACCCATCCACCTAAACACTATATGTATTTAGTAATAGCTCACTTTAAACTGTCTACTAACCAAGAGAATGGTGGTGAGTTAACACCAATCATTTCCTATAAAGAGTATAAAGGCTTTTCCAGCTATCATTTGAGAAACCATAAAAATTTTTGAAATAGAAACACTTTTTTTTCTCAATCATCTCAGGAACTTTATTCAATCAATTCAGGGTCCTATGACCTTCTTCTTGATCATCATAATTTCAGCATTCCACTCCACTAACCCACTCAAGAGTGTTTGCACACAGCTTCAATCGACAGCACCCAACTGATTACCTAACTCCAAGGCACCACCGGTCCACTAGCTCATACTTGCTCACGCATCTTGAAGCCTATGGCTCACACTGCTCGCACATAATATCAATAATATGCTCCTGTGTTTAAAATGCCTGCACAGCTCCAATACCACTGTCCCAACCACAGTTTCATCCATTGCTCAACTCAGAGTCAGTTACAGCAGAACCGAGGTATACCAGGGTCTGGCCATGACACTCGCTTTTGCTGGAACAGGGACACTCGTGTGTCTGAATGAGTAAAGATCAAACAGTCTAGGGCAAATAGAGAAACTGAGACAGGATTGGTTTTGAGCGTTTCTAATTTGGTGGACTTCCATCAATGATGCATTAGCAGTGTTGATAAAGATTGGGAAAGAGGACATGCTGCCTTGGACTGGGTGGCAACGAAAACCTTCAGCAATTGATGCTTACATGGACTGGATGGGCACCAATAGCTTTCAGAAACTCTTCCCTGCTGTCATGCACATATGATAACCTACAATATGATTAAAGTTTTAATAATAATTATATATAAATTTAACGAAATAAAAAATATATTTAATTTTTTTTTGTTGACTCAAATTATGATATAAAATTTTTATATAAAACACAATTCGCATAAGTAAATTAATTTTACATATTGAATACAAAAATTACCAGATCACATTCCATGGAAATTCGGAGAGAAGGTAAAAACCCTGATGAGAAAAGGAATGGGGTGCAGGGCAGGGGCAGATTTTTCTCCCCAAATTACTGATCCCCTGTTTTGATCATAAGACAAAATTCTCATACCAAGAACAAACGTCCTTACACAGAAGGTAGTGACTGTTTTCATAATTTATATAAGTTTATTAAATAATGATAATAGTACACTAGTTTTGACAACAAATTACGCTTCAATGATGCCCTTTGAACCTCAAACCTTTTTGTAGGTAAGAAAACACCTGCTGGACATTACACTCTAAAACCAGTTCAAAATAATTACTCCAAAAGTTGAAGGAAAACCTCACATAAGCACTTTAAAATTCACAGGATTCACCTTAGCTCTCCACAAACTCTAGATTCCTTCATCGTCATTTAAAACCAGCCGCGAGAAGTGATCTTTCCACTCACTCAGGCTCGCAAAAGGTGTAAGACCACAAAATAAGGGCAGAACGAAAAGCATGATAGAATAGAATAGTGATCTCCGAATCCAGAACGGAAGCAGTGTGCTCTGTGTCATCCCTTGTGATACATTAACAGGTCCATGAAGAATGAAGAACAACACTGATGTAAAGACATTAGACAGGAAGTGTAACAGGCATAGAATCTCCCAGTAGAAGAGCCAACAATATCCATTTCCTCCCAAGGTATCTACACAGAACTTTCCAGCCAAACCACAAGCAATTCCTAACAGCAACAGTATGAAAGTAACTGGCATTGTCTGCTTTGAAGTTGCTGAACGTTGTATAAGCAAATAAGCTACTGCAAGAATCATCAAAACACCAAACATCATTCGGCTTACAACTTGAACCTGACACTTGAGTGTGTGGAACCCAAAATTGAAAGATGCCACTGGCTTTGGGATCCACCAGGACTTGGTTTCCTGAAAAAAAAATCAAAGCATCATATAAAAAATCTGAAATGTTTAAAGTGATCTTAGAGGGGAAACATCATGAAGAAAAAATAATTTATCGTGAATGGTGCGATAATGTCAGGCACTTATCATCAAGAGATGAATATTGGAACATATATTTATCTAGAACATAACAATGGCAACAGATTAATATTGGAGATGTAGACAAGCATCAAACTTAAAGATTAATTGTTATCAAAATTGGTGTAGGAAAAACTTGTTTTATAAAGTCAACTGAACACTGATGTTAGTTCCAGAACCTTTCACCATTCATTTGCCCCATAAACCAGAGACTCAATTCCTACAGGCCTAAAAGCTACATGAATTTTTCATGTATAGTTACAAAGTAAGCAACTATGATAATTCACTCAAAAAGCAGAAATTAGAAGATAAGTTTTCATGTGGTGTTGTTGAGGGATTACTTTTCATGGGTCTGAGAAACTAGTTAAGGAAATAATTACCAAACACATGAATCAACATTAAGAGATACCTAATTTAATGGTCAAACAAATCAAAAGAAATCAAAACACTGAACTTCTAATGCTCAAGCAAAAGTTGAGAGGCAATTGATCAAATGAAGCCAGGAAAGCGAGATCACCCTTACCTCAAGTGAAGGATTACAAGATGATGTAGCATCGGTAAGCCTTTTGTAAGAGTAAACATAAGCACCATACATAAGGAGGAATGACATGATGAGCAACCCAGCAACAAGGCAATCAATGCACTTTTTAAGTAACTCAGCATGTCTTGTGTCTTCTAGTTGGTTCTTGAACTTTTCAACTTTAAAGGATGCCTTTGATATACCCATTGCTAATTTTGATCTCTCCAGATGGTTTGAATCAAAGTTTAGAGCTAGTTGTTCCTCTTTCAACTTCAACTTTTTCATAGTAAGACCAAGCTCTACTGTCTTGAGGTCATTAGAACGAATTTGCTCTATAACTGATTTCTCAATTGTACTGAGCACTGACTGGCTTACAACAGAACCTGTGCTTGGATTGACACAAGCCAGTTGGTTTACTTGTCCATGAATGGCAAGTTCCCGATTCATGAAATCAGTTTGGATATTGTCCTGTACCTCTTCATGGATATTCAATTGATTTTGAGTTGCAATGGAAGGCAGATCAACTTCAGAAGAGCTTCTATAACATCTGCTTCTGCTTGAAGTTTCATCTGAAGTTGAACTTTCCACATTATTGGGATTTGACAGATACTTTTCCTTGTGCTTCGTTGACTCATTAATCAACCTAAGAGTCCTCAAGGTGCTTCCAAATGATTTCTCAAAGTTCCTCACAAAAGAATCAAACTTGTCTCCGAAAACCTGTGGCCAAGTGGACCATAGAAGAAAAAGGCATGTACTTGATAAGCATCATTGGCGGTGAAATGCACATAAAAAGGCATGAGGAAACTTAACTTGTAAAATCAGAGTCAGTCGATGAGACAGCAGTTTAAAATCTGGCTTACATTGGCTAAAGATTCTCTGACAGCTGAAGTGCAGATCTGCAAGCATGAAGATTGTCTAACTTTGTTAACAGGCAGGAAATTTTTAACTTCAGGAAAACAAACCAGACATAATCTTGTTAAAGAATTAGGACAATACCACTGAGAGATAATCAGGAGGCAGCCTTTCATTTGTGACATCTATCTTCTCCAGAACCTAGAATTACAAGGAACAATGTAAACATAACTGACCAACAATAATTTGTGAGATAAGATCTTTACAAAATGATGAAAAGTATAAGAACTGTCTTTTAAAAAATGTTGCCTTTTTTAACTTTTGGCTACAATTGCAAAAGGCCAAGAGGGAGAGAGGGATTCAAACTACCTTGAACCCTCCACTGCAGGATAACAAACCAACCAGTCAAAGTTTGGATTGTTAAATGAATGAAGTCAAAACAGATAAAACAGGGAGTTTTAGGACAGACAGATAGGAAATCATTTTAGAAACCGTGTAACCTAAAATAGGGAACCTTGTTGACAGGCAAGACTTTAGAACAGTTGCCTTAGCCTTTGCCAATAGCCCAAATAGCTCTACATTGCAACTCAAGCTTCAACGTGCCTGGCAAGGAATGAAATACATCCCTCAACACCCAGCACTCCCTTTTGCTTGAGGCAATTGCAAACATAACTGATGCACTACATCAGACATCTATAAACGCAATGTCATAAGATATCCTCAAATCACCAAACTAATCATTATTAAAATAATAACTCTGCCTTTTACAAATTCAAAAACATATATGAATTCACTAACAAACTTGAATACTAGGGAGCAGAGATTATTGCTATCCAAAAATTTAAACTTTTCCCCAAATTCTCCATTAAAAAACCAAAATTTAACTTCAAAATTTCCTAACTAAAACAAAAACCCTAAATTTCCACCAGAATTCTATCCTTAAAAGTTCAAAACTTTCAAGTCAAAAATCATCATCTCTAGCATATGAGAACCCATAAACAATAAAAAATTCACAATTTTCCATCTAAATTAGGGTTAAAAATTAAAAACAAAAAAGATTGAAACTTGATCGAACCTGAGCAACAACAGCCGCGAAGGACATTCCAAGAGGAAGCGCAATGAAGTCAACGTCACGAACCTCCGATCGCCGAACCGGACCGAACCGAACCCTAGGAGTCCGGCGTTTGAAGGACACGCGCATTCCTCTCTGAATAGAAGAAGAGGAAGAAGCGGAGCAAGAAGATGAGGTTCCGTCTTTATCAATTGTTTTCTTCATCTTTCTATTGATAAGCCGCCTTGGGTATGGAAAACGATTTTCGACAGCTGGATTCGAGTCATCATTGGCTGGTACGGTGGACATGCAAGCAGGGGATCCGCACGGTTGCAGAGAAACGGGACGAGAAGAAGAAGAAGAAGAAATCTCGTCCATTGGAACCAAAAAAAAAAAGATTTTGGCAAAATTTGAAAATCTTCTTTATTATAAAAGACAGTGAGAAGCGGCGTTATATGACGCCGTGAGAACCTTTGAATTTCGTCGCAGCGTTTTATAAACGTCGGCTTGTACATGAACGGCTGCGTTTTCTTCACCTAAAAGAAAAGGAGGTGTTTTTTTTTTTTATATATATAATTTTATATGCAAAAAAGTATGAAATTTTTTTTCTAAAAATAAGTTGAAAACCTTCTTATTAGAGTAAAGATGATAAGAATTCATAAAAAAGTAAAATAGGCTTTTTTATTTTTTTATAAATGAACTCAACTTTGATAATTATTTATTTAAAATATCATATTAAATTAAAATTTAAAAAATATTTATTTTTTTGGAAAGTTTGAAATTCAAAATTTATAAATTTTATAATTTTATGATGTTGTTAAAAATAATGATCAATATTAAATTTATTTAATCTAAAAAATGGATAATAAACAATTTGGATTTAATTAATTTTTTTTTAAACATATTTGATAATTTTAAATACGATATGTTAATATATATAAAAAATTATAAAAATGACATAATTTAAAATTTTAACAAAAAATTTATATAAGTTTAGAAAAAAAATGTGTTTGCATTTGATCGTATGATACAAAATGTGCTACAAAAATTTTGTATTTTATTTGTATTAAATATAAAATAAATATAAATACATGAATTAATAAATTAATTTTTAAATAAAAATATTTATAAACTTCAATTACATTTGATTGATATTTAAAAAAAAAAAAACTTGTTTAAAACCCCACTAGATTTATTCTTTTAAGCTCGTTTAATTTAAATATATCAATAAAATATTAAAAATAATTTTATATTAATATTTTAATATTAATTTAAATAAAAATAATTAGTTTGTAATAAAATATTTTCACAAACGTAACTCAGACTTAATTTTTTTCCTCTAATTTTTCAGTCCTAATCGAATTAGGGTTGTAAGTTCAGCACGTAAACCAGTGAACTTTCATGGTACAACAACAACAAAAAAATAAATTTAAATGTAAATTAAGCTTTGGAGGTGTACTTTCATACATAAAATAATAATTTTTATTTATTTTTTCTTTTTATATCAAAGTGTTTGATGAAAAGGTTGGTAAATATTTATCTTTCCTGCTTATATTTTTGTAATTGAAGATGGATTTCATAGAAAATATTTTACCGTCACATAAATTAAATGCATTCAGCATTCGCTAAACTTGTAGCTAGAGAAGGCATTTTGATCCGAATTCTACAAATTCTAACTTGATTTAATTTTTTAAGGTTAATTTATTTTGTTTGAAAATCGAGTATTAAATCTGTTGGATGATAAAAAAAAAAAAATCGAGTTCAGATCAAGTTTGTCTTATCTTACTTGATATATATAAAAATTTATTTTTAATTAATTAAATATATATATTTATATTTAAAAATAATATTTTATTAATTTTAAATCAAATCGAATTGAATATAATTTTATATACTATTGAGTCAAATTAAATTCAGATATTAAAAAAAATTAAATCAAATCAAATCGGATTTGAGACAAACAAAAATCTATTCCGTAGTGATCCGTTGCCATCCATGCTTATACCTACCAAAATATTATTTGTTTTAAGCCAAAATTGACCTTCTTGGTGGCAAAATCAGTCCTGAATAATAGTTGATCATCTGAAGCAAAATAAAGGCAATTAATCTCTCAAACTGCCCTAAATCAACTCCAGTTACTGACCTCAAAATATCTCTTTCCTAAAATTTTTGCTAGCCATTAGCCAATTCCAATCTAATGTTACAAAATAGTCGCATAATCTGTTAATTTTCGTGATCAAAATTCAAATCTTAGCTGCATGAAAAATCATGACAGGAAATTGTAAATCAGACAATTGAAACCTTTGTCTTGTCCCTCGGACATGTTATAGTTTCTTATTATGATGATTTTTGTGTCAAATTAATTTAGAGTAGAACATATATAAAATTAACTGAAATTCTCCTCAAATAAGCTTTTTATATTTAGTTCATTTGATATAGTTAATCAAATTGAACAAAGAAAAATTAAATTCAACATATATATATATATATTTAAGGAAAAAACAAGTAGGATTTTTATTTTTCAAGTTTTCAACAAGATACTACCAGTCAACCCTGTGAAGATGAGCTGCCATGGTTTTATTACCATTTCCATCTCCATTTTCTCGGATCATGCTTGTGTTGAAACCACCAGCTTTCATCAAATTCTCTCCATAATTCTGTGGATGAGTAACTTGAGCCCCAGGCGAAAAGAATCCACTGCTGTAACCCTGGAAATGATCTGGTGCGTTGGCTGATATGGCTGCATTTACATGATTGAATTGATTAGCCCCAGCAGCACCATGGTTGATTGCAGCATTGGTAGACGACTGATCTTCTTGTTCTTGCCTGCTAGCCATGGAATTCTTCTCTCCTTCAGTTTCCCTGTACTTGTTGAGATAAACCTTGAGAGGTCCAACATAATTCTCGAAACCCAGTGTTGTCATAGCCCACAAAAGATCATCCCCGTTTATGGTCTTCCTTTTTTCCCTTTGACACTTATCCGAAGCCTCACCTGTGATGAAGCTGATGAACTCAGAGACACATTCTTGAACAGTTTCTTTGGCATCTTTCGATATTTTTGCATTTGCAGGGAGGGATTTTTTCATGATACGACTTACATTAGCTATGGGAAGGAATCGATCCTGTTCCTTGGAACAACTATCCGAGATGTTCCCAGATGATGGGCTGCCTATGGGGCTGGTTTGGTTTCTTTTCCCAGCCATGAAGAAAATGATCAGAGGAAGGTAAAGCACTTAGTTGAAGAATCTAATGGAGGGGAGTTGGGAGTTATAAGCTAACAGAGGGGAGAGAAAGAAGCCAAAATATAAAAAAGTGGGAAGGCGGTTTGATGTAGACAGGAAAGGAAAGAAACAAGCACTTGGAAGATCAGAACCATGGCAAAAACAATGCTTAAGAAGTTTGGAATCTGAAGGGAAATTAAGACTGAAAATTCTTAAATGGGTTTTAAGGAAAAAATAAATAAATTATACTGTCCATAGAATTTTATATATGTCAAAGGCAAATCTTAATCAAACGTATGAATTTGCTCTTCTCTGTTATTCCATTGTCTTTTCACGGTCCTTTCATATGTATTTTTCAGTCAAAACTTAAAACTCACTCCTGGGAAAAAGGAAAAATCCACGACCAACCAGCAAAAAAGCATATACTTTTTTTTCCAATATGCAAAAGTTTGCTCTTTTTTTTTTTTTTGCTGGTGAATTCTCTAACTGAATTTTGCCTTGTAGAATCTAATCTACCAAATTGCATGCCTGATATGACATTGGGCTTGACTGAATCAGTGTACAGCATATTTCCCACTGCTTATTGCTTGACACAATGTTCAGCTATGGTACCAATTAACACATTAAAATTTTCGTCCACTTAATTTTTCTTCTTTTTCTGTCTTCGAACTGTAATATCAGGTCCAAAATAATAAAAAGTTCTTAAAAATACGTGAATTACATGCTTATGAAATTCGTCTCATGGTTATATAATGATGTTATGTCCTTAATCTGCAAAGTTTTCGGGGGTGACATGAACAAATAACATTCATCCATTTTAATCTCCTCTAATTTTAGGGTTTTGTTGTTAATCATGGCAGGACCATGTCCCATTGCTCCTTTATATCCTCAAATCTAAATGAAAAATTAATGGTAATTATTAATTGCAATTGTACTTCTTGTGTTCTTCATTTGCAATAGAAACTTAATCCATGGGAGATTCAAATACATATTGTTATATCAAAATCATATTGTACTAATGCATAGTCAGATCAAGCTGTGATGTAGCAATGAATGAAAAAGTATATATATATATTGGATTTCCTATACATTGAAGAGAAAAAAAAAATTTTCTGCAAGATGAAGTTGAAGAGAACTAATAAACATTTCTTGTAAGTGCATTTTTTTTTTCCTTTTTTCTTGTTGCATGTATATGACTAATTAAGTTAAAGAAAGAAGAGAGATTCGAATCTTAAACTTTATATTTCTTAAAATAGAATAATGAATATGAGACTAATCTCATGGTTTTATAATTAAGGGCTGTAATTTCCTTTTTTAATAAAAAAAATCAATTGTCTTCATTTGTGTAAAATTAGTAAAATAAAATCATTTGCTCACCATGGAAGTAGTTTTTTTTTTCTTTTTTTTTTTGGTGTTTTGCTCTTAGCCAGCTTTTCTTCTTTATAGCATAGGGTTCCATTTCCATATATACCTACCAAAGTAATGGCAGAATAAAATCCTGAATATGGATTGGACATTCATGGAAGCTAGTGGCAGGGCATTCATGATCTTGTTGTCTTCATGCAGATATTTTGCAATTAGGTTAATTAATATGAAAACTTTTCTTGATTTGGACTTAGAGTTATTGTTGATCGATATATATTAGACTTGAATTCATTTATATGATGGGCATGGTATCTTTGTATTGACTTGATAGAAGAAAAAAAAGCATGCAAAAGGGAAGCTGGGGATAGACTTTGCACATATGCTTCACTTTTCTCTCTCTCTGTGCTTTGTTTTTGTGATCTTGTGAGATTCTCCCTATCACCGAGGGTGACAAAAAAATAAAAAATATCGAAAATCAATTTAAAATTATAATGTTCAATTTGATTTAAATTAATTTTTTTATTTGGTTCAAATTAAATTTTAATACTATATATATATTAAGTTTGGATTGGATTTGAGATTGGGATATTAAAAGTCGAACAGAATCGAATTATATATTTTTATTTATTTATATATTTTTAAAATTTTTATAAATAAAATAATTATTTTATATATAAATTTATTAAATATATTAAAATTTTTATTAAAATAATATAGAAAAATAAAAGATTAAATTTTAAAAATAAAAAAATCAAACCGATAGAATTCAATTCAAATTAGATATAAAAAAAAATCAATTCAAATTCAAATCGAATTTTAAAAATTTATAATATTATGTATTATCTAAAAAAAATAAAATCTAATCTAATTTGAACCCTTATCACATCTACCTATCACATCCCCTTGTGTGCGAACTTGCCTACACCTCTAAGTCCAAATCAAGCTGTTTGAACACTATAACGTTTTTCTTTAACTAATAAAACATTTTCAAACAAAACCAACATTGGCAGCATATAGAGATTTTTGTAATTGAACCTGAAATCACTCAGCAAGAAGAGTATTGCAATGAGCTGGCAGATTGACCTGAGCTTGGCAATATTAGGCTGGAAAAATTATATGATATTGACACCTTCTGTGTTTTTTCAATCATGGAAATATCTCATTGAATTATTTGTTGCTTCCAAATTATTATTAACACATTTAAGCCAGCAGTGATTTTAATTTCTACTACAATGCTAATAGGCAGTTTTTATATCCTCTTGTTCACATTTTCTTGTTTGATTAAATGATTTTATTTTAATGTCAAAATTAATGTTGAAACCCTAAATATATATAAACCCTAAGCAAACCCTTTTAGCAGAAGTGTGACAAATGGCTTCTTGTCCAACTAATTTTACCTATTCCACCATTGCACAATTAAAAATAATGGAGGGTCTGTCTCTAACTTGCTGTCTCCTTTATAAATAAAAATGCAAAAGTGAATAGTTAATTAACTATGGGAAATTTTAATTTGTTTTTTTTTTCTCTACAAATTAAGTTAAATATATTATTGGATTAATTAAAAAATGTGACAAAATTTGGGGTTTGACATGGGTGGAGGCTTCTAGGTCAAACAATATTAAAATTGGGATTAATAATTTGATTATGTAATCTTTGCTTGTTGAGAATGAACAAATTAAACCATATAATATGATAAAACTGTTTGAATATAGGTGAACAAAAGCATCCAAGCACAAGAATTTGTTCACCTAAGACAATCTTTAGGTTCTTAATAACAAAAACATAAAGATGACATATAGTCATTCATTAAGATTACTCTTTAAACAGTTTCTATTATGTTTTAATTAATGCCACCAAAGAATTACTTGGTGGGAAATTCTTATTATTATTTTTCTTTTTTTGAAAAATTAGTATAATTATTCTCATAATTACTTTACTTAATTTGTAAATGAATAATTCTATTTTGTTCTGAACGTCTAACAACTCAAAAATTATATGAATGTAATTAATAACAATTTGTTTTGTGTTAGTAAAAGGAAGATTGACGTGTCAAACACTTCAACATTTTACAAGCACGAAGGAGGCCATAATTTAAAGATAAAAAAAATATCATAAGTATTGAAATTTAAAATTTAAAATTATTAGATGTTATTTTTTAAAAATTGCTTAATAAATTAATTGAATTAAATTTTCAGTTAACTTTAGCATTTTCATTTATAAACTTATGTTGTGAAAAAGATTAGCATCGTTAATCTTTTTACCAAATAATTCATCTCTTGAGAATAAATCTCCATGAATTAAAACCTCCATAGTTGAATTGTCTGAAGGGGATACGACTATCAATTAAATTATTATCTTAATGCATCAACAAATTTATACATCAGATATGATGTATATACTTGCAAAAGTCACCATTAGCCGGTTGAGAGACTTTGGTTATCTTAATTATTATATCGCAATCTTGTTTATTATTTAATAAACCATTGGACCTTATTCTCTGAAACGTCACGTTTTGAACTAAAATAACTCCAGAATTTCAGTCTTATTCGCGTCTTGGTTCATGGTATTTGCCATTTACAATTTTTTTTTTTTTTTGTTTATGTGAAAATTCATGTGATTTCAACTATGTAAGAGAAAGTAAGTTTCAAATTCTAAACTGTTTAGAATATTGAAAGGACTGAAATTGGGTCGGCAGAAACGTCGTTATTGCCATGTAATATTGGAGTCTGATTCCTTATTAGAGGTGAAGTTGTATTCACGTGTGAAAGCTTTTCTTGAAATAAAATTAGCGGTGTTTTATTCGGCATGTAAAGCATGAAGTAAATTATTAGTAAATTTTATGCTTACGTCCTTTTATGTATTATTAGATTTGATAATTTATATATTTATATCATGTAAAATAATAAATTTATGTAATTATATTATATTTTACATAAAAATTTTATATCATAATTAATATCAAAATGAAAACATAAAATATTTTTTTAATTTATTAAATACATATATAATTATTATTAAAATTTTAAATTATATTATTTTTATATCTTATTTTTATATTATATTTATATTATATCAACATATCATATTTTATTTTTATATCGTATTCATATTATATCAATATATTATATTTTAAATTATCAATTATATCAATATATTTATTTTAAATTATCAATTATTTCATAGCCGCATTATATCAACATATTATATTTTAAATTATCAATTATTTTCAGATTTTTCCTTCGGAATCTCAGATGTGATGCCTTAAGTCCTCACCAAGCTTATGGCTTGCGTGCGTTGATTGGAGTACAGTTTCTGACCAAGGTTCAGCTAAAGATTTAGGTCATGCAATCCGAGAATATAAAAAAAAAAAAAAATTACTGAGATTTGAAATCTATTAGATATCATTTTTTAAATATGATATATAAATCAATTAAATCAAATTTCGAATTCCTTATAACTATTATTTTGTTGGCAAACAAATTGACCAAAGTTTATTTGAACATAATAACATTTATGCTAAAAAAAAAAAACCAAAACTCAGATAAACTAAAAGAGTAAGTCCAAACATGGATTAGTTTCTGCCTTCAATATGGTTGTCGTTCTTCATAAGAAAGATACCAAGACAGACACGGAACCAAGCAGTTTTTAAGCTACGATAAAGATAAACCATCTCTTGTTGAGTTAAAACACAAGAGACTAAACTAGACTAATCAGCAGAGAGTTATCAGCAAATTGACAAGAAGAATAAATCAAACAGCATTCGAGTAGTGATAGCATTGTTTAGTGGGGCTGTGTAGAGGTAGCAGAAGCGAATGGTGTTTTGCTGATTTGTTCTCTTTATACTTCGTTATGGAGTATTTGTCTCCTACTGGCAATTAAACATGTCTCCCTTATCCCCGTTTGGTATGGAGCCCTCACTAGACTAATTGAAATATCTCTATGTTCAATTAAAATTACAAGGCCCCTAAATAATTCAGAGTTAATAACACAGAAATTAACATCCGAAAAGTAATATTAGTGCCTAAAAACTACAAGCAAACCAGCAGTAACACACAAATATAAATCTGCATGCTGTGATGGTAGAAACAAAAAGGAAGTGTGCAGGTGGAAGCTAAAGCATCTCAAGCTGACTTTGTCATTTGTTTGACAAGAGGATAACTTATCAACTGGCGTAAACAAAAATTTTCTCAGATGTTTACATCTTTTAGCAAAGCAGTAATGCTTTAACTAGCAGAAAAACAGAAAGCAAAGAACCCTGACTCAAGAGGTCCGTTGCATCTCACTTCATAAACTAACACATAAAACACAGAAACAAACCTAACAGAAAATGACAAGATTCAGACATGACACAAGTAGAGAAGACAGATCCAAACTTGCGCACCACAAAGCTTGACTCTACGGTTCTACCGCTTACCTCGATTGGCAAAATAGTTAAGAGCCATCCTAGAAAATCGGGTAAGAGTGAAAAATATTTGAAATACGGCTCGACCCTTTACAATTCCCTCCCTCATACTTCTTGCAGTTCGAGCCAACACTGGCCCTGATACCTCAGTTTTCTGATTGGCTACCACCTGCACCGAAGCTAATCAAGTAAAAATAAAGTAAAATTCATTGGTATCCATTTGAGTGCTAGTAGCAAGTAACTAAAAAGAGCAATAAATACATGGATAACCTGATGAAGCAACGTCTGTTAACCCACGCAATCTCTCTTCAGCTAAGCGAACAGCTCTAGTTGAGCTTCTGACACTTTGCGTAATCCCCTGTCTGCAAAACAAACAAACAAACAATTGGTTACTATGACTTCAAGATAGAATTGTATATTATTTTTTGTTTTCTCAATCAAAAAGGGAGAAAATATATTGAACAAAAGGGGGAAAGAGAAAGGGAAGAGAGAAGAGATATGAGATCGTATAATTAAACAAGTAAAATACTAACCCCAAATCACTAAGCTCCATTGTTAAGTCGCTAATCTCCATGCCTGATAGCCGAACAGCAGCCATTGTATCAGGAAGCTCTTCCCTGGTGACATCCATCAGCTTCTCTAGTGACTCTGCTGCTCTCTTGAAAGCCTTTTAGAAGAATTAATACAAAATGGACATGTATAAAAATCATCCTTTAGGTACTTACAACATTAATTATTGAATGATAATAAAATCACTTAACTTGAAGATTTTCAAGAGTAACCAACCATAAGAGTGGGGATTGCAGAGAGAAAGAGCCAAGTTGCTGAAACTGCCACCTAGAAAAGATTTGTGGATTTGTCAGAATAATAACATAATGTTACCTCGAAATAGAATTTGCTGATTGATTGGTTAAGATAGTGAGAGAGAGCAGTCTGCAAAAACATTTGAACTAAAAAGTTTTCAAAGCAGAAGTCTTTCAAACACCACCAACATCATGGTGATTAGATCATCATGATTTCTGAGATGATCATCTACAACAAACACCATCCACTTCACCAAGAACTAGAATGACCAGTAATGATTTTGGGACTACCCAAATTGCCAAATATGAATTTCTCTCGCTTCCTTCTTCAAGTTGATTTCATTAATGATGAGTTTTTAACTAGATATCCTATATGGTCAATATTTTGCACATATTATGAAACTAGGGCAATGTTTGGTGTATAAGATGATGGATAGGATAGGATAGGATAGGATAGAATGATAATCATCCTATACCATGTTTGATTTGTATCTAAAGAAAAGGATAGGATTGCAAGGAGAATTAATCATCATCCTTGCATAAGATGATTCAATCCTCCTAAAGTGGAGAGGATTATTTTTAATCTAAGAGATTGAACTTACATGTCCTAGTATACCATGAAAAATTACATCAAAAACTTAAATCGTATGAATTTTAAGAAAGCATAATTTTGACTAATAAATAAAATTATCTTATCATAATCCTTGCATGCATCAAACCCATGATAGGATGCTATTATTTAATCTAATCCTATTCATAATATCATCTTATCCTAACTTACCATAATCTTGTGTACCAAACACATCCTAAATTCATTTGTATATGAAATTCATTTGTATATTGTAAAATGTTGATTTAAATTTGCATTAAACTTAGTTACAGCTTAGTTAACTAATTATAAATACATTTCAATTTCATGTTCAAAATCAGTGCGAAATTTCCAGCAATAAGCAACAAAATTAAGGGAATTAACAATAGAAACAATAAAGGAGAACTGACAGAGCAAGCGATGACGTTGAGCACGAGGATGTGGCGGTTGGTGAGGGTCCATTGAGAGAGCTGGACAGAAGAGGATCCGACGGAGGAGATATAATGAGTAGAAACCAACGGCTTAGATGATGTTGATGACGATGATGGTGAAGCCGAACCATACTCTGATCGGACGGAAAGAGAAGCGAAGCGGCGGAGCGGGAGGCGGAGATTATGGAAGCGAAGGTGCGGGCTGATGTTAGTAGGGAAAGCGCGATTGATGGCAGTGATGCTGACGTCAGCTGTCTGAAATCTCAGCCTATTCAACATTGATTCTGATTGACGTCTGCTAATTTTATTTTCTTTCTCGTATCCTTAAAACCCTCTTATCTCTTCGCTTTGCAATCTCCGAAGTTTTCAACTTTGAATTTCACGTTTCTTTGTTTCTTTTCAATGACTCAAAAAGAAACTTTTTTTTTTTTTTTGGCGTTCCATTTATCTCAAGGGTTTTATTAATATACTTTTGATTATAGGGAAAGAATATATTTTAAATAGTTTTTTTTTTGTAATAAAAAGAAAAAATCTACAATGTAGTTTTTCTGAATATGAAAAAAAAAATTTACATGGTAAACTAAATGCCACTTTCATTTTAAAAAATTACATTATTTCACCAATTTAGAGGAAAAAGAATTGAAATTTGAGAAGGAAACTGTTGGTATTTAGGGGTTTAGGTCATTAAGATTTTTTTTTTTAAATTAAATTTAATCAGTGATCAAATATTTATACTTCAAATTTCAGATTAAACCCACTTTTCAAATGAACATTTGATATTTACATGAAATAAAAGAAAATTATAATCATATTATCGTACAGGCTAAATCTTTCTGTTGGGCCCTGTCGAATTCTTTCTCTCTTGATCAGCAATGGCCACCAGTTGGCCCAAGAAAGAATTGTAATTCTGGGAATTGGAAAAGTAATCTTTTTCCAACCCAATCTCAGCGGTTGGAAAATTCCCGGTATACCAACTTCAAACTAAAGCTGAATGAATGAAAAATAGACACGTTAATATGAATACTATCTTTGGTTTCTTTGTTCACTGGTTGAACTATTCTCAGACAAAGAATCCAGGCCCAAACACTTGAGAAATGCTAGCTTAGCAAGCCTAAGATAGTGGCAAGGATGATAACAATTTTGATTTACTTCCTTTGATGAACATCCCTCCTTTTCTGCACCGTCATCTTCTCCTCTTACTATCCTCCTAGTTGTTCCTGTGGCTATCTCACCTTTTATGCTCCGGTTTTCTCCAACCTGCCATTACTCATTATCCCACAATCATATCTGCTTTTAAACAAGAAATCAAACAATTTATTGTAAATCCAAGCACACAGTTCATGGGAATAATCAGAACATCAACAAGGTATATATGTCAGCACTTTTAGTTGTTTCTCCGAACAAATTTAAGCACGGGGAACATGTTGAAGTTGCAAAGTTCCAAACAAGTTAAGATCAAGAGCAAAACAAGTTTGACAATAACCATACAAGTTGAACAAATAAAAATGAGCTTAAACTCCCCTTTGGATGGCCGTGTCCAATTGGTAGGGATTCCCACCGGCCATCCAAAGGAAGCCTAAAAAATTTGGAGACATGGTAACTTCAACAGGAACAGTCAAAGAACATCAACTACCGTCAGCACTCCTCTTCTCTCCCCCTTTTAAAAGGGATTAAAAATGTGCCTCCCTATGCAAATCTAAATTATACTAACGAAAAGGACAAATTTCTGAAGGTAGGGCGAGTGAATTATTAATATAATTTAATAAATTAAAGAAAGTAACCTTCACTTCAAACAGACAAGAAGATGAAAATGAATACTGAATAGAATAAAGAATTCCAGCCTTGCATAGACAGGCGATAACCAAAAAAGATACAGGTTTGCATCATATTTCTTTACAGGAGATAATGTTAATTATAAGCATCTATGAGCACAAATCAATGCATCTTTAAGTAATTATTTTACTTTTTTAAAAAAGGAAAATTCTGGGTTTTTCTGTTCACAGGATCAAAGCTTTGCTACACACTTGATAAGTCTATAAAATTAGCAGATAGCAGTATATTTTTACCATGGGAAAAGGGAAATACCATGCTTCCAAGTTTCAAAGAAGCATAAAGTGAAAAGAAACTTCTTTTCTTTTCATAGGGAGAGAATGGATTTGTGGCAGAACTTCCTTCATGTTAAAGTAAAGTGAGAAGTAATGGAAACGTCTAAAGGTTGCGTTTGGGATGTCAAATTTCTTACTCCTACTCTCCTACTAAGAAAACACATCCATTGTTGGAAATGGTAATTTTGTTAACAAAAAAGGGGCCCTCAATATTGTCCTTTATATTTCTAACATATCAAAAAAAGAAAAAGCTGATCCAAAATTATTGAAGAAATTAGCAAGAAATTCCGGTTTCTGTACCACTAGCAGCCTCTAGGTTGGTAAATGCTACTTTTCTTCTAGGCGAAGAAAACATTGACCCAGAATAAGCCAACGGTCAGACCCAACAATGAAAACAGATTGAAGAGACAAGAAAATGGCAAAGACAGGGCGAAGAAGTGGGATACCTGGGAAGCCTGGAAGCAAGTGGAGTCAAGTCTTGTGTTTTGCTTGGAAACAGGTTTTGTATCCAACTGAGAATCGGGACAAAGGGAAGCCGAACCTGAAGAAGAGCAATCAGGGACATCCAAAGCGAAGAGGCCGAAGCAATAGAGAAGAATCATGAGAAGAAGCATGACAAGTATTTGGATCCATATAAGCCATGGGATTCTGTAGCTTTCGATTGTTAGCTCATCCCCAAATTCAAACATGTCTTGTTTTTAGTTATCTGGTCAAAAAATATATATAAACAAACAAAATTTCGAGGTAATATTGAATGGACAAAGTGTAGGTGAGGAGGAATGGGCAGGGCTGATGAAACAAGGGGGAGGAGTTTGAAGGGAGATGGGTTAAAATTCTTAGGTGAGAAAGAAGGATCTGTTAAATTTTATATATGGTTGATTGATGGCAATAGCACCCAAATATATATATCTATATATATATATTATTTTTATACAGTGAGCTGAAGGCTGAAGCTGACTAGTTCAGAAATTATATGGAAAGTCGACAAAGGACCACACGCAAATTAGTATGCGTGCGTGGTGGAATTGCGGATCCGTTGGGAAAGCCTGAAGTGTTTTAACGTACGCTAGATTGGTTTGAGTTTTGAGCGAAAAGAAAAGAAGATTTAAAAAAAAAAAAAAGAAAAGCTTCATCTATTTAACTGTTTTACAATATTTATCAAGTTTAATAAAAGAGTTTTATAATTTCATTTAGGGCTACTTTAGTATTGATGTTTATAGTTAAAAAAATTTGGTTGAAAAAATACATTTAAAAATATAATAAAAAATGTGATTAAAAATTTTAAGTATTTAACATTAATGTAATTAAAATATCTAAAAAAATATATAAAATCACTAAAGTCTTATTTAAAAATAATAATTTTATAGAATGTCTCCAAATCTCATTAATTATAATAATTTTAATTTTTAAACTATGATTTTTTAATCAAAAACTATATAGCTTTTTTCATCTCATTAATAAAAAATTGCTAACATTTTTTTAAAAAATTATTCAAGTAATAGTATAAATTAAGGAGGATATTTGAAAAAAATAAATTCTTAATAATACACTTTTATTGATAACGTGATGTGTATAATTTGAATAAAATATCATTTTGTAATTATCATATATGAATAGTTACTTGTTTGTGTATGGTCGTATGATTAATATTAAAATTAGGCATGATTATTTTATTATGGCATAAAAATACATAAATATTTTAAATTAATAATTTTTTTATAATAAAACCAAAATTTTTGCATAAACAGCCGTGGAGGAGCGCGTAAATGTACGGAAAAAGAGCAAAGCACGTGCACATCACGATCCTTGGAGAAGCGTGGCTCTGTAGCTTGAACCAATTAACGTCAACCACAAACCACCACCGTCCATGGTGGAGGCGACCGCGGTGGAAAAGCGTAAAATGGAAAAGGGCAAACACACAACAGTAAAAAAGGAACCGCGGAACTGCCACGTGCTAGCCATGTGAGGAGGCTGACGTGGATACACTAATCAGTTGCCACGTTTCAAATTATAATTTAATCAACCTCATATCCTTACATCGACCTTCCAAATAAAATTTACGGGGAATTGAGTTCCTGACTCACAAGCCAAGAACGCGACTTTTCGAAAATAATTCGGCTCTGGGGCGGTTGAATGAGGGGCCAGTGGGTGGGGAACAAAGTGAGATGGATGGGGACCACCGCACAGATTCAATTTGTCAATAAGCTGGTGTCAGAAGGTTAAGTTGGTGCTTTTCCCATTGTTTTCATATATTGATGATTTGATTAATTATTTCTAAATACAGAATCCAATAATTCACACCACGCCTCAACGACTATTTTTCCTTTGTATGCTCAAATTATTACCATTTCGTTTGTGTCATAAATGAGGAAAAAAAAAATACCACAAATTTAATATAAAAAAATTATTTATTTGAAAAATAAAATATCTCATATTTAATAATTAAAAATAATAATTCAAAATCATACATTCAAAATAATTTTAATAAATGATTAGATTCGAATTTAAAATTTTTATTTTTATATCAAAATAAATTATTTTTATCAATTAAATAACCTTTTTATCGGTGAGGAAAAATTATTTTAATTGATAAGATGGTTAACCTTTGGGCAAGCATGACATATATCCATGACAAATACAAGATTTTAAAAAATCAAAGGAAAATTGCAAGGATTTGCTCCCATGGAGGGTAGCACAATAGATAGCATTAATCCTCGATATCAAGCAATTTTAGTGAGATTTTAAGAGCGGTCCTAAATGTTGTTGACAAGGGCACATCAAAGCTTAAGCTAGGGAACAATGTTTTTTTTATAAGTAGCAATTGGTAGATGAAATTGAGTTGGAACACTTCAAAGTAGGATTTTTTTATTAAAAAAATCTAGTTTTGCGTTCGAATTTTTTAAGTTTGGTAATCATATTGTTTAGATTTGAATCATTAGATTTAAATAACTTGTTATTCAATTTATTTAGTTTTAAAGTTTAATAAAATAATTTAGAAACATATAATTTTGAATAATTTTAAATCTGAATTAATTTTAATTTAAATTATTGATTTTTTTTAAAATCAAATAATCATATTTAAGCTTGAAAAGATTAAAGAAATATTTTGAGTTTGAATCGGTTTTGTCAACTCTGATCTTTCCTTGTGGAATGTAAAAGGGTTCTTATAATTATAATTAAAACAACATCCACTAAATTAAACTCAAATTGTTAGGGGGAAAAAAAAAGAGAGGAAATTTAGTTACTCAACCCCTTGGAAAAATAAAACCCAAGAGAACCTAATTAGATTTAACAAGGAGGAAGTCTTATTTTGATGCCTTTTAATTTAAATTTGATTATTCATGTATTTGTATCACGTAAAATTTTAAATTTATATATTTATATTATATTTTAAATAAAAATTACATATTATAATTCGTGTTGATATAAAAAATATATAATATATTTTTTAATTTTAAATTTATTTATAATTATTATTAAAATATTAATTTAATATTTTTTATTTATATTATATTAATATCGTATCATTTTATTATATTTTAAATTATCGGATCTACTTGAATCCCTCGTGGCCAGCCCATCAAATGAACACTTACAATACTGGTCTTCCGAACTTTAATTTGGAGCAACCTTCCCAAGAAAAACAGAACCTTGAAGACAGGTTTTACATATCAATTCCATTCATTTTCAAACTTCGCCCTTGGGCTTTTGATTTGTGACTAGGCTTGGTTCTTTTAAGCCCTCCTCGTGCTAGAAGTGCTGAAAAAGCTTGGGTGGCTTGAAATTTAGTTGTAACAAAATCCAATATAGGGAATAAAAACCTGTCAATTTCAGTTAAAGCTGTCACCAATATTTCATAGCTTTGTTTCTTTTTTTCTAATCATTAATAACATTTCTTCTACGATTACTAATTTACATATATAATCCCGTTTTAGAACACAATTTTGTACGTAAATTTCATGCATGAGATGAACCAAAACAAGGGAATTTCATTCATTCCCTTGGTAGTTGATATTTTATATGCTCCCTGGTCTCCATATTTCCTCCCCAACTGTCCGAAGCACTTGGAAACGAAATTATCTCTCTTATCTGTTCAAATTTCAATGTAAATATTGCATGAAAATGGAGTAACTAACTTTATTTCCATACTATTCTAGCTATGGTATGTTTGGATTTTCAAAACCTGATAAAGAGGCAAAGCATTAGGAGATAATATTTGACCTTATTTGTAAGGTCTATCCAATGCCTCAAGCCAGTACCTAACCTGACGATCATCTCTCTCTCTCACCTTCTCTTCCTCTCTCCATCTCTCGGATGGGCCTCATCCATTCCTGGTTCATCAACGTCCATTAATGGGGGAGTCCAGACCTGAAACCAGCGCCCCTACCTCCTGCAGGGATGAAGCTCAGGCACCAGCAACCCCTACAACCCCAAAAGCTCCTATAACACCACGCCAGCCGATTTCCCTTGTCCAGCCATCCCAAAAGAACAAGAAAAATAAACCAAAAATCGTTCGTGTCTTTCGATCCGTTTTTCGTTCATTCCCTATCATCAACCCTACATGCAAGTTCCCAACCATCCCTGTCGGGTTACCGACGGACACTAACAAATGCAGTTCAGGAACTAGAGTGACCGGAACTTTGTTCGGATATCGTAAAGGTAAGGTAAGTCTTTCCGTGCAGGAGAACCGTAAGTGCCTCCCTTCGTTAGTTGTTGAGTTGGCCATGCAAACCAACGTGCTACAAAAGGAATTGAGTGCCGGGATGGTAAGGATTGCCCTGGAATGTGAAAAGAGAGCTGAAAAGGATAAGGTAAAACTATTCGATGAACCTTTGTGGACAATGTATAGCAATGGGAAAAAAACTGGATATGGGGTTAAGCGAGAGGCCACGGAAGAGGATTTGAACGTGATGGAACTCCTCAAAGCGGTGTCAATGGGGGCTGGCGTGTTGCCAGGGAATTCCGAGACTGAGGGCCAAGATGGAGAGTTAGCCTACATTAGGGCCTATTTCGATCGTGTTATTGGCTCCAAGGATTCCGAGACTTTTTACATGTTGAGCCCAGATGGGAACAATGGGCCTGAGCTCAGTATTTTTTTTGTGAGGATCTGATTCTGATTTAGTCCAAATATGGAGTTGATCAACAGGCTGATGAGGCTGACGTACATCAGGGGGTTCACTTGATTAACATTGTGATGTTGAATCATGAATATATATCCTCCTGGTATGTGAAAGGCTGATAGGGATTTTTAGATGCAGTTGGGTAGAGAGTCTAATCAATTTGATTGATCAGAACACCCCATTACTAAGGTGTTCTAGGATTCCACCAAGGCAGCATTGTATACTTTTTCTTTTCATTTTTGTTTCCGTGAAAGGTTTTGTTTTTCTTTTATCAATGAACAATTGTAGCTTACTGTTAAAAAGGGATTATTATTTTTCACTATCAATAGCTAGGTTTTGCAAGTTTCCATTATCAGTTATATAAAAGCTTGTTCAGCCCTGCTACTACTAGCTCTAACCTTAAAATTTTGTACAACTTGGATACATACAAAATTTGGATTAAAGCCAAACTTGAGATCTATTAGATCGAGAAATGAGTTAATTTAGATTAAGTATTTTAAACATTGGACTTACGCAATTTTCAAGTTAAATCAAGTTTTTAAATTTCATACATATATAAGCCATAACATAGTAATATACTTCAAATTCATATTTGTAAACGTATTTCAAATCAAGTTTCAATCTCTTAGTTGAGTTCAAATAGCTCTAATTTTATAACTAATCAAATGTTCTGAAAAGAAAAACATATAATTCCTACATGTTGAGTTCAAAAACATGTAACTCCAATATTTGTAACAAGATAAGCTGAAGATTCATCTTTTTGTCCTGTTTTTTACGTACTAACAACTAACAACCATTTGTTTTTAGCTAAAGTATGCCTGCAGTCCAGCCTCATAGTACCTGATATATCAAGATCACAACTGCACAATCCAACCATCTGAACAAAATTAACCACACTCAACCATGAAAAAGGGGCAAAAGTAACCAAACCAATGATGATCAACGACTATTTGACATAAAAGAAAAAGATCACTTTTATGATAATAGCGACAGGTCGTTGAATGCAGTACCTACAAACTATTCCATCTTTCTGATAGCCACGTTATCGAACCAAAATCCTCTCCTTACTATTCTCCATCACCATCAACCGCCTGGCCTAATAAACAAACAAAGAAAAAGTCCCAGACGTGGATTCATAAACCACCACCAAGGTTCCAAAAACACAATCCTCAAAACACCCCAAGATTCTAGGAATCCCCAAAACCAATCCCCCAACTGAACCCTGTTATTTTTTTTCTATGGCCACGGTGGCGCGTGCAATACATTGTGAGCTACTTTCCAATAAACCTGGGGCTAATACTAGGAGAGAATTGGGTGGTCAGGTTTCGATTCCGGCTCAGAGAGTGAAAGTGAGTGAACCTGAGAATGGAAAGATAGTGTTGCAGCCGAGGTTGTGTACTTTAAGATCGTATGGTTCGGATCGAGGTAGGGTGTTGAAGACAAGAAGGGAAGAGGGTGATGAAGTTTCCCCGTTTTTCGAGACGTTGTCTGAGTATATTGAGAGCTCCAAGAAGAGCCAAGACTTCGAAATCATCTCTGGTCGCCTCGCTATGGTAATTAAATTCTCTCACTGCTAGACTGACTGCTTTTGTTCCTGTGAAAGAGTGTCGTTATTGAGCTCAACTGCTCAAGCACGTTTGTGTTCGGAGTTTTATCAGAACAATCAAACTTTGAACTGGACAAGTTTGTGTTTTTCTTGCCCTGTTTGAGTTCCATGTGGTAATTGGTAGCCTATTAGGTCTCATCTCAGATAGTTGGAAATAAAAGATTTTGACCATAGTAACAGAAAGCTTGACCCTATCAGGAAATTGGGAAAAACTTTCTAGGCTTAGAGAAACTGTTGTCGTACTAATTGTTTTAATCAAATTAATACTCGTCTTTTGAAGAGAGATATGGCTGTAAACTGAGTTATACCATTGCCATCAATATTGTAGGGTTAATGGTGTTTACTTTTTGAAGCATTGGCTAACAGAGTAAACGTTAATCTAATGGTGATTATTTTTTGCAGGTTGTGTTTGCAGCAACAGTAATAACAGAGTTTGTGACGGGAAACTCCTTATTTAGGAAGATGGACTTGCAAGGGATTGCTGAAGCTGCTGGTGTATGCTTAGGGGCCATGACTTGTGCTGCTGCTTTTGCTTGGTTATCTAGTGCTCGGAACAAAGTTGGTCGAATCTTCACTGTCAGTTGTAACACATTTATTGATTCAGTGATCGACCAAATTGTCGATGGATTGTTCTATGAATCTGATCCTAGTGACTGGTCTGATGATATTTGAAATAATTCAGGAATTGTAATTATATTTAATCATAATATAGAGAAGCAAAGGCAAGGTGTCTCACTGTCTATATAGGTGGGATCTCCCTTTCAGAGAAACAATAATATGTGGAGATCCTGGAAAAGAAATTAGAGGTAGAGATGAGTAAGTAGGAGTTGTTACTGCAAATCTTATGCAATCAGAACTCAGAAGGCATGTAAATGAAGGGAGATGTGATTGAAGTGCTAGTTTCTAGTGTCAGCCTATCTCATGTGAGATTATAGCTGTTAATTCGTATGGAATTATAGTAATCAACCAGTGGAGTTATGCTTAAATTGAGAGTTGAAACCTGTTGCTGTGTCATTTATTCTTCTGTTATATGTAGTTTAATGCTTTAAGATTCTGGTGGAGAATGCAATTAGCTGGCACAGTTATAGCACAGTTATATAAATGGAGTCCTTAGTATTACTATTGGAGGATGGGAGGCATAACCTGGAGATGATTGATTCCTTATGTTGAGGCCTGGAATCTGTATTTGGTTACAGTTGGCAGCTCTGGATGGTAACATGCAAGAGATTTTCCTTCATCTCCTGATTGAAGTCAATTCCAATTTTCCACTCCCCAAGACTCCTCGATATGATTCCCAAAAAAAAAACAAAAGCCCTCCTTGGGATGAATAGAAAATTAGAAACCAACATGGGATCACGTTTCTTTGGACCATAATTGAAGGCCAGCGCCAATTATTATGCAAAAAATCTATAAAAGGAAGCCCATCAGGCCATCACTGCACGTGCATCCCATGCTTTGCCTCGTGGCCAAGTGCCACCCCAGCTGCTTGGCTCCGCCTCCGACAACTGTGCTCCCAGCAATCATTTCAAATTGATTGATTTTAAAACCATCGATTCATTTTCTCTCTCAATTTATTCACATTCCCAAATCACAAATGTTTGCAAATTGTTATGGCCATTCTTAGCTCTCTCTCTTTTCTCTCTTCCTCTCCTTTCTCTCCTCTGTTCCATCGTTCATCATCTCCACTCTCTTCCTTTCCTTTCAGTCTGTTCTTCAAACCCAAAACTCCGAGGACCCAATCTCTTAGCCTTCGCTTTCGTAACGACGCCGTTTCCTCCGCTTTCTCCGGCGTCGAAGTCGGTGAGGACTTACCGCTTGATTACGGTGATTGGCTTCCCAAGTCCGATCCAAACCAGCGGAGAAGAGCCGGTATTTTGCTCCACCCGACGTCGTTTCGTGGACCCTATGGCATTGGCGATCTTGGCGAAGAAGCTTTTCGCTTCATTGACTGGCTACATTTAGCTGGCTGCTCTGTTTGGCAGGTACCATCTCCATTATCCCCCTTTCAAACGCATCGTTTCGTTTCCATGCTGAGTCACAGAATCTAGGAAAAATCAAATATTATGACACCTATTGATGAATGAAAATTGATTGTGAATGCAGGTGCTTCCCCTTGTTCCTCCTGATGAAGGAGGATCACCATATGCAGGCCAGGTGCTGCTTCACTAATATGTTCTTAATTATTTGTTTTCCTGTTTCAATAACTATTTTTTTTCTATGATTTCACCGTATCCAACATGCTTCAGAAAGAAGAATCCTGAAATTTTGTTCACTTACTTGGGCTTTTTACTACTCATTCTTAGGAGTGTAATTGAGTCGAGCTGAATTGATACAGTGAAAAACTTGTGCTTGACTCGAAATTCGAATTAGAAACTTAGCTCGAGTTTGATCAAGTTTTAATTTTCAAGTTAGAACTCGACTCCAAATAAAATTAAGCTATTCGAACTCATTTAATAAAAATGAACTTGATTCTCATACTCGATTTCAAGTTTGATTATGTGTTAAAACTCGAGCTCAAATTAATGTATATAGAGGTAAAATAGTAAATTTTTAATTAAAATAATTAGAATATATTAAAATTTAAAAGCTCGATTATGTTTGTGAGCTACTCAAGTTGGACATTAGGATATTCAAATTTAACTCGCTCAATACTAGGACATTAGGACATTAAGTCGATCTGCTTCAGTATCGAGCGAGTTGAGTTTAAACTCGACTCAACAATGACCAAGCTAAATTTATATTTTATCTTAGTGAACCTGAATAGCTTGCGAGCATTGATTTGTTATTTACTTCTCTACTCATACTCGTAGGTCTACATAACATTGTGTAGTTTTCCTTGTTAATTGTCCTTTCAGGATGCAAATTGTGGTAACACTTTCTTGATTTCACTTGAAGAGCTTGTTAAAGATGGTTTGCTTACGAGGGAAGAGCTTCCACAACCAATGTAAGGATTTTTTTTTTCTTTTTGAGTTAACTGTTATATCCAGGCTAAATTATAGTATGATCAATGACAGTCTAATTATGTTCTCACTTATGTTTTAACTTCTTATTATATCATTTGTGCAGTGATTCTGACCGTGTTTGCTATTCTACTGTTGCTAACTTGAAGGATCCTATGATAAGTAAGGTAACGGATCCTCTGAATGCCACTTCTTTTTTTAGTTAGCTGTGCCCAGTTCAACTCACATTATCATTTTTTAGGCTGCAGAAAGGCTCCTCTTGTCTGATGGAGAACTTAAAAATCAGCTTGAGGCTTTCCATAGAGATCCTATCATATCAAGTGAGCTATTTATTTTCCATATAATTGCACATTGTTATATTCCTATTTACTTCTAGTAGTCATTTACATATTTACTGAGCTTCAGTCTGCATTTGACTGTTTTATTCCTATATGAATTTGTGGAGTTTGGGGGTGAAAGGTTTTTGGTGAAAAAAGAAGATTGCTTTTTGTGGGATTGAAAGGGGAGTATTTGTAAGACTCTGTTTTCGAGATCGTTAAAGTCTAAATTTGTTCCCTGTACCATCTCAATTCTGTTGTTTTAGTCCCTCTACTCCAATTTTAATGGATATAGTCCCTTAACTTTTATTGAAAGTAGATTTAAAGACAATTGATGATAATATTAATATTTTGCCTTTAGTTTTGATGAAAAGGAATTTTAGTGATTACTTGGCATGATTTTTTGGCTATGTGACACATTAGCCTAAAATTTTTCATATTTTATTTTAATTAAATAATAAATATCTTTAAATTTTTTTAAAAAAATTTAATATATTTTTATAAAAATAAAGTTTTTCTTTACTAATGTGTGCTGGGTGATAAAAAAGTTCAGGTTAGCATGTTATGTCATCAACAAACAAGCCATGTAGTCAAATTTAATTGTAGAAGTTAACGCCGTTATCAGTTATCCTTAAATCTACTTTTAATTAAAGTATAGGAGTAAATTCATTAAAATTAGACTAGAGGGAATAACCAACAAAACTTAGTAGCTCCATTAGTATTTTTTAGTTTACCTTAATCTGTTAAGTATTCTCATGAGAATAATAAAAAGAAGAAGGGAGTAAAAGTATTCAGCAGTTTATTTATTTTTCGTATACTGAAATTAACGTGTTCCTTTCCATTACCTTTGAGTTTGAGTTGTTTGGCCATTGGAGGCCTTTCTTCATGTGATCATTTAAGTTGGTTTTTAAATTTTGTAGGCTGGCTTGAAGATTCAGCTTATTTCGCTGCTATCAATGACAGTTTAAAAACATTCAGTTGGTATGACTGGCCTGAACCTTTGAAAAATCGCCATCTTGCAGCCTTGGAAACCATATACCAGGAAAAAAAGGATTTTGTATGATCTGGATCTCTTTTAATGAAAATATTGGTTCAATAGTCTCAATAGTCTCCTACATTATCTACCTAATTTAGATGCTAATATCACTGGCTGCTCTTGCTTTCACTTGGCAGATAAATTTGTTTATTGCTAAACAATTCATATTCCAAAGACAGTGGCAAAAAGTTCGCAACTATGCACGAATGAAGGGAGTCAGCATAATGGGAGACATGCCCATTTATGTAGGTTATCACAGTGCTGATGTTTGGGCTAATAAGAAACATTTTTTGCTGGTGAGGAGTTTATTTATGCATATAAGTGGTAATAATTTAAGCATGCCCCAAAGTATTCAATTATTGGTTTTGGCTACAAATTTGTTTATTCTCTTTGGCAGAATAGGCATGGTTTTCCTAGGCTTGTCAGCGGTGTTCCTCCCGATGCCTTCAGTGATACTGGTCAGCTATGGGGGAGGTTTGTACTACATAAAAACAAGTTTATCTGCATGTTTGAAATATAAATAATTATTTTTTCATAAATGTTATTGTCTGTGCTTGTAAAAGCAAGGTATTGTTTCATTTGTTCATTCATTTTGAAGATTCATTAGAAAACAAATTACATGTACCTGACAATTACTTCTCTCTACAGTTTCTCACTTGTATTTTTTATTGCTATGCACTTCTGTTGTTGATTTTATAACAAAAGGTTAGGAGTCTTGAATTCAATAGTTTTTGACAATTGGCTGAACTCACCAACGGTTTCAGTCATAGCATGTAATCCTGAGTCATATATTTTGCTTATCCTGATTTTCTTGCTCGTATTTTCTCTTGAGTTACTTGTACAATTTACACTTTATGCTAGTTTCTTGCTACAGTAGTCATCTTTAATCAAGGTCATGCTTTAATTCAGCCCTCTATATGATTGGAAAGCCATGGAGAAAGATGGATTTTTATGGTGGATACGTCGCATTAGACGTGCACAGAATCTTTATGATGAATTCAGGATAGACCACTTTAGAGGATTTGCTGGCTTTTGGGCTGTCCCTTCTGGTGAGATGTTGTAAACTATACTGACCATAATGGTGCTTGTGAGAAATGTATGTTACACTGAAACCAAATTACTAACACAATTAATCTATGCAGAAGCGAAAGTTGCCATGGTTGGACGATGGAAGGTCAGGTTCTATAATTCTGGTCATGTTAAAATTTCCTTTAATTGTGCCATTCACTGCTGATATTATTTCCATGATGGTAGGTTGGTCCACATAAATCCTTATTCGATGTGATCTCCACAATAGTTGGAAAGATTGATATCATAGCAGAAGATCTGGTATGTTCTACCAGATAGAATATGGAGAATGTATTTTTATCCTTTGTTTTGTTTACTAGCTGTGGTTTCTATTTGTTATTTTTTTCACGTCTCTTCCCCAAGGAAACTGTCTAAATACTTAATTCTTCAATAAATCTTAATATGCCTACATTAAACGTTTTGTATTTGAGTGGCATTTCAGCTACTTTATAGATATTGAGTAAATTATAACTTGTCTTGGTATAGTTCAATATTCTTGCTTCTATTTGCTGAAACCCGTTACATGATGTTTTCTCTCACTTAAGGGGGAGAAAGATCATGTGAGCTATGATTTGAGCTAATTCAATGTACAGTGAGCTCTGGTTCAATAATTTAGTTGATTTTGAATGGTGTACAAGTTGCGTGTTATGTTGCTTGTTATGATTTTTGGGCATCATTTGATGCATCATTTCTATTTCATGTACAATTGTTCTTCTGTCTGCATGCCTAGGTGTTACAAAAATATAATATAATAGTGAGAAACACCAGTAATATAGATAAAGTATAATCATAATGGCTGAGCACCATTAAGGATCATTTAATTAACCATAAACTAAACTGCAGTTTATTCTCATTCCTGCATCGCATGCACTACTAAACAAATCATTGGTGTCTTTGTGCTGCTTGTTTTCTGTATGTTTCCCTTGATTTTTTTTTTTTTTTTTTTGCAATAATTTTTTATTATCAAGGATGCTGAGGATATTTGGGGTTCAGTAGCAAACATTTTGTTTGTCTCCCTAATTGATCTGCTTCTGCTATGCAAGCTCTTATCTTTTTGGGTGTCACATGGCAGGGAGTTATAACTGAGGATGTAACTCAGCTTAGAAAATCTATTGGAGCACCTGGAATGGCTGTTCTCCAGTTTGGTAATATGTTATTACTAATCAACTGTGATGACATCTTTTTAAATTGTCAGTTTTGACCGGTGGCCTTTAAATTGGCGTTCTAATTTTTTTCTTGTCCCATTTTCTCTTGGTCTAGGTTTCGGCAGTGACTCTAGCAACCCTCATTTGCCTCACAATCATGAGCACAATCAAGTTGTATACACTGGAACACATGATAATGACACGGTAAAGATCCTTCAAGAAATGGTTCTTTGTTGATGTCTTACCGTATTTTTGGTTTCTTGGCTGGTTGAAAGTTGGAATGATACATGCTAGGAATGATAGGTGCCATTGGGAAATTTATTCCATGGGAACAAATTTCATTAATCTATTTATCAAATACAATTTGAAATAAAACAAGCTCAAAATTCTGGATTTGCAATAATGGAAATCACCACAAGACAAAACCAGTCAAGGCAAAAACTCAAATAGATATGAAAGTACTTCTTTGTATCAATTTTCAGCTAAAATAATCAAAATAACAACCACATAAACAACAATGCCTTAAGGGAATCATCCATGTCTGGAATACTACTAATATCTGGAGCAAACATCCAAAGTTAGGAAAATGTCTTGATCTTAGAATATATAATACGGAGGAGGACTAATATGGAAAATGATTGAGAGAGAAAGGTGAGGTAAGAAATTTGAAAATTGATCTGGTTAAAAGCATATTGTTGTCTGGTTTGACAAATTATTTTATCAAATTCTTTGATATTGCATACTAATATTTAATTTGACTGTCTCATAGATCCAAGGTTGGTGGAGCAATTTGTTGGAACAAGAGAAGTCCAATGTGAGTTTTCTTTGTTATGCTAAAGCTTCTGATCAGCTTTATCAAGTCATGTTTGTCTTACTTCAGAAATTGTCTCAGGTATTGAAGTACCTTCATATCACCGAAGAAGATGAGATCTCATGGGCACTGATCGGAGCTGCACTTTCCTCAGTAGCTCAAACTGCAGTAATAACCATGCAGGATATTCTTGGGCTAGGGAGTTCTGCCAGGATGAACATTCCTGCAACAGAGGTAAAGATAGTGTCCTTAAACGTGTGCATATGAATGTGCAATGAACTGTGGCATGAGCTGACCCAGGTTCATGCATCTAGAACATTGTTAATTGAGGAATAAAGCATTTATGGTGGTTTAAATTATCGTATCTTTATCATCAAGAGAAAGGGGCCAGATGGAAAAAGGAAGTATTTTGTGCATTTTAAGTGTAACATATCCAAACAAAGATGGATTTTGACAAATCTCATTGTGACTCTTTCTTTGATAACTACTGTGTGCAGATTGGGAACTGGAGTTGGAGGATACTTAATTCCATGAGTTTTGATTGCTTAGAGAGAGAAGCATTAAAATTAAGAGATATGCTTTCCATGTATGGGCGAATGTAGTCGAGGTAAGCTGAGATCTTTCTTTCCTCAGTCATTACCATGTGTCGAAAAACAATCTGTCTAGCTTTCCATAAGTTTTTTCCTGATGATTGAGGTTTTAGAGTTAAATTTAATAAAAAGGTTGAACTGTCCTTTAATATCTCTAGCTCGTCATTAATTTCTTGTTTCTAGTTACTGTTGATTGTCACTCATGGTAAAGAAGTCAGTCACTAGCTTCATGGAGGGGACCTGAAACTCAAACCCCCTCTTCAAACCCTTTTTCTTTCAGCTTAAACTCATAACCTAATGCTGGACATTATGAGCTTGAATCCTTCTGTGATTGTTCAAGCTTCTGAGTAGTTGAAATTTTAAACATCAACCACTAGAAAAGCTGTGAATGGTAGCATTCTTGTTCATAACAATGCAAGTGTTACAAATGTGCTTAAGTTTGCAAAGTCATGGAAATTATTTGTGCAATTGCCAATCTTTTTAATTACAAAGGTTGAAAAAACAAAACAAGGCACCAAATGATGATAAATAAATAATTCTGTGAAATACCAATGTACCTAGGCAGCATAAACTTCTTTGGCCTCATGTTGTAGTACTTTAGTTAATGTGATGAACAAGTTGCGGAATCAAAGATGAGAATTCATTTTATAAGAAACAGAAACTGCCTGTTTATTTTCATTCCAGTTGAAACTACAAATTGGAGTTTAAGTTTAGCAATAGCAAATTTAATTTAATCATTATTAATTCAAACAATTGCAATTGTATTGTCATTTTAATCTTCTCATAGCTTCTATCCCATTCAAACAGATCCTAACCAGAGTAAAGCCATTGGTAAATCTAATCAACTTAACTGAAACTATTTTCGGGTTTTGCATTGGTTCCTTGGGTAAAAGGTTGAATAAATGGAACCACACATCTCGATATATATATATATATATATATATAGACACACACACACACACAATACATGCATTGTAGAAACAAAATGGATCAAATATGTCTGTTTCTCATGGAAAAAGCTGCCTTACATTGAATCTACCACCTATAATATTTTTTTTAGATAGTTAAATATTGAATCTTAATAATTAAAATTCTTATATTTTATGAATGAATCACGTGATTATTTCATTTAGGAGTAAAGAAGATTTTCTCTTGAACTTGATGTTTAATTCAAATGATTCACTCATTTTTTATTTTTATTTTTAAATGATTTCCAATAAAGCAGAGTTCAATATCCAACTTTTGCAAATTTTTCTTTCTCAATTTTCTTTATATCCTGACCTCTTATTAAAAGAAAAAATATTTTTTCTTTGTATTTATTTTATTAATTAAAAAATTATTATCCCAAGTACATCATTATTAAGAATATATATATATATATGTATATATAATCTAATATTTGGAATTGGAAGGAGAGTCGGTCGTCAAATTTACAAATAGAACCAAATTGCATGCATGCATTATTCTATGTCTGTCGTTTACCGACGTTTTTGCCAAGAGCAAATACTATATATTGCCATAGCAAAGAGTCTTAAAGAAAAAGTGTGCCGCAATGGATTTTTGAAAAAAAAAAAATTACATAAAAAACACAAGAAGAGTCTGAATTTAAATTAAAAAAAAAAAAAGGGTGAAACCATAGAAAAAAAACTAGGGTTGTGTATATTTCTTAAATTGAGAATTGAAAACGATGAACAATTTTCTATATTTTCCCCAAGATGTGTAAGAGAGGTCGACCACCTTGTCGGGGCCACTGGGGACAATTAAGAAACCTCAGGTTGGGTTCTTGAAATTAATGTCTTTTGGATGATTCTTGGAAATTAAAGTTAGTGTTAGAATTGTATATATAGTAAAACGAGGATACCTTCGATTGCTTCCTTCAGGCGGACAATAATTCTTAGTCTGAAAAATAAATTGATGTACTGTGTGCCATTTTAAATAATCAAGATCAAATCATGAGGTCATGGTTGATGAATCTTTAGAGTCAAAATTAAATTTGACTATTCGGATATTCATATCATTTAAAATATTAAAATTTATGTTTTTATATTATATTTTTTATAAAAATTATTATAATTTATGTCGATTTTTTTTTTAATTTTTTATTAAATTTATATATAATTATTATTAAAATTTTAAATTATATCTCTTTCGTATTTTATTTTTTATCTTATTTATGTCGTATCACTTTGAGTAAAACTTGAAATCTAAACCCTTACCTCACTCATTCTATGTTTTAGTCTTGCTTATTATTATTATTATTATTATTATTATTATTATTATTATTCAATTGAAAATAGCAATTTAAGTGAGTTTGTGTTAATATTCCAAATTTCAATCTTTGGCTGTTGGCTCAAATAAAAACTTATTCCATCAAAAGATAATATTTTTTGCATAGTGCTATTCTGCTTTGTGTTAGTTAACCCTGATAAGCTTTCGCATGTAAGATTCATTTCATCAACATATAACTTGCATGAACTTTCACGTGATAGGGATATCGTAAAGAAGTATCAGATCTTATTTAAACCTTAAACCATCACTTTTTGTTATATACAAGGTGTCACGACAATTAAAAAAAAAAAAAAAAGATTTGTACGTAAATATTAAAATTAAAATTATATTTTTTAAATATAATTATATGAATTAATTAAATTAAATTAATATTTAAATTCTTATTTTTCAAATCTCGTTATGTACAGATTGGAGGTTCGACAAATTTATATTAAATTTATTTAATTATATGTTAATTTATCTATTTAATTGAATATAGAACAATTGGATTTGAATAAAGATAATGAGAAATTAATGTACAAACATCTTATCATCACGCTTTCCTCACTGTGGATTCATCCAAATCTTATGACTTCATCAACTGTAAATCACAAAAAAAAAAAAAAAAAGCTAATTAAAACGGAAATGAAAATAAATAGCTGCAAATCATTTTATATTATTTGTTTTATGAATGAAAAATGAAAAAAATATTAAAAAAATGTTATTTTTCAACCATATCACATTTTAAGCAATGCACGAAAAAAGCATGGCGTTTTAAGTCGGTTAAGAATGATAAGAAGCCGATTTATGAGAGCTTCCTTTAATTATTAATTAATAATTTTGAGAGTGTTGATGAAAGTGAGAATTACTAATTGAAGAGAGACAAATTAGGAGAGTGCATGATAACACTTACTTGTTATAATTGATATGATAATTTGTATATTTATATCATATAAAATATTAAATTTATGGATTTATATGATTTTATACGAAAATAAAATATCATAATTTATATTAATACAAAAATATATCTAAGATTAATAGTAATTCATAAAATATGATAGAATTTTCAAAATATTGTTTTCATTAATCCCAATTCACAAAGTTGGATTAGTGAATAAATTTGAGTCCAATGCTTTGCCAAATTACTCCTCTCTCTCTCTCTCTCTCTCTCTCTATAAAGATGATCATAGAAAAGAACAATTAAATAAATAAACAAGAATTATGTGATAAAAAAGAAAAGAAAAGAAAAGAAACAATATAAAGCATGCTACAACCAAAAAAAAAAAAGAAAATTAATTAATTAATCTAGATAATTAAATAGCCCTAGAAACCAAACCAAAATTAGAGCTTAGGGATGTAAATAAATAGAATTTTTTACTGTGAACATATTTTATTTATTTTTTTATATTTATTTTTTAAATTAATAAATGAATAATTTTTAAAGTTAATTAATTAGGCAAATAAATTATAAACATAATAAAATTATAGGTGAGAAAAAAAATCAAAAATCGATTTAAAATTGTAATATTCGATTTGGTTCGGATCAGTTTTTTTTATTTAGTTTGGATTAAATTCAAATATTAAATTTATATATTAAGTTTAGATTGAAAAATAAAAAACCAAACCAAATTATATATTTTTCTTAGTTTATATATATATATATATTTTTAAATTTTTGTAAAATAAAAATAAAATTTTTATATTACAATTTACTTAAATATATTAAAAATTTATATTAAAATAATTTAAAAATTAAAAATTAAAAAATCAAACCGAATTAAACTAATACAATTTTGTTCAAATTATATACAGGTTTGGTTTGAATTTTAAAAATTTATAATATTATGTAATATCTAAAAAAATTAAATCAAATTCAATTCAATCCAAACTATTATCACTCGTAATAAATTTCATTTATATTCAATTTATTTATATCTGATCATGTAAATGAGTAAAACATTTATCAAATGGTTTGTAATAAATTTAATTTTTGTTCATTTGTTAAATTTAAACAATTATAAATAACATTAAAAATTCGTTAATTAAATAAATATATAACAAACGTAACAAAATTAGTTAATGTTAGATTCATTCACACTGCTGGAAACCCTTACCTTTAAATGTTTAAATACTTAAAGAAACTGAACACTATAATGAATATACAGTTTTCACATAAAATAAGCCTTGGAAAAACTTTAAAATCCACTAAATAATATAACAACTATACTAATAATTAAACCCCTACAACCCTAGGCTAAGGCAAAAGGGCACCACCTCTTTCCAAAGCAAGGGCAAGCAAAGGAAACTTCATTTCACAAGACAGCTTCAGAACCTCGCTCAAATCCACCGGGTGAGCATCCATATCCTGAACCCATTTGAAATGGTGCACCAACTTGGCCACCCAAAGGTTGACCGTGACCAGCCCAAGGTTCTTCCCAGGGCAAACCCTGCGCCCAGCGCCGAAGGGTGCGAGCCTCAAGTCACCACCTCTGACGTCCACGTTGGCTACCAAGAACCTCTCGGGCTTGAACTCGAGTGGGTCATCCCACACGTGGGGGTCATGGGTTATGGCCCACATGTTCACCATGGCGGTTGTGTTGGCGGGAACAAGCATCCCGTTGCTGAGCTGGACGTCTGATGTGGATAGCCTGGCCCACGAAAGGAGTGGGCCTGGGGGATGGATCCGTAAGGTTTCTTTGACCACCGCCTGAAGGTAAGGTAACTTAGCCACGTCAGCATCGGTGAGGCTTTTGTCTGTCACGGCACTGTCAATCTCAAGTTGTAGCTTGGATTGTACTTCCGGGCGCAACACCAACTCAGCCATGACCCACTCAGTTAACAAAGCAGTTGTGTCAGTTCCTCTAAAAATCATTTCCTGCATAACAGCTCAAGAACCGAATCTCACTAAGTTAACTCAACATTATTAAACATGCAAATAATTAACGTATAAACTTTAATAAAACTATACTAACCCATAAAACAGCAACCATGTCATCTTCTTGGAGTTTTTCTTCACCGTCAAGAGAGAGCAAAACATCAACAAAATCAGCATTGTCAGACAGTTTTTCGGACTCATTGAGTTGTTGGTGTTTTTCAATGATGCCTTTGACTAGTTTTCTAACTCGGGGAACGAGTTTCAAGCAACGTTGATTGATACGAAACGGGTCATAGAAATAACTTAGCCATGGCAAATAATCAGACCAGTTAAAAGCTCCCAAGAGTTCAAACCCTTCTCTTACCATATCCCTAAGCTCTTCCAGTTCTTCACTATCTTTTTCCTGGTCATATCTTTTGCCAAAAACACTTCCCATGATATTGTTCAAAGCAGCAAACTGAAGATGTTTTCTTAAGGAAACAAAGCCATGGAGTTTCTGTTCGTTTGCTATGTTGCGTAGCATGATGGTGCAGTCTAGTTGGCGACCGGCTTCGTGTGCTATCATGCGCTTTGGTGCAAAGAGGTGGGATGAAGCTATTCTTCTCAAAAGCCGCCAATAGGTGCCATTGGGAGCGAACCCTATCGCTCGGCTGAACATGAGACTCTTAGCCGACTGCTTGATGGGACGGTCAGAGAAGTAAGGGGAGGTCAAGATTTCTCGAGCAGTGTGGGGATCAGAAGCTACAACTACAGGAGTGGAACCCAGGCTAAAAGCCATGAGCTGAGTGTTGGACCTGGACCAAGCCATGGCGGCAAGAGAACGGTGCGCCAAGCCACGACTCAAAGTAAAGAGGCTACCAAAAATAGGGAGACCCCTAGGACCAGGAATAGAAAGGCTACCCTTTCGGTTCCTTCCATTTTTCCATGCAATTCCCCCGACAGCAAAAGCCCACGTAAGAAGGGCAAGAGACAGAAAAGCCATACAGAGGGAAAACAAAACGTACCCATCAAGAAGGCTTTTGGATCCAAAGAAAGCTGGAAGAGTAAAAATCCACCAGGTTGTATCTTTCGAAACCAAACCCAACTCCATCATCCTCAGGGCAAGGGTAAGAAATTTTCGTGGAGAGTAGCCAAAGAAAGGGGTAGATAATATATAGGAAGATGTTTGGTGATGATTACAGTTACTGTTATTATTAAGTTGAAAAGATTTGATCCGACAGAGCTAACAGGAAAGATGAAAAGAGAGGTGGGGGAGAGTTTCACGTGGGGAGAGGAAATGAAGGGGAGGGATTCTGGGCTGCATGAGAGAGAGAAATGGAAATGAATTGTGTGATTGAAGGGGTGAAGTGGGACGTTACGAGCTTATATAATGCACGTTTATGGTTGTAGGGCGTAGCAGAGCAGAGACTGAGACCCCTAGAATTCTAATAGCGAAAACGGCAGCCAATAGGAAATTAGAAAGAGAAATATTGAAAGGGAAATATGACGTGTGGGAGCGAGGTTGGGGATAACGCTTACAGGTTCAAGTAACGCATTGAGAGTTGAATTTAATGCCTAAGCTATACATGCCCCAACATGTATAAGTAGAGGTGGTAACGGTTTAATTTATACCGATTTAATTTTTTTAAATATTATATAATATTATAAAATTTAAATTTAAATTTGAATCAAATTTTTATTTGATTTGAATCGAATTTTATCAATTTGATTTAATTTATTAATTTTTTTAATTTTTATATATTATTTTAATATAAATTTTTAATATATTTAAATAAATTTTGATATAAAATTTTTATTTTTATTTTATAAAAATTAAAAAATATATATAATTCGATTCGATTTTTTTTTATTTTTTACTATCTAATTTAAAATTTAATTTAAATTTAATATATATATTTAATATTTAAATTTAATTCAAATTAAATAAAAAAATTAAATCGAATTAAATCAAATATTATAGCTTTAAATCGATTTTTAAAATTTTTAATTTTTTTCTCATCCCGATGCATGGGAAGAGAATGAGACGGATGCTGATCCATCCGCCGATTGAATGCCCCTCGCTCCCACTCCCTTATCATCATATAATAACAATAATAATAATAATAATAATTTTCACAAACTACGTTATGTTTGGCTCGAATCAAAGATTTTATAAGAAATGTTATTGGAGCATGACTGTTTTACAAACTACTAAAAAAGATAAATTAAAATAACGTTTGATAAATTTAGTGTAAAAAAGTTTTGGAATATTAAAAATTATTTGATAATAGTTTTATATATTTTTAATAAATGAAGGAAATACAATAGCAGTTAACTTTATTAAATTAAATCATAAGTTTTAAAATAAAAATAAAATAAAATAATGAAATGATTTTATTTTTTATGAATAAAATACATGAAATCAATAAGCAAAATGAATGTCAAATAAATTAATTTTTTCTCATTCTATGAATTATGTAAAAGTAAAATGAGAATTTGAAGAAGCTTTAGTTTATAGCTTCTTTTAAAAATTTAAATCAGTTTCCATATAAATTAAAAGTTTTAAAATTTTAAGTACCAAGCACTAAAGTTCTATTTTTGTAATAAATAAACTCTTATATAAACCAAAGCAAACATCCACTTAATGTGAAACGTTGCTCATTAGAATTTATCTTAATGGAAATGAAGACGCTTTAATTAAAACATATAGAAGCAATTAATGAATAATCAATTAAATTAATTAACAAATCAAAAACATAATTAAATAAATTCAACATAAAATTGAATCAAAATCGACACACAATAAACTTTAAAATCTAAAATCTCATACTTCTAAAACTTCGCTTTCGACACTAAACCAAAGCCTCGGTGGCTTTTTTTTAGTTCTCGAGGCCTTGTGTCCTTCAGTGTAATTGACCATATTATATGATGCTAATGGAAAAGTCTATCATAACATCAATTTTTGTTTTTCTCTCATATCAAACAAAGTATTAGAGAAGCTGGAGGCTATGTGCACATACCATCCATGAAAATCAGACGGCAGGGGAGAAAAATGGTTTTCCAGCATGTCCATTAGCTAAAGTTCAACGGACAATCGCTGGTCAACGTTTTTCTCGGAGCCCAGTTTTTACAGCGTTTGGTAACTAAGTATGCAAAATGTAGTTAGAATGTCTGCCTCAATGAAACTACGTATCGTGAATCAGCATCATGTCAATAGCACAATACGTGGGGAATTTCACAACTTATTTGTGTAAACAAATACACTACAAGGTACAGTGGTCACCGAAAAGAACGAGGAACATTTGACATGCTATGCTACAACTAACATGAAATTCAAGTAACATATTTAGAGCTTTGTCAAAACTATAATCCTACAATGGTCATGCCACCTTCCTTCCTTAGGTACCCTTCAATTTGTTCCAATGCCTATCATGATTGTAGTACCATTTAGCCAACATCTTAATTAGATAACAGGAAAAAAAAAACATAGGAGAGAGAGAAAGAAAAAGAGACCTCAATTGCAATCTCTGTTGGAGTAAGATCTGACACATCTCCACAACCTAGTTTGCCTGCAATTTCTGAAAAATTGGAACACTTGTTTAAAGGCAAAATCATCTGAAGCAACATGAGTACAAACATCCCATGTCAAATGAAGATACATGGGAATTATAGGATGGAAAAAGAAGGTAAAGAAAGAAAGATCATGGCATCAATGAGCACCAATGCACTTCAAACAGTCAGTTCTCAGAGAGGTTTCACAAGATCTTGTCCAAAAGTGACATAACTCGTAAAAGTGTGAGACAGGTTCAACTATACATACCTTCCAAGGAAACCCTGGCATTTGCTTTAGCATAATTTTTACCCCTCTGTTCCAGAAGATAAGACAGACGCTTCAAAGCCTGTAAAAGGCTCAGAATATCAAAAACTCACTAGATGAGATAATACCAAGTCTAAGTAAGAAAAGGAAATATAATACGCAACTGACTACCTTTGTATATGGATCGCCAGGTTCATAATGCAAAAGGGGGCGAGAATGGGTACCTACTGCAGCAATTCTCTGTGCCAAGGCTTCCAAAGGTACATCTAACCAGACACTAATCCCCTTCTTCTGCATATAGTCCCTGATAAACAAACAGAAGACTTTCAGACCTTTATAGCTGACACAACAGAAAATAAAACCCATGGAGAGAGAAGAATCTAAATTAATTAAATTCCTGTGTACCAGTTCTCATCTTGTACAACTGCACCTCCGCCAGTAGAAACAACAAGTTGTTTCTTTGAAGAGAGCCTCCGCAATATTTCAGTCTTGAAGACAGGAAGAAGAATATAAAACTTCCATTCAGTTGGAAAAATGTGTGATATATTAAAATGAAAACAGATTCTGGTAAAAATATCAACTATCTCATAACAAACAGACATGATGATGGAGTTGGCACACAAAGTAGTTATAAGCAATGGCTTTAGAATAAGTGACACTAGAGAGTAAAATCAGTATAGTGAAGTGTCTAATGCATACATCTTTCGGAAATTTCTCATCTGGCTTGACTTGGCTCCCCTTTATAGTGGTGAAACTCACATGGTTAAGTTAGCCAAAACCAACTTCAAATGTTGGTCTATTTTCCATGTCTGCAATAATTTTCTATAAATAATGGCAGAATAGAAAGGTTCCTGATGACATAATAAGCTAATTTCATACTTTTGACATGTTAAGAAAAAATTTAATTAGGTCTTCTTTAGTATGGAAACTCATATTATTTGATCCAGCATGTGACCTGCAGCAGACATCCTCCTTTAGTGAGATCAGTAGTAGTTTACAATCTTCAACCATAGCACATATAAGCAGTCATCTTACTCTGCATGTGCGCATACAGAAAGGGAGTTTTCTGACTAACCTCCTTTTTTCTGAAGAAACTCTCCCCGTGAAGATTAAACATTTCAGCTACAGACATTCCATTTACCTCCTCCTCAATCAATGCATCACTGAAATTGTAGAATAAAGATATTCTTGAGACAAAAAATTAAAAGGCCTGTTTAGCAATACATTGGAAATCGGTAGACATCCCGGACAGAATACTACTTCTGCAATATTCAACCTAGATAATTTATGTATCAAAAGTAGACCAAATCCCTTGGAAGCGTCTAATGTGAACATACCATTGCCCCTAAATTATTCAATTGATGCATAGTCCCATACCCTACTTGAGACCAAGACAATTAATTCCACACTACAAACTATGAAGGGCCACTTCTGCCAGTATCTTATTGGAGAATGAACGTTTACTCACAACTGATAAACAATCACAGTACAAACCTGTCATAAAATGAATAACTGAGTACATGAGACAGAATTTTTCCCACTGTTGTTTTTCCAGAGCCCATCAACCCTGCACATTCACATTCATAAAGTTTAGCTACCAAAGTAAGCAAGTAAGTGACTACATAAAATTAAAGCACTTGGACAAAAGAAACTGACCAACAAGATATATACTGTGCCCATTTAAATAAGGCTCAATCTCTTGTGACTTATTCTGCAAATTTTATTCACGTCAAGTAAGATACATTGGCAGAACAATATCAGATGCACAACAAGGGAGCTTCTGGTTTCAGAGTTTGAGATCTTAACTAAAAAATAGTTAACATAAACAGATGCCAAAACACTAAATTGAAGAAATAAAAGACAAGGGAAAAAAGGGGCATCTAATCGCCATAACATACTTTAGGAGCCAAAAATTTATAAACATTACAGAAAAGTATTTCATACCTCTAACTTTAAAGCTTCATCATAAGGCGCACGAAAGCTTCCAGTTTCCAATGTTGAAGCTACAAAAATAATATTTTAAAATTAAACATTGTAGCTGTCCATCATACATAATAAACTTTTCAATTTCTGAACAACAATTTAGCCACCTAGTTTTGAGTTGTACTGCTCTCCTTTTGGATCAAATCTCAAGATCAACATAGGGATTAAGTAAAACTACTTAGCAAAAAACCAAGAAAATGAAAGGAGACTGACAGAAAAGCAAAACAAATGCATTGTGATTATATTAGCGAATCAACATACCAATGCCAGTTTCATCCATTGTATGTCACAATGGCATGAAAGATAACAACAGATTAAAAAGTAATACTTCGCAGAAAGGTGAGAAAATGAAAGGAGATTAGCAGAAAAGGAGAAACAAATTGCACCCTGATCGAACTTCAGAGGAGATGAAGTGAAAGAAAAGATAATAGGTGAAAAAGAACATTTTCTATCTGGGCTCACAAAATTTTCCAAATCAGGCAGATTATGAGAGTGAAAATGAAAAAAAAAAAAAAAAGTGGACAAGTTGTAAATTTACGTAGTCTTTTTTTTTTTTTAATAATTGGTATTTTATTTTCCAAGAGAGCAGGGAAAACCTGATACAAAAGGTATATATAAATGTAGCAGCTTATTGACAACCCCTTACATCAATTATTACATGACCTTGTATCTATGCCTCAATTGTTATAAATAGTTCTATCAGTGGAAGAATAACAAATTGGGAAACACATTTAGCAAAAACTTGCGTCCCAATCTGTATGTCAAAGACAATAGATTGTGCTAACAACCACGTGATTTGTTGGTAACAACTACGTGATTTATTGGCAGAATGTCTGACTCTTAATTTCAATAATTAATTTCGATTCATTATCGCCTCAATATCAAGAATAAAAAAAGACACTAAATTGTACTGTCTGCTCAGCTCAACAGTAATTTTACAGTGTTATTGCTCAGGTATTCAAATTTTCTTTCCTCTGATTTTTCTATCGGATCAAGAAGGAAAATAACAAGTTTCAATAATTTAAATTCAAGTACTTACCGCCTCAACTACCAAGAAAAACAAAGGACAATAAATTGTACTATCTGCTCAGCTCAATGTTAAATTTACAGTGTCATTGCTCGGGTATTCAAATTTTCTTTCCTCTGATTTTTCTATCTGATCAATAAGGAAAAGAACAACAATTATTTTTCCCTCTCTATTTTCATTTCTTGTTTGATCAAGATGACAGTAGTGAAATATTTATACATATATATATATATATATAGACACACACATACCCACCGAGCAGCTATGTTAGAAATTGACTTTTATTTGGCGAAACATTTATCGAAGACATAGAAATGATCCATTGTTTTGTTTGAAGGTTTCTGATTAAATATTGGATATGAATTAAAAATCTGCATATACAAACACGGAAAAAAAAAATCCTAAATCTCAAAATTTTCGAAACAAATTTAGAAGAAAAAAAAAAAGACTATAATAACGGAATTAGCGTTAAAAATATGATTAATGAAGTTATGACATCATAAAAAATAGTATAATAATTTATTTTAATTTTCCATTTAAGTACCTGGAAAGTTGTTATAAGAAGAGCAGGAAACCTCGAAAGAAAGCGATCTATGGCGATTAGATGATGTCTGAACCGGAAAGTGAGCCGAAACAACCACCCGAACCTTCTGGTCTTCCCTTAATCTCCAAGCGAACCGCAAAGAACTGGGTGGTTTTCTACCAAACCTTTCCGACTCAGTCCATGTCGGATACTTTAACTTGCATGCAACTCCTGCCTCCATTCTCAACCTCCAACCGCTGTTGATTCAATCAAATCAGTTTTCCTTTCACTGCATAAAAAAAAAAAAAAAAACTAAAAAGCTCGGATCTAATTCAAGAGAAATTCAGGCACTGCTGAAAATAATCATATTAATTAATTAATTAATGAAGCTAATAAAAATTTAAGAAATTAAATATCAACGGAAACTTATGAACGCACCTCAGAAAAATTAATAAAGAGAAATTGTCAAGCGCAATGCTGTCTCACTCTCTGTTAAGCGGTAAGCGCTATTTTATTATTTTTGCATATTTATTCATATTTTTCTATATGCAATTTGTTTTTTTTTTTTTTTCTGGCATGGATGCATTTTTAAATTAGATTTTGGAGTTTTTTTTTGTTTACAAAAATACATAGAGTGGGAGTGATGATGTGGAGGCAGCGCATTCCCAGTCCCACCAACCAAGCTGCGGCAACGCGAGAGGGTTGGTAGCAACTACTAAATAAGCGAAGAAACGAGTGGCGGAAAGTCAGGATGAAAGGTGAGGGGTTCATTCATGTGCAAAACTCGGGGGGTTAGTTGTTATAGACTCTCCTCTTGCCACGTATTTAAATTTGGAATGTACTTTTTTTATTGCATGATATCTTTAAATTTAGGGTGATAAGGATTATTTGATTTGATTTTTTTTAATAATATATAAAATTATAAATTTTTAAAATTTATTTGAATTTAAATTTTTATATGATTTAATAATTTTTAAAATTTTATTTATATATATTATTTTAATATATTCAAAAAAACTTATATATAAAATAATTATTTTTATTTAAACTTAAAAAATATATAAATTAATAAAAATAAATAATTTGATTCAATTCAAATTTTTATTTTTCGATTTAAAATTTAATTTTAATTTAATATATATTTAATATTAAATTTTAATTCAAATTAAATAAAAATTTAATCTAAATTAAATTAAATACTATATTTTCAAATCGATTTTTGATTTTTTAAATTTTTTTCTCGTCTCTACTTAAATTTAAAAAGTGTTCCGTCACGATGCATTATAGTATCATACAATATTTGAGAATAAAAAGTTAAGTCGTTTTTCGTACAGTAATTTTTTAAAATTTTACAATTGAGAGAGTCATATTTTATTTTTTAATTATTTTTTATTTCAAGTGTAAAAATTTTACTATTGTCAGCTTATTTTTTGTTGTTACGAGTTTAAAAAATTGATTTTGGTATTTTAGTGGCCAAGAATCAATATCAAATTATCATCAAATAATTTTAATTTTAAATTTTTATTTTATAAAAATAACGTTTTTTATCATTTTTAATAGTAATAATAGTATATTCTGCAGTAGTAAATATTTTACATCAAAAATTTTATGAAATTGACATGCAGACCATTGATTTACAGAAGAAATTACTATGATAAGATTTATTGAAATAAATTATTATAATAAAATATTAAATTCATAAAAATCAGACCATTGACTTAACGTTCATTTCAGAAAAGCACTTAAAATTTGAGCACCGATTATAGTACTTTAATTTATGCATGAGTTATGGGTTGCTTCTATTTTGATAATCCTTTGTGAAAATAATTGATCTTAAAATCGATTGTATTGATATGTATTGACTCTACCAATCAATACAATATGTTAATTAGTTTTTAATGCTTTTTGTATTATGGTCATTTTAATTTTTTATAATTTCATTCAAAAAGAAAAGTAATTCATTAAAGTAGACTATTTAACATATCTAATAATAATTTATTATATAAATTTTAATATTTATTTCATTTATTTGTTGTTTTAAAATTTTAAATATTAAATATTTATAATTACATATGAACATATTCAGGGACAGATTTAATATTTATATTCGGTGAGAGCAACTAATATAGATAATATTAAATATACAAATATATAAATATAAATTAATTTAAACGTATCAAAAATTATTTATTTATACGCAAAATAACACATGATATTTGTTTTTTTATGGGTTTCATAGTACAAAAATAAAATTTTCAAATATTATCTCTTTTATTGGAATAATGGTCAAAAAAATTTTTCATAACCTTGGATTTGATAAAAATATCTAAATCTAATTAAACATAAACTTGTTTTGTAAAATGTTGTATGCATTTCAGGTGATATATTCAAAATTAACTTTCTCTTAATAAGATATTTCTCCACAACTAATTAAATTAGATAATTTAGTTTATATAATTCATAAAAAAAAATAAGAAGATATATTGAAATATAATTATGCAAACAAAATCAACATGCATACTTTATTATGTATTTTAAAACTTAATTAAATAATATAATTTTATATATAAAAAAACCAACTTCATAAAAATTAAATTACTTCATTGATCAACTTAAGAAATGATGATATTATTCAATCTTAATCCGCTTATAATATAAATATAGATAACTCATAAATTAAGTCCTAAATCAAACTATTTTACTAATATTAAAAAAATTAATAGTAAACAAATATTCTATCACATAAATAAATGATAAAAAAATACAAAAAAAAAAAATTACTTACTTGAATATATTGATGGAAGAAAAAAAATGTCCACTCCTTAATTTGTTTATTTTATTTATTGGCTTTTCTTTGTCTTATTGTTATTTCTCTACTTCTATTATCTATTTATTGTAATTTTTATAAGTTTGGAAAAAGTTATAAAGGAAAAATTATAGGTGGAGTAGAAAGAAAACTATTTTTTATTTTACTTTTACTGTTTTCTAAATAAAATGATGGTCATTGAATAATAAATTATTTATTTTATTTATATATATATATATAAATGTATAGACTTAATAATTTTAAATATGATACAGTAATACGATATAAAAATAATACAAATAAAAATTATGAAGATAATATGATTTAAATTTTTGACAAAAATTATATTTTATATATTTTTATTGACACAAATTATGACACATAATCATAATTTGTATAAAATACGTTATAAATATATAAATTTTTAATATTTTATATAAAATGAATAAATGAATTATTAAATTTACATGAAACCTTATTATTTTTATAAAATAAGTAATTTTTATTACAATTATAATTTTGTTGTTTCAAACATTTATAAAAATATCATATATATTTTTAATTAGAGCAAATTATAAAAAAATTTAAAATTTATAGGGACTTTTGTAATAAATTATAAGGAACATTAAGATCTCAGTGGGACATTTGCCTACCCACATTATAGATCCGTCCCTAAAAATATTAAAGTAAATTCCATAAGTTCATTAATTTTAATCATAATTCACAATAACTTTAGGACTATAAATGAATCGAATATGAACGAATGGATATATGTTTTTATTTATTCATTTATTTTTAATGATATTCATGTTCGATTCGTATTTGTTAAGAAAATTATTTTATTCGTTTATATTCATTTGTTTAAATAATATATTGTTTCTGTACGGTTTATGTTTGTTCAATTAAATTAAACGAGTTCGTTCGTGAATATTAAATGAACATATTTACAAATATATATAAATGAATATGTTTATGAATAACAAATAAATCATAATTAAATAAATTTAAATAAAAAACATAAACAAATTTAAACAAATATAAACGAATCTTAAAATACGATTAAAATAAAGAATAAAAATATAATTTTATTAGTATTATTATAAACGAATAATAAACGAATGAATTTTAAATGAATTGTAAACAAATTTATTCATAAATATAAATAAATAAACAAATAACTATTCGTGTTCGATTTATTTAATAAACGAATGAATAAATAATGTTTAATATCATTTGTTAAACTTACTAAATAAAAATAAACAAATAAAAATTGAATATATTTATAAACTTTTCATCGAAATTTCTATACAAACCAACTTCTTTAATTTTGGAATTGGACATCCCACCAACAACAAACGGTTTTGACAAAAATTGGGCATGGTCCACCGGTTTTTGGATCATATATTCGAGTGAAGTTGAAGCCGTGGCCGTTAACTCTATTTCCGAATCACATAAATTGTTGACTTGATCCGGTGAGTTGAGAGGCACGAGATCAACTCGGTGGAGAAATTGGTTGGATTCAGCCAAGTTTTTGCATCGTTCTTTTGGGCTCTATTCCGATCTGAGTGCCTTCTTGACCGATTTATTTTCTAATTATTTTGCTTTCTTTTTAATTTTCACTTTTTAGCTAAAATTACTACTGTTTAAGATATTTTTCTTTTTGGGTCTTTTTTCTTTATTAGAAATATCAAGATTTTTGCAATTTCTTAGTAAATAATCTCATTTTTCTTACAATTCTTTTGATTTCAAAATTTTTTTTTTTTGAAAAAAACAAAGCACGTTTTAATTTTCTGTTCAACGAAACAAAGGATTATGAGCATCACGTGGAAAGTCGTGTCACATGATTGAGTTAACAGACTTATTAACAGATATTTAACGGTGAGGCTTTTTTCTTGGTCAACTTAATTTGATTGGGGTGAAATGCCCGTTAACACATTTATATTATACATAAGATCTAATAACTGAATTATTATAATAAAAATTTTAAATTTAAATTCGAACTAAAATTAAAATTTATTATTTAAAATTTAATCAAATTTTATTTTTTAAGTTTAAATAAATTCAAAATATAAATTAAATTATATAAAATCGTTCGATTAAATTAATTTAATAAAAAATAAATTTAATTTTTATATTTGATTTTAAATTTAATTAAAATTTGAATTAATATATATATATAAAGATTAAATAATAAATTTTTAATTAAAATAATAAAAATATATTAAAATTTAAAAATTTAATTAAGCTCTTAAATTATTTGAATAGACTATTAAAATATTCTAACTTGATTTACTCAATGATCAAGTTACTCAAATTTAAATTTAAGTCAACAATAAATGAATTAAAATTTAATTTTATTTAAATTTAATAACGGTGTATCATTTATTCTTAACCGTGCATAACAGCAAAGAATAAAACCAGTACGTTCGCCGTTACATAACGTCTACTATGCTCCGACTTCAATTGGTCGGTCACGTGATTGGCAGGAGATTATGTGACCGTTAAAACGAGAGAGAGAAGAACGAAGCCTCTGTTCTCCCTCCAAAAAATGAGAAACAATTACAGCTACCTGTTAAAACTTCATCTGAAAAACATTCAAAAATCAACGAAAAAACAAGCCTTTAGTTTCTCCACATTAGCCTTAGCTCTTCTTCTACCAAAAGACCCATATTTTTTCCCGACAAATCCCCAGCTCAAAAGGCGCCAATTCGCTGACCTCCTTCAAAAACTACCTTCCCAAGCCAACCACACTGCACATTACAAAAGAATCCAGGCCCAAATTATTGTGTCTGGGTTTGAATCTGACACTTTTCTTACAAACATTCTCTTAAATCTTTACTCGAGATGTGATAATTTACGTGACGCGAGTAAACTGTTCGATGAAATGCCTGAAAAAAACTTGGTTTCTTGGTCCACAATGGTTTCTATGTATACCCGACATGGGTATAGTGAAAAGCGTTGATTTTGTTTTTGGGTTTTCGAAGAAGTTGTAATAAGAGTCCAAATGAGTATATTTTGGCTAGTGTTATTCGAGCTTGTATGCAGTTGGGGGATGGAGGTGAAATGGGAGTTCAGATTCATGATTTTGTTTTCAAGAGTGGGTTTGATCAAGATGTTTTTGTGGGGACTTCATTGGTTGATTTTTACATGAAAAGTGGGTGTATAGATGAAGCGAGGTTGGTTTTTGATGGTTTAAAGGGGAAAAATGCGGTGACTTGGACGACCATGATTGCAGGGTATGTGAAGAGTGGGAAGGGTGTGGTGGCACTGCAGTTGTTTAGACAAAGGAGAGAAACTGATGTTGTGCCGGATTGTTACGTGCTGTCTAGTATTTTGAGTGCATGTTCAGTGCTTGACTTTGTTCAAGGAGGAAAGCAGGTTCATTGCCATGTTTTGAGGAGGGGGGAAGAAATGGATGTTTCTGTCATTAATGTGCTAATAGATTTTTATTGTAAGTGTGGTAAGGTAAAAGCTGCACGCAGGCTTTTTGATGAAATGGTGGCTAGAAACGTTATTTCTTGGACTACAATGATTGCTGGCTACATGCAAAATTCATTTGACATGGAAGCTGTGAATCTGTTTTCTGAGATGACCAGATTGGGTTGGAAGCCAGATGGCTATGCTTGCACTAGTGTTCTCACATCATGTGGTTCACTCGAGGCTCTGGATCAGGGGAGACAAGTGCACGCTTACGCCATCAAGGCCAATCTTGAGTCTGATGATTTTGTGACAAATGGTTTGATTGATATGTATGCAAAATCCTGTTCATTGATTGATGCAAGAAGAGTTTTTGACATTATGGGTGATCAGAATGTGGTCTCATATAATGCGATGATTGAAGGATACTCAAGTCAGGAGAAGCTATCTGAAGCATTGGACCTTTTCCGCAACATGAGATTCAGGTCACTCCCACCAAGCCTTTTAACTTTTGTTAGCCTTCTTGGTGCATCGGCTGCATTATTTACCATAGAACTGAGCCAGCAGATTCATTCGCTTATCATCAAATTCGGGGTATCTCTGGACTTATTTGTTGGAAGTTCTCTGATAGATGTTTATTCAAAATGTTCATATGTTAAAGATGCAAGACTTATATTTGAGGAGATGAACAAGAAAGATATTGTTGTTTGGAATGCATTGTTTTTTGGCTATGCACAACAGTTGGAAAATGAAGAGGCCCTGAAACTCTTCTCACAATTACAACTATCAAAACAAAAACCTAATGAATTCACTTTTGCTGCCTTAATGACTGCTTCGAGTAATCTAGTAAGTCTCCAACATGGTCAACAGTTCCACACTCAGTTGATAAAACATGGTTTGGACTCTGATCCCTTTCTTACAAATGCCATCATTGATATGTATGCTAAATGCGGAAGCTTTGAAGATGCTCATAAAACATTTAATACCACTATTTGGAGGGACGTGGTGTGTTGGAATTCCATGATCTCAACATATGCGCATCATGGAGAAGCTGAAGGCGCTCTTCAGATATTTGAAAGAATGCTGAAAGAAGGAATGAAACCCAATTATGTGACATTTGTTGGTCTGCTCTCAGCCTGTGTGCATGCAGGGTTTGTAGAGCTTGGGCTCTATCACTTTGAGTCAATGCCTACATTTGGGGTTGAACCTGGGATAGAACATTATGCTTGTGTGGTATCTCTGTTGGGCCATGCTGGTAAATTATATGAAGCAAAGGCCTTAATTGAGACAATACCAATAAAACCAGCTGCAGTGTTATGGAGGACCTTACTTAGTGCATGTAGGATTGCTGGCAATGTTGAATTAGGGAAATATGCAGCAGAAAGGGCAATTTCAATTGATCCAATGGATAGTGGTTCATATACTTTACTTTCAAATATTTTTGCATCTAAAGGAATGTGGGCAGATGTTAAGAGGGTGAGGGAGAGAATGGACTTAGAAGGTGTCCTTAAAGAACCTGGGTGTAGTTGGATTGAAGTTAATAATGGAACTAATGTCTTTATTGCAAGGGATAGAACTCATAATGAGTCCAATTTCATATATTTAGTTTTGGACAATTTGATTATGCATATTAAGGGTGCTGGATATGTGCCTGACATTGCCACACTCCTGATAAATGATTGAGATCCTCAAAGTTCTTTGTTATGCGGCTCATCCTAAATATCAAGCTTAAAGGGATATCCATATTAAGTGTGCTGGATATGTGCCTCATACTGCCAAACTCCTCCTGATACAGAATTCAGATGACGTGGCGCCAACAGTGTAGCTGACAAACTTTGAAGCTCGTTGTTGTGCAACTCATGCTAAATACAGAGCTTAAAGGGACATTAAGCAGACGACCGGGCTTTAGCATCGTCTGGTCATTCAGACTTGATCATATTAGGAAGCTTAATACTAGTATTCAGTTTTTAGATGCTCGGTTACATTGTAAATATTTTTTTAATAGAAGAAGTCACGGTTTGGAGATAAAGAAAGGAATTGCAAGTGTTGATATTCAAATTTCAAATTTGCTAAATGTCATCTTTTAAAGATTATATTATAAATATTAATTGTAGATTTTTAGTAATAGTTAATCAAGAGATTGTAGCCGCTCATGCTCTTAAGTTCAATTCTTTGTGCATAGAGACATTAGGACAGGAAAACAATAATACAAGAGAATGAAAGCATCTTTTAGCTATTTGTCTTTCAATTTATCTTTTACAAAACATTGGCAACGCAAAGTGGCAATTTATATAAAATTTTTAAAAAAATTAAAACTATCCTTTTTTTTCTGATTAAATTAAGTTTCCATTGTTCGAGTTTAGATCATTTATATTTTAATCTGTTGGCACATTTTTAGTTACTGCTTTGGATTTTGTCAAGTCAGATACCAGACATCAAATTAGATTTGGATTTTTGTCCGGTCAGATTTCAGACAGATTATTTTGGACTGAATTTTCTCCCTCTTGGCTTCATATCTACAATGACGCTTCTGTTGGCTTTCAGTCTCCTCTCGAGGGATACCATTGGTCTGGCTTGATCATGTGGTTCTCAATTTTAGTTTCTTTTGAGCTTCGGCTGCTCCTGCAAACTTATATGAGTGATCAAATTGGGTAATTTGGGTTGGCCTTTGCTGCCTCATCTGCCTATCTTCCATGTTCAAACGCCAGCTGACCTGAATCCCAAATACATATCTGCTTGGCTAACTTATGACCTCATCTAACTGTTGGTTTGTCAGCTATCCAATGGTGATAGTGCATGTTTAATGGATACACAGGGAACGAATCATTCCTTGTCCTGTGTGATCCCTTGATAAATAAGTTGGAAGATGAGATCAAACTCTCCAAAATTGGAGTTAAAATCTAGATTTTAATCTTGTAAGATTTTCTTATTGCTAGACAAAAACTAGAACAGTAGTGATTATGTTACCACCTGGAATATTCAATCTTTGGCACACAAGTTGCACATGCAATAAAAAAGAAAAAAGGCTAGAAATCTTCTCCATGCCATACTGTTTCAAATGGCAAGATTTACTCATTTGTACTGTTCCTTGGCGGATTCTAAATCTATTCATCTGGATCTTCCAATCTTGACTTTATAGTTTGTATCACTTTAAAAAGTTCCTCACTGATCCGAGGCCCCACATTAAAAAAAAATCTGATGCCATGACTGAAAAGTCCCAAGGCATCAATTCCAGTTTGAAAGAATTTCAGATAGTGGCTTCATGTCAATCCTTTTGAGATGACTAGACCTGGAAGTCTTGAAGTAACAGCCTAGCTGCAATGGCATAGAGAGCTTTATCTTTGAGAGGCAAGTTCAAATACTACATCACTTTCGGACTATTTTCAATACTGAGCTGGTCTGCATGTGCCCATTGGTCTTTTCACTTTTAAGCAAGGCTCTTATCCTTGATTGGGTGTTTGAGATATGGTGAACTAATATGTGGAACCCACAATAAGATTCATGATTTTCCTTCAATAATTCACATAGAATACAGATCATACAAGTTATCAAGGGAGTAATAGATTTCGACACATAAATAAAGAAATAAAAGAAAAAATCATAGCCAAATACTCTACCATTAAATTAGCCTTTAAAGTTTCAAACTTTCTCATGATCTTTCTTTTCATGGTCCGTGACACGAGGAAACCCTTAATTTTCAAGCGCATGACCTCATGATTATTAAGGAGAAAAAGATTAACCATCGATCTAATCATATTATTCTTGGTTTTAAGTACCACTTAACTTTATATATATATATATATATATATATATATATAGACACACACACACACAGATACGGTCTTTGTCAAAGAAATGAAAGATCATGTGGCATATGTGGAGTTTTGCCAGTATGGGAACAGGAAAGTGAATGCAACATGAAAAATGGATATGAAAAGAATTCGAGCAATGAAGACTTGAAGGATACTTGAAAGTTAAGAAAAGACTTCCATTGCCAAGACTAACAAGAAAAGGCCGGACTTTCCACAATCTGAAACAATCATAAAAGCTTTTATCATTTACACGTACTTTTTATCTTGTTGGAATTGCAGAAATGCCTGATGCTCAACAAGCTATCAAGATTTCTGCGAATACACATTACCATTATACAGGACAGAAGGTCCCCCACTTATTTGGTCATGATTCTACACAGCTTGAATGAAAATCTACAGGCAACTTTCATATTGATTCACTGATATCTACACAATAATACTAGGGTAAGGAAACAAGCTTTGAATGTGGTGTTCATCTGTCTGCAAACAACAATACTATATCTTTTCTCACAAATGCTGCCAATAATACAGATGGACAAGAATATTCATTATTTATGTTGGTGGAGTCAAATTTTCTAGCTAAAATGGTTGAATATGTGCATGAATGTGGAAACGGCAGTGCCTTGATACAACCAATGGTCCATGGCTTTGATTAAAATATTTCCTCTTGTTCATTCTTTCTCATGTTTTAAATTTGTGCAAATCTGCAGACTTCACAACGAAGGAGTTCAGCAGAAACTAAAAATCATATAGCTTTATGGATTAAAATTTTAGCACTAACATCCTTTTATGGAATTTTATATGAATCAAGTTTGTGCCTTGAGAAAATGCCTCTTTGTCGAAGGTTGCATAATTGGATATTCAATGCTTTGGCCAAATAAAATGAGAAAAGAAAGAAAAAAATTTATCTAAATTAATATATAAAATCAAATTACAAGTACATATTTTTTACGATATCACACTTATATAACAATTACCATACATTTCCATGATTTAAGGAGGCAGACCCTTTGGTCAAGGTCTTCATGACCCACTACTAGGAGCAGAATCAATTATTCTCTAATGTACACAACTATAAAATCCTTAAACCTGCCTTGCCTTCAGCAGCTGTCGACAAAGGGGATTAGTAGTTATTTCCTTGGGTTAAATGAATTGTTGTAAGATGTTTGAGAAACCTTTTTTGTACTGTTATCATGCTGCCTGTTAGACTTTGTGCTCAATGAACTGTATCTTCCTTGCTTATGCTTCCTTCTTGGCTGTGATGACCTTGGGATAAAAACTCCTGTGCCTTTGCTGCTTTCTCTTCTGCAGATTTGGTGTTCAACATATGGAGATTGTGCTATTGGATAATTTGCTCCGGAGAATGTCTGAAAATTTTGACAACCATGAACCTGGGAAGTTGATACCAGAAAATGAAAGAGATATACCATGTTGTTTGCTGTGAAAGAAAAGTAAGTAGATGGTTAAAAACCTGGAAAGAAACTGAAGGGCATGTAGCAACTGCGTCCTCATCATCATCATCCATGATTAGCAGAGAGATTTGCTTGCTTAAGTCAGCAAAAAACAGATCATCTTCTAGCTCAACAGCCACTTCCATGTCTTCTCATATACTCAAAACTAGAAATTGGGAACAGAGTTAGTGAGTCAGCTTTTCTTTTTTTTGCAAGAAATCAAGAAAGGAAATCTTTAGTTTCTAAAGATTGAAACCTCTCTTTCTCCCCCTTCTCTCCTTTCCTCCTGTGCCATGGGGATGTATGGGGTTATAAATAGAGAAAAGTAAAAGAAATAGGAGATGCATGTGGGATGGTTGGGTCTTAATGGCAGTTAGCCAATCTGGCCAAGCCCACAACCCCACACAACCCCACAAGAATCATGAAGTTGTGTGTTATGATGTAATATCCGGCGGGAAGAAGAGATAAGGAATCACAAGCAACAGCCCACACCCAGACATCTAATCCAAGATAGAACCAAATCTCCCCTAGCGCGCCTGGCTGTAATTTGGTGAGCCTCATTTCCTCCATCCTTTACATCTCTCTAAAGTAAACAAGGTATGGCTCAAAATTCATAGTCCCCAATTCCTCACAAATACAAACTTGCAAACCGAGCTCAACGGCCGCTCTTATCCGGAATCTTGCTAGCTAGATACTGCTGTCATTTGTTATGGTTAAGCAAAAGGACAGTCAAAGTCAGCAACCAGAGACTCATTCTTTGTTATAATGTTTGTCGTAGGGCCACTGCTTTAATTACTTACGAAATGAGACTTGTTTTGTCCGGCTCCACACAACTTGAAGGGTCATGTGTCAGTGCCACTAGCTTGTTCTAATATATATATATATATATATATATATATATATATATATATATATATATATATATATCAGTTTAGCATTCAAGTTCTGAGTAATTGTGGTTTGAGGCTTGACATGGATTCATTTTCATCTTCATCTTAGACTTGAACATAATTTATGAACAAGGCAATACATGTCCCATTCTGTGATAATACACAGGATGGTAAATATACTTAAATCCATCGGGTTTTGATCTGATGTAATCTTATAAGATTATTTTAAAAATTTAAATTTTAAATTGGATTAGATTTATAAAAAAAAAAAAGTTAATCGGATTAGAGTAGATTTTGGGTGAATTCATCCCAACCCAATATATATTTTTTATTATTTATTTAATTATATATATTATATTAATAAAATTATTATTTAATATTTTAATTTAAAAAATTAATTTAAAAATATTTTATATTTATATATAATTAATAAATAATTTATATTAAAAATAATATTTATAAATATTATACTAAATTAAAATTATTAAATTAATTTCGTGTCAGATTATGATTATATATATATATATATATATGAGTATGATATAAAAAAATTATATTTTAATATTGAATCAGAATCAAAATAAAAATTTATATTTTATAAATTCAAAACGGAATTGGGACGAGAAAAACGCTCTTGACTCGTCATCACTAATAATATATGAACTCTAAATTCATTCTCCCATTGTTGATCTAACTTGAATTTTGATTTATTCCAATAATATTAGCGAAATTTGATAAGTAATGGGATCATGTGGCCCAAAAAAAATTGGGCCAGGTGCTGGAGCCCAATTGACTCACCATGGGATCTTTGTGATTGGCCCAATGGAAAACAACAACTGCCAGGCCACATCAACGAGCAATCTATTTGTATTAGTCCAGAGCCCGGTTGTGTGACGCAAAATCTAAGCCCTATTCTGCTACTACCTTCAATTTCTCTCGTATCTTCCTCTTCCTCCTCCGAGAAACACAAACGAACACGTTACAGAACAATCGCCGCCGCCGTCGTCCGATAATCTTCATCTTAGTTACTATCTCTTCTTCTGAAACAATGGCGACTGTCATGCAAAAGATCAAAGACATCGAAGATGAGGTTAGCTTTTTTCTCCTTTATTTTTATATTTTACTTTTAGTTCGTTGAACAATCTCTCAGTTCCGTTCGGCTCATAATCACTGATAATTCGAAATTAATTTATCTTTTTATATTTTTTTTACTTCTCTTTTTCTTAAGGCTTGTAGTTGCTCAAAATTTTAATATAAACTCGAACTCATTTAATTGATTTTCCAGGAAAAAATGAGGATAGCTTCCAATTGCTCTTTTTTTTTTATTTAAAATATTTAGCTTTGAATTATTATTTAAGGATCAAATTGTTCTTAGTTTTTGGGGTTAATATGTTGGAAAAAAATGAATCTCATATTTGAAATGTTTTAAGTTTTTAGATTTTATTGGTGTATTCATTTTAATACATTTTTAATGGAAATTAATTGATGGATGAGGGAGTCTTATTAATAATTTTGTTGTTTTTATTTTCTAAAATTTCACAACTTTATTCCTTAAATGTTGCCCTTTTGTTTTTTTACAGATGGCAAGGACTCAAAAGAACAAAGCAACAGCTCATCATCTAGGCTTGCTCAAGGTAACTATGTGCTTTTTAACTTTGGGGTTTTGTTTTGGTTCATTTGTGGAATTCTATGTTATTGCGTTGTCATAAGCGCTGTGATTTGCATTTTTTTTTGTTGGTGTTCATATTCATTGATGGAAATGATTTATGTGTTACTTGTCATTTGGTACTAGGCTAAACTTGCAAAGCTACGAAGAGAACTTCTTACACCTTCATCAAAAGGAGGAGGTGGTGCTGGTGAAGGTTTTGATGTTACAAAAAGTGGAGATGCAAGAGTTGGTCTAGTAGGTTTCCCTTCAGTGGGGAAGTCTACTCTTCTTAACAAGTTGACTGGGACATTTTCAGAGGTATGAATGGCGGTTTTTGATGTCATAATGGCGCAAATGCCACCTTGGTTATGTTCTGTTTCACAAATGCTAGAGTTTGATTTTGTTTTAAAAATTGTTTTTATTCTTTGCAAAAGATTTCTAAACCCTGTTGCATCTCTTCTCTACCAAAATTACATTTTGAAACATTAAAGATTTACTAATTCTGGAAGGGAATGGGGTTAACCCAGTCTGAAAAGCTGAGAAATTGAGTATGGTTGAAAGTGTGAAGTATATTATGTTGCTTCGACTCTTCATTTACCTTCAATTACCCATGTCCAACTCATATCAGGTAGACATGGGTATGGAAGTTTGACAATCCAAATATATGGAAAAAAAAACTTGGAAAGAATTGAACATACCGTGTTAGACATGTATCTGTTTCTAACACTCTCCCTGTGTGCCAGTAATGTAACTTCCATAGTTGACATTGCGTATAAAGTCATTAGTTTGTCTGGTCTTACTGGTCTTTTATCATGCTGTCATTTCTCTTTAACTGATTGAAAAGAATGTTTAGCATAATTTTTTATTTTTCTTAAATTTTGTTGGGGACCGGAGGGCTAAGTATAACATGTTCTCTCTTGAAGCTTCTGCCAAAATATTGCCCAGGATCTTCTGAAAATTGATAAACTTGTATTCTTTGTGGTTTGTAGGTTGCTTCTTACGAATTCACTACATTAACTTGTATCCCTGGTGTCATCATGTATAGAGGGGCTAAAATCCAGGTACTATTTTATTTAAAAAAGTTTAATTTGAATGTGTAGTTTTGCTGCAGTAATGGTTGATTAAATTTCGGTAATAGTGTTTGAATAATTGATGTTTCCCTTTTGCTCTGCATACTATTTACCCTTGGACGGGATGTACAGTAGAACATAAAGCAAGATGTGGTGGTTCATTCTATGCCCTTATACTGTTTCTGTAGTTGTGTTTAGATATTCTATAATTTTAAATTATCAAGATTTGCATAGATTTAATGGTCATATTGTGAAATATATTCTTTAAGTTAATTAAGTTTTATGACTGATCCTTTTTTTCCCTCGTACTGCATCATGATGCTGAAATTACTTGTTGAGATATGCTTCGTCTTGAAGATAAAATCTAGTTTTAATGCCTCTGTTCTTATGATTTGCAGTTATTGGATCTCCCTGGTATTATTGAGGGTGCTAAAGATGGAAAAGGTAGAGGAAGACAGGTAAACACTATTAGTTTTGGCTGATATAACAAATAACTTATGGGCTTCTTTTGGCATTTTTTAAATTGCTTGTGCTTGATCAATAATATTGCATTAGAAAATGCTTAACCATAATTATAATTGCTATATAAATGAATCTATGTTAATCATTCATTTCTACTGTATAGTGTTTTATTTAGTTTTGGTTTTTATTCTGTTAATCTGCTATACATGCTATTATTACTTGTATGCTTATCTTTTAAATTTAATTTTTCAACTTAGAATGGTAAATTTTTTCATGTTTATGCTATGCCTTCTAAAGTACTGGTATCATGAAAGATTATGCACTTTAGCAGAGTGGAAATCTTCAATCATTTTATTTTTAGACATGATGTTATTAATTCATAGAATTACAATCATTTTGGTATAATTCTAGGTCAAACCTTTTATGAAAATTGTTTTGGCCTATATCATAATTGCTTTTTAATCTAGATGCTGCTGGTTTCTCATCTTTCTCCTCATGTTCATCCATGGTTGCAAGTATTTTGAAGGAATGCCATTGTTATACAGGTCATCAGCACTGCTAGGACATGCAATTGTATACTAATCGTTCTTGATGCAATAAAACCAATAACTCACAAGCGTCTTATTGAGAAAGAGCTTGAAGGATTTGGCATAAGGTAACATTGGTAACTTTCTGTTGCCTCCTGGTTGCTTCACCTTGGATGTTATTTTGGCCTCTTTTGCATTTGCATGCCTGTATGTATTCTTAGCTATTCATAACTTCACTAATCTTGCTTGTTATTGAAGTGCTATCAATGTGGAATCTAAGGGTATTTTTTCTTTATAAGCAAAGCAAGTTTCAGTTTCTTAGCTTCTTACTGTCTATCTACATCCTTGGTTCTAGTTTTCCCCAACAACTAATATGTGGCACTTATCAGAGTTTGCCAAATTTAAACCGATCACATGCCATGATATAAATTTGGTAGCATATACTTCAATGTGCATATATACACATTGAATGACAGGAAATGTGCATGCCTATAGCACCCTTATCTTGACATGGTTTCTGCAATGCTGTTAAGAGTTTATCTGGAAGGACTTCTAGTTTTATACAGTAATGTTTATGTCAAAATAGTTCCAGGTAGGAATGCTGACTTCATTCAAATTTAGTAGAACATGGGTTACTTGCTGCAACTTTCAATGTAGTGGCGTCATTTATTGTTTAGAGGGAGTAATATTGGATATGTAAAGTTTCGTAGATACTAAGGTTTTTCCTTGTAAATATTGATTGTTTTAATTAATTGATATGATACACATGTTGGACCATCCCATGTCTTTTTTCTACCTGTCTTGAGCCGCATCTTTATAGTGGTTTGACTCCTTGCCAGTGCACTGGAAAATGTAGTAATTATTAAGCACCAAACAATCACAAGTTTTTATTGGATGTCTGATGTGGCAAAATAAAATGGAAATAGACTAGAGTCTACAATTCACTGAAGAGGATCTAAATCCCATTTGTAGCAATACTTGCTTTCTGAGACTTGGTAACTTTTCATGGCTTTTTATATCTCTGCTTGTTATAATGTCTAACTATTTGTTTGTTTTATGGGGACAGGTTGAACAAGGAACCACCTAATTTGACATTCAGAAAGAAAGACAAGGGTGGTATTAACTTCACCACCACAGTGGCAAATACTCACCTGGACCTTGAAACTGTAAAGGCAATATGTAGCGAATACAGAATTCACAATGCTGATATCACTCTGAGGTATGATGCAACTGCTGATGATCTAATTGATGTCATTGAGGGCAGTAGGATATATATGCCTTGCATCTATGTCCTGAACAAGATTGATCAGATTACACTTGAAGAGCTGGAGATTTTGGATAAGCTTCCTCATTACTGCCCAGTCAGGTAATTTTTCCCCTGATCCTTTGGGAATTTGTCCAGGTCTTCCCTTGCTAACACCTTTTTCATCAAAGTTAGTATATAAGAATCTGCTTCATTTAAGCATGTGAGTTCTAAGATTGAGTTGAAAATTTTGATGTTGTAATTTAGACTTCAGACAATAGTTGTTCCTTTAGAGCTGCTAAAGTGTTTTATAACAAGCACACAGGAGATAGGAACAAACGGTATTTAGGTCAAACAAAAACCAACAAAGCTATCAGAAACCTTCAGACAGTGACTGCACAATGGCTGTGTAGCTTTTCAGATAACTTAAAGATGAGGATAGTTGTGCTGTTCCTTGCCTGGACTAGGGTGGCATCAAACACTGATTATAGGGCCATAGTACTTCCAGTTTCAACCAATGCTAACAGCTTAAAAATAAATTATAATGACTAGCCTATGCTTGGTTTTCTGATTGTGCCCCGTAATGTCTATCATACTCCTATTGAATTTCCTTGTGATTGAGTGGTTTACAGCAACTACATTTTCTTGGTGTGATTCATGATGATGGCTATTTCTATCTTTGCCTGATCATCTACTTGGCCTTTTATGGTGATCTAAATTTTTGTATAATTTCTTTGCCTGGCTACTCTGCAGTGCTCACCTGGAGTGGAACCTAGATGGTCTCCTGGATATGATATGGGAATATCTTGATTTAACTCGAATATATACGAAGCCGAAGGGGATGAATCCAGACTATGAAGATCCTGTTATCCTGTCATCAAAGAAGAGGACAGTTGAAGACTTCTGCATCCGAATCCATAAAGACATGCTTAAACAATTTAAGTAGTAAGTGTTTTACTCCAAATTCTATTGCAGTATGGCATCCCATTATAGCTATTTTCTTTATTTGTACACTTGCAGATGCAAGGTGTTTTAGAAGTCTGCCCTGAGATTTCATTTGACAGTGCAAGGGGAGAAAAAAAACTAAAAAATCATATATATTTGCATGCTCACTTATACTTTTTTCTGAATACCCTGCTTATTCTCAAAGATAAGCTAATTCCAACCAATTTCATCCAGTAGAAAGGAAAATCTCATGATAATGTTAGAATTTTAATGTGCCTAAAATAAAGCTCCAAGTAGCAGTGTGTCATCTCGGTTGTTTTCTTATTTTGAACTATTAGCTTCTAAATGGATTTGCTTGTTCTTTCTCCCTTTACCTTCTTCAGTAAATCTAGCAATGTATAAAATCACAAGGATGGTTAAGTTTACAGCTTTATGATTTTGGCCGTATTTTAACAATCTGTAAGGAATGGAATGCGGAAGACCTAGCATAAGCCCCATGCTGTTTGCTTGCATTGTTTTGGGGCAGGACAGGTCCAAAACTTAAGACCATAGCTTATGTTTGCAATTGTCTTTGAGTTTGTCCAGTGATTTAGATTTGTCTAATGTTAAACCAACAGTTTGTTTGTTGCAAGTCCCTGGTTTCTTGACAAGTGAAATATACAGCCACAGAAGATTATTTGTACTTTTCTATTGGAATTGATATTTTTAGATACTATTTTCTTTTACTCTTTTGCCATATTTAGAATCTAAATTTTAAATTTCCAAGTAGTAAGTTCTTATATCCGGGCAAATCTTACAGTGCACTTGTATGGGGATCAAGCGTGAAACACAAGCCCCAAAGAGTTGGCAAGGTTTGTTCTAAATATCTAATTTCTCTATCAATCAGCTTAACATCCCCTCTCCGACCATCCCATTGTCTCTACTCTTTTCTTCTTTTTGTTCTATGCCTGCCAATGTCTTTGGATAAATCATGCATTTTGTCCCAGGATCACGAACTCGAGGATGAAGATGTCGTTCAGATTATCAAGAAAGTGTGATTACAGGAAAATGGAGTCATTGTGGAACTCTTCAGTTTGTCCACGTTTGAAGAAGTCATCTTGTTCACAAACTGTCAGCTGCCAGTGCTGTAAATTAGGTAGAAGAGACAGCTTGGTGTGTAATTAAGCCATTTTGTTGTCAAGCTCCTTTGCTCTGATCTGCTCATTGCATGTTTTTGCCTTCTTACAATAGTATTCTTCTCGAAACCTAGAATAAGACCAAAGTGCAATAGAACCAGTCGGAAAAATTTTGTGAACTTCTGAGAGAATTGGCATTGATGACTTTAATAATTCAATTCCATCCTTAATAGTCCTTGTTTGATGTTAACCTTCGCAACATGCTAAATGCAGGATGCAGAACAAATAAGCTATTAGCGGCACGATATGATCTGACAGATCGTCATAACTTTTTTGATTTTGGATGGAATCAGGGAATGATTAGTTTAAAATTAATTATTTCTGTTTTCAACGGATTAAGCTGCCTGTCTTATCACCATTAAGCTGCAAAGGATTGGACCAGAGTGGAAGGAAGGTATTGCAGCCATGGGCACAAGAATTGGTTCCCATTCCCGCTCATGGTTAAGCCACATTATCACCATTTTTCCAAGCAAATTTTCTTTCATGTCATATCACCGGGATATCAGCCTAATCTGTAATCTCCAAATTATTTCTAGAATTCGCATTTCAAGACTTCAACTCCACCTTTACTTCATTAGTCTTCGTTCAAATTACATCAGTAGTTTTCATGATGTAGTACTCAAGAAAAGAGGACGTTGAGATACATAAATCATCACCAAATTTAATAAGCATATTATCTTTTCCCATCTGAAGAGAAGCAGAATAAAAAAAAAAAGATCAGAAAACAAAAACATAGAAGGGAAAAAGAGTGTTCTTCAGAATCAGGCCTTGACGCAGCAGTTGAAGTAGCTGAAGAAACTCCTCCTTGTCTGTCAAGAAAATTAAAAAGCAATGAGGTAATGAGCTGAAATGAAAAATTCCAGGATTGTTGTAATTAAAAGCAAAAGAGATAAAAGATTAAAAAATTAATTGATCAACAATAGAGAAAGTCCTGTGATCGATTCAGTGCATCAAAAAAAGTTCCAATATAGAACAAATTATGTCAAATTAATTAATCAACAACAGAGCACAACATGCCAAGCATTTTTTTTCTTTTTCTCCTTTTTGCAGAAGGAATAAATTCTTTCCAACAGAGAATGAGTCAATTGCCCACTGCCATGGTCATTACATGGACAAAACAACGTGTTGCATGTGCACCACATGCACTTACGTGTGACCTAGGGAAGGTCTAACATAGATCATATGTTAGTTTTTGAGTTATCATAAGCACTTTCCCTGTCTTTTGTCATCCATCTCCATCACTCATTCATAGAGATAAACCATTAAAAACATTCGCGACATGGATGATGTTGCAGCACTATCAGACCCCATAAGCATTCAAAGTCACGAGACTGTTGTCAGCAGGCTCAACTGATACCACGTCTGGAAGTTATACGTACCCTTATCATAATTAAGATCAGTTTCTTTGTAAAAAGATTCTAAATGTTCATTTGGTAGTTGATTTCTGTCATCAGCGAAACAGAACCACATGCTCCTAAAGATATGCTCATCACAAATTTGTCAAAGCGAGAAAAGTATAAATATCTACAAGCGCAGATTAAGAAATCAGGGGTATACATGATTTATATCTCAACGTTCTTATCTTTAATTTTATGACCACAAAGATAAAGGAATTGGAAAATTATTCCTACAACTAGGTCAACCAAATGAATCATGCTGCCACAATCAAAACCTAATTGGGTTTTATCAAAGCACCAAGTTATATGCTACAGATTAATTGCGGGCAAACATCAAAGAAAAGATTAAATTATCAACTAGCAAACCAAATACCACATGCATGCACATTGCCAACAAAATAGCTTTATATTTTCTGCTAAGGCATTGTCCCATTTAAGCATACCAAAATGAAAGAAGAAAGCTATATTTAGAGTTCAATGAATAAAGCATTTGGAAGTTAGTTAAAATCTTCAGTTGGAGAATGGTTCAATGGTCTTTCATCATAGGAGCAGTCTGCTACTGGTTGAGTGGATTAATAAAATCTTTTATTTCCAGTGCTCTTGAAACTTAACTCTTGTTCTGCTTCCTTATTTCCCTAACCTTTGAGAAGTCAAGCGAGTAATCTGGCAGCTCTCCCTTCTGGTCCCAGTCCCCAAATTGTGGCACTGATAGCCAAGGAGCATTTTTCTATATCAATTTAAGACCCAAAACAACATATTAATTAACTCAACCTTAGCAATAGCATCAATGCTTGTTTTAACTTCAACAAAGTAAGCCAACAATCATTAACTACAATTGGTCGAAAATAGAATGAATTGTTCCCTCTCAAATTTGGTCACAACAATAGTATCAATGCTTTGTTTCCAATTTTTTAAGGCTAAAATCTGAACCACTGTTACAAAATCAACCACAAACTTCAAAAAATAAAATAAAATACTTATATAATGCCCCTGGTCCTTTTTTTTTTTCTTTTTAACTCTACAATTATCGATTTTTCCGTGGAATAAACTTAAAGAATATATCTATATAGTGATATAAACATAGTTTTTTCATTTAAGGAAAAGGGGTTAACTTAATTCAGATGAAAAAGGACATGGCACAGCTTTGTCTGTTCAATGTCTGAGAAAGATAAAGGCAAAGGAAAAGAAAAATATGTAAAAAATAAAAAGGAACTTCACCTTTTGAAAGTTTTCTTACCTCCCAAACACCTTTTGAGAGTTGAGAATGGAAAGGTTAACAGAAAGTGTAACCCCACATACATATAAAAAAAAAGAAAGAAAAAAAGCTACTGAAACACATCCATGGCTGAACTTCGTTTGGTTGCAAAGAAAAGGAGAAAATGATAAAACTTCTCGATCTATAAAACTCCAAACTGATTATTATAACCACTGAACTTCATCTCCAAGAGTTCTTATATACAAAAACATAAACTCTCCAAAGCTTTAACACTTTGAAAAAAAAAAGAAAAAGATAAGAACTCACCTCCTTACGATCTTCCATGGTTGATACCAACAAAAGAAGGTGATTTTCTAAACTGTCAACTGCTATAATGAAAGAGAAATAAAAGGGTTTTTCTTAAATTACGAGACAAACGAGAAATTGTGGTTGACTGAGCCCTCACACGTAATGAATTATGAAATCAATCACTCTCTTTCCTTTCGCTTACATGGAGTTTCAGTTCTCGATAATGGGCTTCCTTTTTGTTGAAATTACATGGAATGCCACTCTTACGGACACGCTTTTCCTACGTCGATTTTAGCTTCTGTTCTCCATCTCTTTATTTGTCCTTGATTTGGTTAGACTGCTAGCTGTCTCTACAGTGAAAGAATCCAATACTTTGTCGACATACTTGCGTGGAATATATTAAAAATAATTAAAAAATTAATATGATTTATAAAAATATTAAAAAATTTAAAATTATTTACTCCAATATTAATTTGAATTTCTAAAATTAATTCACATATACTTATTTCATGAACCTTCGAAAATTAGTTTACGTAATTTTTTTTTCATATGTTTAAGAAGTAAATCAATCTGCAATCCACAAAAGTATATCGACAAACTTTACTTATTATAGATAAAAATGAGATAAAGCTAAGTGGTTTCGAATGTAACTAACATGCATGAAATCGAAATGATATTAATTTTCAACATCCGACATGAGCAGGGCACGGCGGAGGCAAATAAGGTTATATCCTTCCTGCCCCTTTCGGCCGCATCTATTGTTATTTTTAATTTTGATTTTTATTTCCTTGATATTAGGGGATTGAAAATGCTGGTAATGTGGCAAATGAGCAGGAACACAAAAATTAGGCCAGCCAGGGGCTGGAATTGGTGTCCAGTTCAAAGACAGCTTATGAAATGCGACCCTCTCTTTGCCCTTTGGGTGGATTCACTCTGTACTTCGTTAGTTCGAGGAGTTGAGCTAGCAGCAACAAATTGTTTTGTTTGATTTGGATCATTTAAATTTGAAAATTTAAAATATGATATTAATAAAAGATATAAAAATAAAATAATTTAAAATTTAATAAAAATTATAAAAAAATTAAAAATATATATTTTATATTTTCGTATTAATATGAATTATAATAAATAATTTATATATAAAATATGATTATAATATTTTTAATTTTATTTTATTAAAAATTTATTTTTTTAATTATAATATTTTTATGAAAATCAAATGTATTAAACTCTGAGCGACAAGATACTGTAGCTAACACTTTGTTATTGATTCTTGAAAGTGAAAAGTAATGATGACGAACTTTCTTTCCATTGAGAAATATTTTAATGATAATTAAACTCGTTAATCAGCCGTCGAAGAAAGACTCTTTCAACGGAATCCAACATGAGCCACCGGAAGAAACAATCAAATGCTTACTCAAATCAAATTCCGTTAACAATTGTTCACCAAGTCATCAAGACATAAACCTCAACCTTGGAATTTTATCAAATCAAAATTTTTTTTTATTTTAAATTTTAAATTGCTAAGATATTTTCTTTAAAATCAAAAGTAACTCAAAATAATAATAATAATAATAATAATTTAGTTTTTTTATTTTTGCAAAAAAAATCAATCTTAATCTTTCTCAGTTTTAAAATGCTCACTGCATGATTTTAACAATCCTATTTTTAATTACAATATTAAAATAAATAAATAAATAAATAAATCTGTTTGGCAGGAAATGCAAAAGGCTTTGCTAAAAAAGAAATCATCATGTCATCGGTTTACAACCCTAATGACATGTTAATTTCAATTGAAACCTATTAAAATAACCAAAAATAATAACAAAGAATTTCTTAAAAATTAATTATTTATTATATGAGGATAATATTATGCATCTACCCTATTGAGTATTTATAGCAATTTTGGTGTACATTTTTTTGTAAATAGTTAAATGCTAGCATATGTAGCACACTGAAATAATTTATATCTTGTTGCTAAAAAAAACTTTTTGCAATGTATAAAAGATCTTATGCTACAATAAGTTTTATAAATTTCACTTCATAATTAAAAAATTATAAACGAATCAAATTATTTATGAGTTATTTGAATTTGATCAAATAAATATTTGAATTTAATTAATTTATTATTGTGTCAAATTTAAATTCAAATTATTTAAATAATAAATCGAATTGAGTCAATTTATAAGCGTGAGTGACTTATAAGTTTTATCAAAATTTAAAATATTTATATGTCATAGGAAAAACTAAAATATAACATTTACTTACATATTTTAAAATTTTATTTGAGTTTTTATTTTTAAATCAAGCTTGAATTCGATTTGAATTTTGAGATTCTTAGTAAATTAATGAAATTTTAGTTTAATTAAATTGAATTTGAATAATTTGATTATTTTTTAAATTAAATTTGAGAAAAAATTGAACTTCGAAAATATTTTTATTGATATACAATTATTTTATTTTTTTAAATATTTAAAATTATCAAAAATTAAAAATTTAATGATTTATCGAATATTACATAATTTTTTATATTTTATTTTGATTAGTTCATTCAAATGCTGTCGACATAAAAAACTTTGTTGTGAAAATTGAAATTTGTGCAGTGTTGAGGTGGGCCTTAATGAATAGGCCTTAGGCCCATTAAGTCTGGTATCTTTGGGTTCCTTATTGTCGGTCCATTTAGTGCATGTGAACTTTGTCTTGTCCAATTCTCATCCATCAAAAACAATAATCTCCCATTTCAATCTTCAATGAAAATCGAAGAGGATTTGTAATATTATCCTGATTGGATATGCGGATTGC